AAGATATTTTTTGTTTTATTCTAAATATTTCTGATTTCTTTTTTATAAAGGTTGTTGCTTCCATGGATGCTCATCCATCTCGTTATGCTGCTACAGTTCGTATACAAATGCATCGTCATGAAGTTATTGCCGAATTATCAACAATGGTTAGAGAATTACTTATACAATTTTATAAATCAACACGTTTTAAACCAGCACGAATTATTTTATATCGTGATGGTGTTAGTGAAGGTCAATTTGCTCATGTACTTGCACATGAATTAATGGCTGTACGAGAAGCATGTGTTCGTCTTGAAGCATCTTATCAACCGGGTATCACATTTATTGTGGTTCAAAAACGTCATCATACACGTCTATTTTGTTCCGATAAAAAAGAGCAGGTAAAATTTAAAAGAATATTTTTGTCTTAGAAAAATCCGAATTTTTTTCAGTTCATTAATCTTGTTTATTCTAATCAGATATTAAGACTATTTTGTCTACATTAGAGTCCTTGAGTACTTAAAAAAACGCATGACATTCTTCTCCATAAATACTTCATTGTCAAAACATTTATTTTTCAATTTTAACCTTGAAAAAAACAACATATTTTCTGTTATTGATAGGAGAATTACAGTTCTTTTTTCAAAATGTCAATACATTCTATATATTTCAGTTAATAAATAAATTTTTTTCACGTCGAAGAAGAATTACAAAGTCCAAAAAGACATTTATTCATCGTGTTAGACTTGAAAACATAGTTTATAATCTATTGAAGGAATGAAAAAAAGTCCTTTTAAACTCGATATGCTTCGATACAGATTCTTTTTTTCATTACTCAATTATAGTATGTTATTGAGAAAATATTTTGTCCTCAGAGTTCTTTTACTAGATGATTTGGTTAATAACAATGTAAAACATTCTATTTTAACTTGAAGTATTTCCCTGAAAATATCATATATTTTTTTCTTGAATACGCAATGTCTGGCAAATTATTATTTTCTAATTTATTAAAAACCACACTTAAAAGATCGAGTATATTTTTTATGCTTTATTAGATTTCTAATGATTATTGAAAATTTTATATTTAAACCAAGATCGATGGGTTTCTTTTTTACATCAGTAATCACATTTTAATTACTAAAATTTTCTTCATCGACTTTTTTTATTTAAACATTAAAAATCAAAAAAATATGTTTTTCTCATACGATACTATCAACAAAATAAATCCTTGTCGCTATGTATCAATGTCATGAAAGTACATTTATATAATGACATTTTTTTGTATGTCGTTGCTATGAGTCATTCTAGTTGCACTTGAAGTGCTTCATAATTGAAACTAAATTCAACTATTCATAAGAAGATTAAACGTATTCATCAATTAATCATGAAAGCCTTGAATAAATGGCGTTTTTTAAATTTTATTTTCTATTCTAACCTCAATCTCTTATCATTTATTTGCTATAAGACTTAAGATAACAAAATAGACGACCCTGATTGACATAAAAAAAGAAAAAAAGTATATTCAATTAATAGTATTTTTGTGATATTTTATTTTAGTGCGGAAAAAGCGGAAATATACCTCCTGGTACAACAGTTGATGTAGCAATAACACATCCAACTGAATTCGATTTCTATTTATGTTCACATGCTGGTATACAAGGTACATCTCGCCCATCACATTATCATGTTCTTTGGGATGATAATAGTTTTTCTGCTGATGAACTTCAAGCATTAACTTATCAACTTTGTCATACATATGTCAGATGTACACGTTCAGTATCAATACCTGCACCAGCTTATTATGCTCATTTAGTTGCATTTCGTGCACGATATCATTTAATTGAAAGAGAACCTGAAAGGTAAAATTTTTGTTTTTTTAAAGAGAAAAACAAAATTTTCACGGAAATTTATTGTTTTTTTTTGTTGTTGTAGTAATGAAGGTTCACATCAATCATCAAATGGCGATTCCACCGGTCAACAACAAGTTCAATTGAGTCGTGCAGTTACCGTACATCCGGATTCGGCTCAAGTCATGTATTTTGCTTAGTGTTAGAATAACTCCTAATCCTAATATTGCTCATATATCCTCCATCTATTTACTTGTCATCATTCTCTTTCTCTAGAACAATTTTCTCTCTCTCTCGCTGTGTTTTATCTCAATAGATCAATTTAATGTATTTGTGTTCATGTCTTCTTTTCCTTACTTTTGTTTTTGTTTTCGTTCCTTCGATGTATATACATTTTTTCTATTATAGCTTCCTCTTCAATGCGCACAAATTTGAGTGCAATAGAGGTGCTAGTTCTTTTCCGTCGCCTATCCTTAGTTGTAGTTTTATTTACAACAGTGCAATTATTATTCAAATTCTAAATAATTACACACACATACACACACACACATACAAATAAAATTTTCGAGCTATTTGTCGTATAACAGTGTATATATAGTTGTTGTTGTTGTTTGCAGTGTTTAAGCCATGAAAAAATGTCACTCTATGATTGTTTTTCTTCAACAGTGTGTTTGCATTTTCAAACAAACTGCAATAACGAATGATTAAGAAAAAAAAATGCACAAAATATTAATTCGAACATCAACATTTTTCTTCTTCGTTTTTTCTCTCTCTTCTGTGTGTGTATGTGCACGCATTTCTTTTTCTTCATGTTGATTCTTTTTACTTATATACTCTATGCTCTACCGTCGATACATCAATCCGATTTCCGAATGACACAAAACTGTCTGCTTCTTTTTTCTCTCTCTCTTCTTTCTTTTTTTGCTTATTCAATACTCGCAACAGAAAAAAAAAGTAACAACGCAAATTATAAAATAAAAAAACATGTGTGTATGTTTGTAGAAAAGAAAGACAATATTTCATTGCGTTTCTCTTTTTTTTTCTTTGTGTGTCTCAAATGAATTTATGTGAATGTGCCTCTTTTTCTTTTTCTTTTTGCCGTCATTTCCTTTGTTGTTCTGATAACAAAGCGTATAAATGATATTCTTAATTGACTTATTTAAACATAGTCTACAAGAAAAACAAAACTGAAAATTTATTCATTCACTAACAATTCAATTGGAGGAATTGTTTCAGATATGTTTCGAGAAGAATTGGTATGATATTGTTATAATGAAATAATCGATTATTAGAGATATTTGATTGTTCATAGTTCAATGCTTGACATATAGAATATGCATGTAACCAGTCTTTGACGCAGTAACATATATTATTCATGCAATTAATGACTTATTTTTTTAATGTGAGAAAGTACCAAGAGTTTTTTCGTCTATATATTCTATGAATTTTAATAATCATATTAGAATTTTCTATATATATACATTCATTTTTTGTATTCTTATAAAAAAAGATGATATCTTTCTAGGCCAATGAAATTTATTTAGTTATTGTTTTATTAAAAAAAGAACAGAAAGAAAGGTTGACATATGATTTTTTTCAATAAAAGTACATTGCTGTTGCACTACTAAAAATACTCTATCAACATACGACGGCAAATCTGCGAGAGACAGTTGCCTTAGAAACTACCATTAACGGATGAAGAAAAGAAAAAAACATCAACAGACGAAGTTCTATTAGGTCATTAAGTTTAGTTATGCCATGGATCTTATGTCTTAAACTATCGTCAATATTATAGATCCTAGACTATAATATTAATTTGTATACAAAAATATTTTTTTTTAAATGAAGCATATAAGATGATGAAAAATAATTCTAGTATAAAGCATGATTTTTCAAATTGTGTGGAACAATGATAGACATAAAACATAATTAAATGTGATCCACATGGTGAATTTATATCATACGATAGTGTATTAAGTTTGTTCTTTTTTTCTTCCGAGAATAGAAAATGATGTCGAATAAAATCAATGGCGTTATTTCTTTTTTTTCTTTCCCACTGAGTCAGACAGTAAACAAATTATTTTTATCTATCATTTTCTTCTATACATAATAGACCAACTTTTATCTTCAACAATAAATTGCTTTATTTTGTATCGATATATATGTATATATCGAGATATACATATATAGATAGTTGGGACAAAAAAAATATATTAATCATTAACTCTCATGACGTCATTATATTTTTTCCTTTCTTGATTAAATATATATACAAATTATTTTTCATTGCAATCATTCACATTAAAAAACAACGTAAAAACAAGTAGTACCTCTATTCTAGTTTATTTGCTAATTTTTTTTTCTCACTTAACTATACGACGCATATTATTAATAGTCACGTTTACGGGACATGTGAGTTTGTCAGTACCCGCGAACCTTGGAAAGTATGTAGCACAAAAACCTCCTAACGTCTTCAGTTGTCCTCCCTTTTTTTTCTTTCTTCTTTATCGTTCTCTCCGTGCTTTTTATTGCTCTCTCTTGTCTACAAGCATACTAAACTACGTCTTTCTAACATTTCGCTTGTCTGTCGTTGTTTTTCTTTTTTTTTCTTCTTTCTTATTTAGCTTGCTTTTTTTTGAATAGTACACCGTGTCGATGCGCTGTATATTCATAATAAGTAACGACAGTAAGTTAATATATTCATGTTAAACATATACCTTTTTTTTTTAATGTATCCAATCATGTCCTCAATTGATGGGCGTTTCCTTTTGATTTTTTTGTTATGGTCTATCATTGATTACTTTCGAACGAGTACTACATTTGTTAGTTGATTGATAATTTCGAAAAACTTAGAACCATAATGATTAATATATAATATTTATGGAAATATAGAGCATTCGGGTACTCGTCTACCAGAATGTCCTTGCCGTACTTTTATTATACGACCACATATTTCTTTCCTTTGCATTCTTTTTCCATTCCTTTTCTTTCAGTCTTCTCGAACGATGTCGACTAGATGCGAGTAGCGGCAGTACAAAAAAAAATATAGAAAGAAGAGATTCATTTGACCGACATTCGCGTACTATTATCAGTCTATATTCCTTATTTATACTCTAGATTATATTCATACATTCATATTCAATTTGAAATTATTTATATTTTTTGACTAAAAGAATGCCTGAAAGTGAATCAATCATTGCAATTAGTAATGATGAAGATGAAATAACAAATACAAATGATATGGAATCAAGATCAAGTACATCACCAAATTCATCGAAAAATAAACGAACACGGTTAACATTTCCATTTGGAGCTTGGTAAAAAACAAAATTCTATTTTATATATTCATAATAATCTTTTTTGTTTTTTAGTCGAGTATGTTCTGATTCTGCTACCGGTATACATTATGGTATTGCTACTTGTGAAGGATGTAAGGTACGTTCATCATTTGAGTATCTTGTTACATTTAAATACTATAGAAAAAAAAACAAGACTCTATTTATTACGTTGTTAAAATTTTAATAATGTAATACGAGAACTTTTGTATTTATAAGACGTACAACATGACCTTTAATTCTATTTTTATGTTTCAGGGTTTTTTCAAAAGAAGTATATTACGTAAAGAAAAATATCGATGTTATTTTGATAATTCATGTCTTATTAATGTAACAAATCGTAATCGATGTAAAGCTTGTCGTTTTCGACGATGTATTGACGAAGGCATGTCTGTTGATGGTAAGATATAAATAGCAAAAAAAAAAATAAAAAAAAAAGGCAATAATCTACTTCTATTTATGTAGGTGTAAAAATGGGTCGTATACCAAAATTAGTTAAAGAAAGAGCTTTAAAAGAATTGAAAGAACAAAAAATGAAAGAAGAAGCTGCTTTAGCCGAAGCTAATGAAGGCCATGCTAGAGAATCATCTTGTTCATCTATATCAGATCGTAGTATTGAAAATTATGATCCAAATGCAATGGAAATAGGTAATATATATAATAAAAACGTTGTGTTTTTTTTTACTTTAATTAAATTTAGATTGTCTAGAATTTCAAATATCACCTATTCAACGACATAATGATAATTATGATAGAAAACTATCAAATCAAACATCTATTTTAAATGATAATCAACAGTTAATAACTGAATCAAAATGTTTACAACATAATGATATGATAAATAAAACAACGTCAAATACTTCTGAACAAAAAAAGTCACAATTTATTTATCGAACAAAATATCAAAATTTTCTACCAGATGATTTTACAGCTGATGAAACAGATGGTTTAAATTTACAGTCAACAGGTTTATTAAAACCTGATCTTTTTCAACATGTAAAAACAATAGCTAATAAATTATCTATGGATCAACCAAATTTTTTTGTTGAACTTACAGAAGATGAAACTATATTTATTCGGTAATTATTTATACTTGTTTTTTGTTATGTTGAATAAAATAAATTTTTTATTATTTAGATATCTTCGTTCAGCTGCATATAATGTCTTTTTTCGACATTCAAAACGAGTAAAACAATTAATTTCTCGGATGCATCATATGGTTGAAAATAATATTCAGGAATATCCTGGTGCAACTGCAACATTAGCAGAATATTATGGTAGTGTTCGACGTATGTTAAATTTAGTGTTTTTCAATATAAAATTCTATATTGTTTTCTCATGTTCTAGAAAGTTGTCAAGTATATACGCGTGCAACAGTAGTTTATGTACAAGAGGTAATTTAAATACAATATTTAGTTTTTGTTTATTAATTATTTTGTTTATTTATTAGTTACCCGGTATGAAAAATATGAGTTTAAAAACTCTAGAAAAAATGATTTTTCATCGATCATTCGAATGGTATCTTGTAAGTTTTTAGAATTATATATCAATATGAAAATAGAAATTTTCTTTTTTCTTTATAGCTTAAATATAATGAATTATATAATGACAATGGTGAATGTTATATGATTGGTCCCGATGGTTTTCAATATTCTCGTTTTTGGATGGATAAATTCAATGGAACAAAATTATCCGATGATATATTTGATTTTTGTCAACGTTTTCATGACTTGAATTTAAGTGATACAGAATTCTCACTTGTTTTACCATTACATATGTGTTATAATGGTAAAATAAAAATAATACTTAGTATATTATAGATTAGACGTTTTCTTTTTATTTATAGATTCAAATGTAGACGATGAAACACGTCAAATGCTAAGATCTTGTTATTTTTATGCCCTTTATATGGAATTATGTCAGAATCGTGGTGAAATTGAAGGCAAAAGAATGTGCAGTAAAATTTTACAAGTACGTTAAGAAGATAAAATGATTATATTTTTATATATTTAATTAATATTTTCTAGGTACTCGAATTACTAATTCCACTTACTGAACTTTATGGACAAAAAGCAGCTACTTGTGTATTAGAAGGTAAATTGAGATATACTTTTATTCTCGTAGACTAATCATTTATTTATTATTCTAGCATAAAAAACTAGCAAATATGTGAATAGAAAAAACTTTGTCTGGTTAATAATTAAGAAAAAAGCTTTATACTCATGATGATCTCAACGTGAAAAATAAAAGAACAACTTTTTTGTTTATTCATTATTTTTTTGTTTTGTTTTGTTTTTGCTGTTGTTCTTGTCTACTTTTTACAGTATTGTCATTCTATTACTTTCTTTTTTAATGTATTTCGGAAGAAACAGTGATATATATATTTCTTTTTTTTTCTTTCAATGTTGATTCCGGTTTAATAAGAAAAACAAAAAAAGAATTGAAGTAGACTTTCATCATATGTGTTTTTAATTCAATTATAAGTTATATTATTTCGAAATTGAATTCTTTTAAGATTTCATTTGAATTTATTTTTTCAGGGAAAAAGTTATTCATTTTTAGAAAAGAATGATTTAATTGTGACTACGATGAAAAGCTTCTATTGAATAAATATTGAATACAATCAATATTAAAAATATTTTATAGTATGATCATTTCTATGAATTTATTCGAACTTTCAGAGTCCTTATAATCGAACTTTTAGTTTGCTTTAATAGAATTATTTATGAATTAAGTACTGGAAAATTTTTTACCGAGAGTAAATAAATGTCTTTAAGGTACAAATGATATGAATAAAGTACGAATACTGTCATTGAGTTTATTTCCCTCAATGATTCATATAGAAGTTCTAGAAGTATAAAAATAATTGTTTTCTATTTCCTAAAGATATGCTAATGTTAGGAAACAAGTCTAGATATTTCAAGAATACTGTTATCTATGTGTATTCTATTCTTATTAGTAATATATGTTGTCATTCTATTTCTATTTCTATTTCCTGACAAAAAATGTTGTCTGACTTTCCTCCTACATATAATTATAGACATTTATTTATGCATATTCATATAACTGAAAAATGATATTTCCAGCAGTAAAAATAGAGTTTAAATATTTATGCTCCTACCTTAAGCACGCAATTTTAGTTGGTATTTCTTATCCATAAATTACTGATAAAGTTATGGTTTTAAAAATATTTACAAAGGGAATATAAAATTTCAATAGAGCACGTATATCATGAACTGTATAAAAAATAGTTAAAGATTCTAAATATTCAAATCAAGAAAATAGGTGATTGATTCAAATAATTCATAGTTTCTTTCTAAAACAGTTCTGTATGCGTTAAAAAGAATAAATATTGATTGATATTCAACGATGTACATTTAATATAACGCACATCTAAATTTTTGTAAGAATAACATATTTTCGTACCCTTGTTCAACAGGAAAATCTAATTGATAATTCATTATATAAATCTCCACTCATAAAATATTGTTTAAAAAGTTTTACATACATTCAAAATGCAGTAGTATTATTTATAGATGAAATTTTAATTACATATCAAAAGTTAATTCAGATGGAATGGTAAAAGAACATTTACTGATATTAAAATGAATACATTACAGAAAAGAATGATTAATGATTCTCTACATTATGATAATAGATTAGCATAACAAAAAAATATGTTTATATTGTAGTTGAGTATTGAGGTTACAAATCTTTTCTTCTCGAGTGATGCTAATAAAAATTTTATTGTAATTCAAGTTTATTCGTTTTATGTCCAATAAACAAAAGAACTAGATGTAAGCATTTTTCTACTCATTAATTAATTTAAACGATATAAAAAAAAACGTTATGAAATAGAAGGAATTTAGTTATGTAAAAATATTCTATTCATCGTCAGTATACTTCATGACATGTACTTATATTTTTCTTATTATAATATACTATTTTCAAATAGTCCTCATTAATATAAATACCTTTAAGTTGTCAATGTTTATTAATAGAAATATGTCAAACTTTAGCAGATAACACAAAATGACACGTCCGCACGATAGTCTACTTCAAGAACTATAATATGTCATACACTTATGACGTCTGAAAAATAGAATAGAGTCAAATATAGTTTCACTTATTTGTCTGGATGACGGTTCACATTCTAAGCAAGTTATTATAGAGAAATTGAATGTTTTATCTAATTAAAATATGAATTGATACTTACAAAAAAATAAACTATTCTTTATTGCGCAGTGAATTTCTATTAGCTATACTTCAATTGAGAAGAAGACTATTGAAAAGCAAAAATTAAAGATACAACACATTGAATTATAGACCGATGTTGAAAAATTGAACTATTGTTTTATTTTATCAATAAAATGCGATCGGTTTCCGTTCTCTCCGGATGTATATGTTGTAATAATTGTGGCTTTCGTAAAAACTATTCATTTTCTGAATGAATTCATTACGATAAGTAAGAAGTTGATGATGCAAATGTACGTTCACCAATCAATCAATATACAATAAATGAGCAATAGATTGAAGTAATACTTAGAAGAACACGAACAGTCTATGTGAAAATAATTCTTAGCAGCTTTGGGCAATTTCTTTTATTGATAAAAGATATTACAATCACAAAAATGGTGAGTAGTTTTGATAAAATTCTTTTTCAGATTGAAAAGCTTAAGATGAAGATTTATCCAGATCCTCTAAATGTAAATGCAGTAAAGTTGTAGAGTATATTGAATAAGATAAGAATTGTGAGTTACCTGGTATTACCTAACAGAAAAAATACAAAGAGTGAAAATAGTTCTTTCGTAATCTCTTTATCTCAAATACATTCAATCAAATATGAAGTATTTGAACAATAAATTACGTATCTCTGTTATAAAAATGGTAGTTATTATCATTATTGATAAACAATTGTGTCTTCCATTTGAATGAACTCGATCACACTATTCTTTGTAAACGTAACAACATAAAAGCATCGTTAAATCTCATTCGAATATGACAGATGAAGTTAGATATCATCAGTCTTGAGGATATGAGTAAATGATACGTGTAATATCTCAATTTGTCATCAAGTAAAGTCTAATCATTACTTTAAATGTCAGTGACCTATAGTTAGATTCATCATACATATGAAATGAATCAAAGTCATCAAGTTTGAATTTAAAGTATCTTAGCTATACATCTATTTCATATAATTTTACTATTCAATGACTTGTCAGTTTTCTGTTTAAATAAATTGCTCATTTTTTAGTCTATTATGAAAATGCATTTGTCATTAATAATTCTTGATTTTGAGGGTGTGAGTATGCGCATCTTAATACAATTAAAAAACAACGTACCCACCTACATCCACAAATATCTCTTATAATTATTGTCATATCATATACATAACAAACCATAATTAACTTATGTTATACTTGTAAAACAAATAACAATAATGAAATGAAAAAACTTCGATAGACAAGTTACATATATTCATATTTAAGTTGACATGTAATCACAACACTCGTGTCTATTAATACGCATATCTTCATATGACAAAAAAAGATCCTTTACGCACTTCATCAATTATTCTGAATTTGTTTTTGAAGATCCGCTAAGCTTTTGAGACGATGTATGTCTACTGTTTGGTTATTAACAGAATACGTTAAACTATTTTTGCCATTGGCAATAGTTTGTAATTTATCAAATATTCGGCTACCTAATAAATATTGAACAACCAGGTTATAATCGTTCTTTAATTGTTCGGATAAAACTACTGTTTCTTGTTCAATCATAGATTTATGTCCTTCGGCTTGTTTGTGTGCAGTAATTAAATTCGTATCAGCTGTATTCTTCGCTGTAATAAGGTTCCCTTCACTAATATTGATTTTAGCCTTGGTATTTAATTCGTGTTGTCGACGATCATATTCGGTATCCATTTGTATTTCTAAGATTTTAGCTACTGATGCATCTAATAGACCAAATGATTCTATATCAGCTTTAATCATTTGTACACCTGAATGTTCAATCAAATTACTAACAACTGCTAGCCATTTTTTGTTTAATCATATTCAAATTATCCGACGATATAACGAAGTAATGATGTTTCAACTGAATATATTCCTGAGTGATAACCTGTAATTTCAAAACAAGCATTATATGCATTTCTTACGCATATTAACTTTTTAGGTTTGATTTATGACTGGTATCGATAACCTTAGACCAGATCCCACATGAACAGATATAAATAATTTAAACTTTCAATTATATCGAATTAAAGGGTGTGGATGTGATTTTGCACAAAACACGTATATCCACACATCGATAGTTTAATGCTATTCCGAAAAATAGTCTCTATATCTTTTACATTTGTAATTAATTAGAAAATAAATACTGCTAATAATAACTATTTTCAAATATACAACGTCAAATTTAAGAAAAAATTGTTTAATTTAGTCTTGCTTCGCTATTATTCAAAAACAGTTTATGACTATAACAAAATATAACTTAACAACGAAAAACGAAATATCATCATAAAAGTAAATTTATAAGACAAAGTACGAAAAATAACTGCACCCATTGTGACAATCAAACATATATAGAGTCGACGAAAAACGATTCATCATTTTGTAATATATACATGAATTATATAGCTTTAATCGAGTAATAATTATTATACTAGAAAACATCATATAACTCATCTGTATGAGTTTATACAAAAACATTAACTGTTAAATATTGTTTTATAACAACGCAAAATTATAGAAAAGTAAATTATGAATATCTATATATAAACTTATTTAAATAAAAGAAATATTTCACTTCATTTTTCAAGTATAAGTAACCTGTTATATATAAAAATAGGTATATAAGATGAAATGCTTCTGTTATAATTAAAATGTATAACAAAAAATTCTAATAAATATAAAAAAAATAAAAAATAAAGTTAATCATAGAATTTCGATATTTTTTTCAATTATATTTCATTGGTATATAATACAAAAATAGCTCAGTTAAAAGAAATATTTATACATATTTGATTTTGTACCCGAAATAACTTATTAACTAGATTCTGCAATATATGACAAAAAATATATTAAATTAAATGCAATAAGATGTCTGAAAACATTCTAGACTATGATTTCTAAGTACGTACGTCGATCGTGCCTTCTTTTTTTTTATTATCTATCTCTAGTGTTCTTAAAGAAGCCAATAGAAGATACTTAAAACTAAATATATTATACATCATCAGCAATTCTAGGAAACTATTTAATAGATTCTAGTAAGGCCAAAATACAAATTCATACTCAGATGATGTATTACATTGATTTTATATTTATTTGAAATAAAGTAACTATTAGAAAATTACTGTGCTAATTAAAACATATTATTAAAATTCTTTTGAAACTAAATTATCCCCATGGTTTAAAATTCGTCCTATTAGTTTATCATTAGAATAGAATCATTGATACATGTCTCCCTAATGAGACTAGTACAATGCTAAGTGATAATTGTCAAGGAAATGAATTCTATAATTCCCATGTGGCACAATATGTTTTATTACGTAAACAAATTGATAATCAATACATTGCATTATGCCAACGTATGTGATACTTCAAATAGATGTATTTAACGGTATTATAACAGTTCAATCAATAATATATATGTTGAATATTTACAATACGAAGACTAACATTCAATATTATTATGATATAAGCACGACATTTGATTAAAGTATACAATGAATTAAAATGTATGCTTACAGTCAATTTACAACGTATAATACAATGATATTTTGAATTGTCTCAATAGATCTGTATATTAAGAAATCAGTTAGATGGATTCAGACATAATATTTGCGTTATTTTTCAATTAGCTAATAGAAATTGTATGTCATGCTACGTTTCCAACAGATTTGATTTCACCAAATATGTTATCAAATATCCTATTACTAATCTATAGTGTCGTCGTTTATAAGCCATCGTATACATACTTATGTTTATCTGTAATTCGTTGACAGCAATAAGATCCGACTAGTTATTTAGTATTTCTGATGAATTTAAACTCGATTCTACAGCAACTATCTATTCATTCAATGTTATAAATAATAAAAATCATTTCTTATTAAAACTTTAGTTATGAATTAATTCTTGTTAGATTGAAGGCGATCCTTTGTAATAGTTGTTATTTTGGTTCGATATATGATTATTATGTAGGTGTTATTTACAATTATATTCGAAACTCTAATTATACCCATGAGATTTATTAAGTCTCATATTCCATGTGTATATTATTAATCTGTTCAAGTTTCATCAAATATGAATATAGTAACTTAAAATAATTCATATTGACGTAATCAATAGATTCCAATTGAATAGAAAAGAAATTTAATTAAACGATAAAAAAAAACAGAATTTTTTTCTTTCTTTTCTTTTTATTTTTATAAATATATAAATAAATATCACGGTGATGAACAACAACTAAGACATGATTTTCGATATTTCTTTTTTTTCTTTTTAATTTTTTTAATTTTAATTTTTGAATTAATTTCTCGTACAATTTCAGCAAATATATCATTAACATTAATAGCTAATTTAGCTGATGTTTCAATATATGGACAATTCCATGATTGTGCTAATTCAAGTGCATCATTTGGTGTAACTTGACGTTGTATTGATGCATCACATTTATTTCCAACAAGACATATTGGTACATTATCCGTACCTTTAACACGAAGAATTTGTTCACGTACTGGACGAACATCAAGAAATGATTGCCATGATGTTAAACTAAATATAACAAGAAAACCACGTCCATTTTTTATATAAAGATCACGCATAGATGCAAATTGTTCAGTACCTAATGAAATATTTTAATTAAATAATTTACTAACAGAAAAAAAAAACGATTAAACTAACCAGCAGTATCAAGTATTTCTAAATAAGCAGGTTCAGTATCGACTTGAATTTCTTTTCGATAAAAATCCTAAGAAGAAAAAAGTAAGTCAAATGAACTTTAAACATTCGAAAGAGAAGAACGAACAAAAACGAAGTAAAGTGAAGTTTTTATAATAATATTTACTTACCTCTATCGTTGGATCATATTTTTCAACAAATTTTGAATGACAAAATTGTACAGTTAACGCCGATTTTCCAACACCACCTGGACCGAGTACTACGACTTTATACTCTTTCATATAGACAGCTTCACCGATATGACTGCTGCTGATAGGATGAAGACGAGCAGCTCATTAAACGCTACTGCGCACACTTACTTATATAGTAAAACGAGAAGCTGTTGTAGTCGAAATAAATGTTATAGTGAGAAGAAGATGAAGAGAAATCTAGAAAAAAAAAGAAAAGAACAAGTGGCAACATGTCACACATATACCACACGAAAGTACAAAGCGAAGCGAAGCAATGCAAGAAAAAAAAAAGGTCATTCATTTTTCTTTTGTGCACATTTTCTTCTTTTTTTTCTTCTTCTTCTTCTTTTGCTTGTTCTTTCTCCTGTGCAAGATTACAAATTTTGTTCCAGCTGATTCATTGTATGAAACACTTCGAAGTTTCATCGATTAGATGAAGAAAAGAAGAGATTATATAATCTTACCACTACTATCATAATCGAAAAAAATGAATTCATTTTTGTTAAGAAATTGATTATAAAGAAATAATTGACATTTCAACAAACACCAAAAGAAATGGAATAAAAAATAACATGCAAGTATATACGACAGTTTAAATATACATGTGGACATACACCGTTATACATTATACTAATGTATAGAAGTAAAGAAAGAAATAGGTTCTTCTTTTTTTTTTTCATATGCTATACAAGGATTGGCGTTGATCTGATCGATGGCATGGATGCAAGCAAACGCATATATATATATGTATACGTTGTGCAATCTGAGTGTCGTCTAATCTTTCTCGAAGCAGGCACAACAAGTTATGTATTTGATTGTATTGTTGTTGAGACATCATTCATCAAATTGAATATCATTCGTATTACAAGTGACAATCAACAGAAATATATAGGACATTCGATCTTCATCGGGGTCGTTTGTCGTCAGTTTTTTTTTTATCGTTAGTATGGCTGTTATTGCACACTCCCTCGAGCACCGATATTTGAATATACTTCTTTCATGCACATAGCTAATCGCTTTATCTTACTTATAACAATAATGTAACTCGTTGCATATATATATATAGATATAGATATATAGTTATAGATATTTTTAGTCAGTGTATGTTTATATGCCCTACATAGTTTGCGATAATATAATACACAATATATTGTCAAAACTTTCTCTTGTATGTTCATTATTGCTTCGATTGTGTATGTAAATATATGCATATGAATGATTGGTTGTCTTGAAGAAAAGCCTTGAAGCTAGAGATGATTGATCATATCATCTGATTGATTATCTATCTTTTAGTCGACCAACAAGGCATAGTCTATTCTTTCGTGCTTTAATCAAATAAATCAATCATAGTTTGAAAGTCACTTGACGAAGAAAAAGAACAAAGATCTTGAGTTTCTCTAAATTCTTTTCTCTCTTTTCTCTTTACATGGCTTCATCTAAATTGATCTGTTTGTGATAATATAGCTCAACGATTCTTATGAATTCAAAAGGAAACTTAGTAATTTTTTTTGTAGTTGATTACTTTCATATACTCATCCAATTTCACATCAAGTAACCGGACGTTAGATGATATAAAAAATATGAATGACTCTTTTTAAAGTATCTGTTAAATGCTCAAAGTTTCAAATGAAAACTGTGTATAAATTAATATCTATAAAAACCTAAACAAAATGAAAATTGCTATCTAATTATCTGAAGACATGGTATGCTATTTTGATGCTATATTTATTGTCGGGATTCATGAGGAAGGAAGTACACTGATCTTATTATTTATTACAACGTAAAGGTCTTTTTTGAGAATGAGTAAAATCTTGAAAAATAATTTTGTCATGTCATTAATTGAATATCTGAGAAAGTTATTATTAGTATCAACACAATTTTTCTTCAAAATATATATATGAGTTTTTGATGGACAATTTTGATTTGGACATATTCTCAGCAGTGGGTAAATATAGAGCAACATGGTTGTTGCTATTGTAGGCTCCCTATAGAGTCTCTTCAGCTAACAGTAGTCAATAGAAGCAGTAGTAACCTCGTCATCATCATTAGTGTCAGACGACAATCTCTTATTCTTGGGGTAGCTAAAAAAATCGTCCTGTCGTTTGTCGTCATTTTTATTTCTTTTTCTCTTTCTTAATATTATTTTTTCCTTTTCTTTTATTCTTTCTTTCTTTCTTTTCTTTTCTTTTCTTGTTCTGTGAAATGAGACGACTGACAAGCATGAGAAACAACAAAATGAGAAATCTTCTGAGTGGGTATTCTCCACATCTTCGATGTAGCACGCGAGTAAAGGCGAGCATTGATGAGTCTGTTGAATGTGCGAAGCGAGAAACGAGCAAGAGAGTAGTATGCACTAAATCTCCGTCTATGATAAGAATACAACAAGGACGAATGTTGAGAAAAGCAAACATTTCCATATTCTTGTTCTTTTTTGCAATTAGAATGATGTATGTGTTAGAAAAAGAGAAAGATGAATAGACCGATTAGGATTACTAACAATATGAACTTTAACTAAAACGATTGATTTAATCTAACAAAGTATGACGCCTCCCCCTCTTTGACAAGCATTATCATATATCCCTTTTGCATCTCTTTCTTCTCATATTTTGTGTGTGATCATCAACAAATCCTTGATGATACCCACTTGGAATGACAGGAAAAAGAACGAACGAACGATCAAATAGATTTCTTCTCGTAATAGATAACTAAAACATTGACAAGTAGGTTTTCTTTTTCTTCTTCTTCTTCTCTTTTAGATAATAATTATTGTAAAACAGTGTTGACTTAAAAGAATCCTTCTTTTTGTGTTTTTTTAAATAAGATAAAATGAGACTAGGTAAGTAAATAGTTTTATTTTGCTTAATTAAATCTATTGATAACTAATTATTAGCCTAGATAAATAAGAAAATAAGTGGATAATAATTATCCTTGGTGGTTGTGTATGAAATAATCGATGTTCAATAGTAAAAAACTACTCACGTACAGGAAGTGATGCAGAAAAATGCTTATTCTTATTGTTGTTTATCTGTGGGATTTACTCATTATTATAACAACTGCTGTTGGTGGTCAACAACAATTACGTACTCAAACATTTGACATCACTATTGGTAATTGATATACTAATTGAAAAAAAAATCAATTTGATTAATGATTTTTTATTTTGTTTTCCAGGTGGTGTTTTTACTGATAGAGACGAAGGAACAGAAACTCAAAGTATGGAAAATATATTTAAATATGCTATTTTTCATTATAATCGTTTGGCAAAAGAAGCACATAATTTGTCATTTAAAATACGTATTAAAGAAGAAACATTAAGTTTAATTGCTGCTGAATCAGCTGTACAAACTGTTCATGATGGTAATAGCAAAATATTAATTAAAATTTTCTATTTTTTATTTCATTTTGTTTTAGTCTGTACTCTTGTACATCAACGTCGTGTACAAGGTATATTTGGTCCACCTTATCCTGAATTAGCAACACTTGTTCATTCAATATGTTATCATGTTGATATACCCTTCATAAATGTATGTTCATCATGCTATGATGCAGAAAATGCTGATGACGAACCTAATGATGATATTGACCATACGCCAAGACGTGATCGTATGTCTATTAATTTATATCCGTCCAATCAAGATCTTAATGTTGCTTTTCATAATTTAACACATAAATTAAAATGGACTAAATTTCTTATTATATATGATATGGATTCAGGTAAAAGATGATATAACTAATTAACACATATGATTTATCTTCATTTATATATGATAAGGTTTGACACGTCTACAAAAATTGCTCAATGATCCAGGTGTCAATCAAACTGATATCCTTGTACGTCAATTTACACATTATAAAGATCGTAGCGTACTTAATGATGCTATTGGACGTGGTATCAATAATATCATATTAGATTTAAATGATTTAAATACTCGTACGGTATTAAAAATGGCTTTACAAATGGGAATGATCAATGCACATTATCATTTTGTATTAACAACATTGGTATATATATATATATCAACGAAAGAAATATATATATATTTATAATTTTTTAAATATTTTAGAATGTTGATACATATGATTTAGAAGATTATAGATATAATTTTGTTAATTTAACAGCATATCGATTATTTAATCGTCGTGATGCACGTGTACAAATGGCAATGGAATCATTTTTTGCTTTTAAAACAATGCCAAATAATGAAACTAATCGTCGTTTATTTACAGTAAATTATTTTGAGAAAAAAAACTTTAAATTTTAATCTATGATGAAAAAATTTAGACTTCAGTTGCATTATGGGCTGATGCTGTACTTGCATTTGCATATGCTTATGATAAATTAATTGCATCACAATTACAACTTGGTGTAGATTTAATACGACCGAATATTTCATGTACTGATGGTCGTGGATGGTCATTAGGAATTGAACTTCATTCAAAATTTAATCAAGTATTATTTATTCACAAAAAAAAAGAGAGAGAATATTCATATATTTTTTTTCTTTAATAGATTTCTTTTGATGGAATTACTGGTAAAATACAATTTACATCAAATGGAGAACGCACAGGATTCGAACTCGATGTTGTTCATCTATCGGAAACTGGCATATCAAAAGTAATCAGATTTATTTTTGACTAATCTAATCAATTTCATATATATGAGATGAGATGAGTAGATTAAGTAAGGATTTATTACAGTCGATCAAGTTGAAATCTATCCCTATTTCTTTTTTGCTTATGATTATTATCAATACAGGATAAGTTTATAAGAAGATCAGATAAATATTTACTATAGGTTAGTCTAACTATTTATAGAATATGTAATTTTGCGTATAAGCAGATGTCAAGCAGCTTGTCAAACATTATTTATCCGCAATGATGTTTTTTAGCATGCAATCAATTTCGATGAATAAAAACAAAACATATAATAGATTTTATTGTAAAAAGTGTCACGCAACGAAATTTAGTATAGAGAATCTAATATCATTTACATTTACATAATTGAAAAAAATGAACTCATAAAATCTATTAGTTCATAAATAATAATACGTTTTTTTTCTTCGATGTAGATTGGTTCATGGTCACGTACAAAAGGTGCGAATTTTACATTAACATCAGTTACACGTGGCGGTTTATTTAATTCTACATTAATTGTTACAACTATTGTTGTATGTTATTCAATTCGTATAGAACAAAAATAAAATATTTTCTTTTTTATTCAGGAAGCTCCTTATGTAATGTTTAAAAATAGTCAAAATATAAGTGATTTACTCTATCAAAATTATACAAATAATGATTTTGAAGGATTTTGTGTTGATCTATTAGAAGAATTGTCTCGTAATCTTAAATTTCATTATAAAATTAAACCTATTACAACAGCTCGTTATGATGATATGGTTGAAGAAGTGAAACACAAAGTAATTTATTCACATTATTTTTTTTTAAAAAAATTTTTCTTGCTTTTAGCGAGCTGATTTAGCTGTTGCACCCTTAACTAGTATGATTAGAAAAATTTATAAAAAATTTAATTGAATCGAATTTTTGTTTTTTAGTAAATTATGCAAGAGAAAAACAAATTGATTTTACTAAACCCTTTCTTAGTTTGGGTATAGCCATTCTATTTAAATTACCTAAACCTGAAAAACCAGGTTTATTCAGTTTTTTAAGTCCACTCTCACTTGAAATTTGGGTAAATATTATTAATTTATATGAAATTCTATTAAAAATTATGTTTAATAGATTTATACATTTGCTGCTGTATTTACTGTTAGTTTTATTCTATTATTAATTGCTCGATGTTCACCTGATGAATGGCGTAATCCTTATCCATGTGATACTGAATATGATATTTTGGAAAATCGTTTTACAGTTAGTAATACATTATGGTTTTCTATTGGAACATTAATGCAACAAGGTATAGATAGAATTTTACGTATATATATATTAAAATTTTGAGGTAGTTTTTTTTTAATATAAGGGTGTTACTCTTTTGCCTAGAGGCATATTTCTTCTCAATGATATATGATTCTTTTATTACGAGAGAAGAAAAAGAAAGAAAGAGATAAGAATATTTTTCTTGTAAATACACAGAGAATGAAATTCTTATTGGCCTAGAATAAATATAAAAAATAATATTGCTTTTATAGAGTTTTCTTATTAATTAGAATTATTTTTACTTCATTAAATAAAGTTGATGGATCAAGCAGGTTCTTTTATGATATTTCATAACTGACATTTTCTACTCGTTGAAATTTATGGTTGAATAAAAATCCGAATTGTTGCTGAATGCATTCAATGTAATAAAATGACTTATTAATATAGAATGGTATTTGTATGAATAAGACCTATTCTGCTAAATTTAATCTACAGGAAATAAATAATGGAACATACCGTCTCTTTAGATATTACGTTGTAGAAAAAAACATTTCAAGTATAAGAACATATATATATATATATATATATTTATCTTCAAAAACTCGTAGAGTAATAGATAGTAGCAGCAATTAGATACTATCATCTCGTAAATGTAAAGACAATACTTACAAAATATATCACCATTTAAAAATCGATTATTTATATATTTCATAAGATCTCAAGTAGAAAACACTTCTTAATTAAGAAAATATCTATTTTATATTTCAATTGAATCACGATCGTATTGTACCGGTAATTGATTCAAACATTATTTCTTAGATTTTTTTCCCATCTATCCCTTATTATTCGGTTAAAATCTTTGATGAATAAAGAAAAATTTCTCTTTCTTTTTATATTTAAATATATATATATATGTATATCTGTGGGTAATATTTAAATAAACATTAAGTCATTTCCTCACATTATTCATTTATAATTTTTTCTTCTTCCTGAATCATATCAACGATAGAATTCTATAAATAACTTTCTTTTCAAGGTTCCGATGTTAGTCCTTCGGCTATATCAACTCGTCTTGTATCTGGTATATGGTGGTTTTTTACATTAATTCTTATCTCATCTTACACTGCTAATTTAGGTATAACAAAATATTTCTTAATGAATTATTTCCTTTATCAACTAATAAATCCTTTTTAGCTGCTTTTTTAACTGTTGAAAAACTTGTTAATCCAATCGAAAGTGCCGAAGATTTAGCTAAACAAACTAAAATTAAATATGGACTTGTTCAAAGTGGTTCCACCGAACAATTTTTTCGAGTATATTTTTTTATTATTATTTTTCTTATTTTTTTTGTATTTTCTCTAAGGAATCGAGCATTCCAACTTATCAAACTATGTGGAAACATATGCAAAATAATCCGGATGTATTTGTTAAAAAAACTCATGATGGTATTGAACGTGTTAAAGCTGAATCATATGCATTTCTTATGGAATCAACATCAATTGAATATACAGTACAACGTGAATGTAATTTAACGCAAATTGGTGGATTACTTGATAATAAAGGTTATGGAATTGGTTTACCAGAAGGTAAAAATATTTTTATGAGAAGAAAAGCTTTTTTTTAATATTTTTATTATAGGAAGCCCATATCGTGAACGTTTTTCTGAAATAATTCTTGATTTACAGGAAAAAGGAATTGTACGTTAAATAGTTTTTAAAAAAAAATACATTAATGTTTTATTTTTTAAAGATTCAAAAATCCTATAATAAATGGTGGAAAGGTAAAGGAACATGTTCATCAGAAAAAAAAGATTCCAAAGCAAATCCATTGGGTTTAACGAATGTTGGTGGAATCTTTGTGGTGCTGCTTGGTAAAAATCTCGTTTGAAATTAATAAAAACTTTCTATATTAATTTATTTATTTTTAGGCGGTGTTTTTCTTTCGTTATTAGTTGCTATCCTAGAATTTTTATGGCATGCACGTAAAAATCATGCAAATCGACGAGTAAGTTAATATAATATACAAAATAAAACATGAGCTTATGAGATAGTTATTTCCAAGTGTTTTTTTTTGTCTTGAGTTGGATAATCTGAATATTATTGATTTGAAGGAAATGCTTATTAGCTTATATGTAAAACAAAGAATAAAAAACGTACGAGATTAACAATCCAATTATCGATAATTCTTTCCGTTAGTTTATATATGTATGTGTGTGTGTGTGTGTGTCTATTCTTATTCTTGTTTGTCGTGCGTGAAAACTAGGTACTAATGATCACGTCATGATAATCTTATTAACATTCTTTATAGAATAAACATAGACTAAAAAATATTAATAATAACTTGATTTATATTGTTCTATTTTGTCATTGGAAATATGCAAAAATTGATTTAGCGTTAATCACGAGATTGAAGCTATGTGGAAAATATTGTATAGGAACGGAAGTACCCAAGATTCTCGAGAAATTCTCTAATAAGTCACGTTATATATTAGAACAAAATCTAGTTTTAAATGATCTCATTCAAACAGAAATCGATGACATTCAATAAATAAAATAATTATAAAGTCAATATGGTCGGAAGTAGAATTTACATCGGATGAATTTAATGAAATCGAGCGAGGTATTTTCTATATTCAGCAACTCTTTTTGTGTGTTTAAAATTTCCGAAGAACAAATCCGATTGAATCTCGTGTGATCTATCTATTAACCTTGATGTTGACAGTATATTTATTGATCCGACATAGATGAATGATGTGTTAATCTAATAGTAACCAAACTGACATAGAATCCAAATTGATTAAGCTCAAAACTAAGACTCTCAATTGAGATGTATGTATTTTATTTTTAGCAATCTGTTTGGTGGGAACTAATGAAAGAACTTCGATTTTCTATTCAATGTGGTGCTTCAAATCGTAAAGCACTTGTTGCTCGTCGATGTTCTCAATGTACAATTGAGAATGACGATGTTGAATTAAATGAAATACCTCCACAAAATCAATTACTTCCTCATATACATAGTAGACGTTCATTATCAGCAACATCGGATAATTGTCCAAATACTTCACAAAATTCTAAACGTCGTACAACTGTCGAACGAACATCAGATTCTGATAAATTTAATACATTACTTATGCTTGCTGCCGAACGAACAAGTTATCTTGATACACGTCGTAAAAAATATTTTAATGATACTCATGTAACTCGAAAACATCGTCATTTGTCAACATCACCACAACGAAAAGATGTTCCACTTGTATTAGTTGAACAACAAGAACAACAACAATCGCCACAACAACCAACAAATCATGTACGATCTCAAGTAGTTCGTTTTCCTAAACATGCAGGTAAATAATAAATATTTAAAAAAACATATATGAAATTTCCTTTGTTTTTCTAGATCTATCGCCTCAAAGTAGTTTACAAATTCCTCATTATGAAGATGATGATCCACATACTGCCGATATATCATCGGGTTCAACATCATCAGCAGCAGCAGCAAATCTTCGTCCTTTACCACGTGTTTCTCGATTGTGATTTTTATCAATATGTGTCTGCGTGTGTTCGTGTGTTTCATTTTGTTATTTGTTCTTTTTTGTACAGATAAAGAAAAGCGAATAAAAATAGTTAGTATTTCAAGAATATAAAATAAGATTTGGAAAAAAAAAACGTTAACTTTATTGATGTTTTGTATTTATCACAAATCATTCAAATTAAACTTACCTGTTGTTTGCTCAAGAGGCGTTAATAATTCAAGTAGGTTTTTTTTATTATTGTCGAGAAGAAGAAAAAGAACATTAAATCGACTTTTATACATTTAAGGGTGTAAATAAAATGCGTATATACATGACATTTATTGTTAGATTTCTTTTTATTGAGGTAAGTTATTTTTAAAATAATGTCACGTCTATCGATACAACGAAAATCAGATGTAAAACCTTTCGTAAGTATGAAAGAACCATCGAAAGGATCGAAAATTGAATTTCGATGGTCTACTGTGGCATCACAATCGAATATTATGCGAGAGAAGAGTTCGTTATCGAACTTTCAGAATAATAAACAAAAGAAATCTTTCAATTCTTCTATTTCATGTTCAACCGGTATGTTAAAAATAAAAAATAATTCATATTCGAATCTGTATTTATTCTGTCTAGTTCATAATTCAATAACAAATCGATTACCATGTTCAACAACAAATCTTTCGTCTTCATCGACTCATTTACCAATAATAAATAATATGAATAAGAAAAACGAATTATCTATATCAACTAATTCCAATAATAATAAACAGAAATGTCCATTATTACTGACTTATTCGCAATTATATCGTGCTCAACCTCTTTCTCAAATGAAAAAAACACCTCAAGCAAAGTTTTCTATTTATTCATTATTAAATAATAAACATATTACTAAAACGACTGTAAATGAAAATAGTTTATCTTCATCATCATCATCCGATCAACAACAATTAACAACTGATCGTTATATAAGATTACGTACACCACAATTACGACGTTTACATGTTTCAGACAAATATATGAAAGAAGCCAAAAAACTCTATTTTAATGTTAATTGTAAAGTATTTGTACCATATTCTTCAATAGTTGAAGTTTCTTAACAAACATACATAAATAAATGTTATTTTTTTTTCTCCTCAATAAAAAAAATCATTAGTTTTTAAAATATATCCTTTTTATTCCCATTCATAGTATAAAAAATAAACTGTATTTCTTTTTCGTGATTTAATATATGCAGTCAAGTGTACACTCTTTGCTATAGTATAATACGGTTTATTACGAATTATTTTTTTTTGAAAAATACTAGAGAAAACTGATCAAGTTAAGTGTGCTTTTAAGTTAGAATTTACGGATGTGTAACTTTTCGCGAAAAACTATAATCATCTGTTTTTGATTGCTCTAATAGCAGTGGCGGATTTAGGGGGAAGACGATCAACCCCATCTCCCCCCTTCCGAATTTTTTTTTGATTTTTTACAGCAAAAATGAACGAAAAAATAGGTTCACACTACTTCGGCTGGACTCAAAAAATAGCTTTTAACCAAAATCGCCCCTCCCCATCCAAAATCCTAGATCCGCCACTGTCTAATAGATACTCTGGACCGTGCTTAGTCAGCTGGTGATGTTCAAGAAAAAAAGCACATAGTTACAAGCTACAATTTGTCGAAAAGCATGACCGAGAAAACTGCAGGGGCGTATAGTGAACTTAGATCATATTCTTAACATAAAATCGAAAAGCAGAGAGCGGCGGCGTCGTGCTTCACCCTTGCATCTAAAATATGAAAAATGCGTCTTTTAATAACGAAAGAATCCAGTTATACTAACAGTTTTGCATATTCTCACGTATGAAATTTGAAACGAATAAACTTTATGACACCATTGTAGAGTGTGCACACTTGACTGTATATGTGTGGACATGTAAATTTTCAATAAAGGTAAAAACAGTCTGTTCTTATATGTAAGAATATAAAACGATTTTTCATCAATATATACAACATAGAAAACAAAAAACTACTACTGATTAGAAACAATTCAATACATAGATATATTCACTGTTTGGAATGAGGAATTTAATATACAAATTATTATCGAATATTATTCATTGAAAAAAAGATTGTTGTAAACAGGAGAAGATAATTTAATGATAATTGTTGTGATTGTGAACAGGGATTTATTAGACGAGCTGAATAAATAGAAATTGTTTTATCATCTGCATGATTATTAAACGAACAACCATTACTATTATTACAAATTAAAACTTGATTAGTTATTGTAAAACTCTAAAAAAAGAAGAAATTTTTTTTCGAAATAATTAAGAATAATAACGACATACAAGACAATAAGATGCATTAGAAAATTTTGATTGAGCAATAAGATATGTTGTTGAATGATCTTTCGATTGCCATGATGCCAGACATATATCGCTCTGCATTACTGATCGATGTTCAAGATCTAAATTATAATAAATTTTAAAGAAGAAAATACAATGATGATTAGAGATTGTATTCTTAAACTCATCTGGGGTTTAATTAATCGGTTATTTTACTTGTAAATTCTTCTATACATTATATTTGCTTTAATTTATTCATTTCCTTTTCTTTCCTGACCATTTCCTTTACATTTTTTTCTCTCCGCCGTCCTATGACTCTATCTATTTCAAACCTTTTTGTTTCTGTGAAATTATTAATTTTTCTTTATTATCACAACCAACAGACATAAGAAATGATTTTCTCTTTAAATAATAATCTGTATTTGATTGATATATCAAATAACCAATATGAGTCGGACATGAATTAGAAATTGCAAATGATTTGGTAAAAAATGTTTCATATAAACTATAATTTTCATTATTAAAATAGCTACAATTGTTTCCATTTGATAATGATTTAGTATAAAGTTCAATAACATTATCCGTTCGTTGAATTATTCGAAGACATTCTTCTTTCATATGACTAAAATGAAATATTTTTGATACAAAAAAATTTTTTATTTTATTAAAAATCAAATACCAATTTGTTAATGTTCGTATTCGATAAATACTTATTGATTTTTCTGAATGAATAACTTCTTGACAATGAAAACGTTTATTTATTCCAATAAATTCAATATCATAATTTTTAATAATCATTCGTATTGTTCGATTGATTGAATACCATTCATAGGATTGAAATTCTTTAGGAAATATACAATCATGATTCATCGGATGATCTTAATTATTTAACAAAAAAAGCAAATAAGAATTAATATTTATTAGCAAAAATTTGTACTTTTTGTTGAAAGATGTATAACAGTTGACATATGTTTGGAATATATATCATGACATGAATCATCCGTAGCCATATAAAGTGATAAGGATGACGAAGATTTTTCTTTCGTTGAAAATCGCTAAAAATAGACACTGAATTAAAGAGAAAAAGATTCAAAAAATTTATTTTTTACAAAACATGCATATTGATTATTTTGATGATTATGTGAAAGAATACGAGTAACGAAATACGTATCAAAATCTTCGATCCATGTTCCTACACAAGTAAATTGAAAATCTAAAAAAAGACAAAAGGATTTTAATAGAATAGATATTTAAAATTTATAAACCTAGAACTGGTTGATATGATAAACATGGAGTAAAATGTAAATGAAATTGATCATGATCTACACATTCATTCATATACGATGATGAAATTGATTGATGACAAACTGAACCATGTTTTATTAGGTTTGTTAATTGAAATGGTGGTTGAATAGGACATGATTGGGATTTCGAATCATCTAAATAGATTATATAATAAAAAGAATGAGCATATTTCTTAATAAGAATAGCATATCCTCGTTTGATGTTCTTGGCTCTCTAGTGCAAACAGACCTTTGACTTAATCTTTATGTATAATGTTGAAACAACAATACTTACTTCGATGAAGGGTATATAATGCAGCATCAAGCGCAATCATATTTGGGCATGCGGTAATATTCAATTGTTCATCTACATCAATACATTCACCTATATCAACAACATATAGAGAAAATATATTTCTTTCAACAACTAAACATACTTTCGCGATATTGAAGTAAATTAATATGTCGTGGAATAAATAATAAACATCGAGTACAAAGATTTATACTATATGAAATATAAAAAAAATCAAAATAATTTTAATGATGTAATTTAGAATTACCGATCATTAAATAGATAATACTGTTGTGCAGATAATACATCTAAACAGAATCCTTTACTCTGAATCTGATCATCTGTTATCTCTAATAATGAGTTCATTCCACGTTGATACCATAAACCAAGCCATGCCGTAGGCATCTTGCACAACGAACAAGCTATGGATAAAAATAAGATATCACACAATCATTTCTTTTAGTTTAACATTTAATGTTAGTACATTATATTCATTCTTAACACGCCTATGTACAATAGAAAATCTCTACTTCTTATGAATATTTAAACTTTGTTAATACTATATCTTATTCATACACAAAGAAATGTAAGACATTGTACAAAATTGAACTAGTAGGTTCTTTTTTTTTTTGTTTCATAGATATAGACAAGAAAAGCAAATAGAAAATAATTGTGAACTCTATAGATTGTCGGAAAGAAAATGTTAAGTTCATTGAATGAATGGAAAGCTCTGTCAATAATGAAACAAGAATTGACATATACTCGGAATCCGATAATTGACATTCAAAAAGCTGATTCTATATAGTAGAAGTAACGCTTCAGATCATTGCAATTTTTTTTTGACATTGTAAAATAATACTTGGAAACAATCAACGTATATATATATTGATTACTAAAAAACACAGCTCAAGGCTAGATGACTATTGCAATTAGAATAGAACAATATACTGTAAAGGATGTTCTCTTTCCTTCACACATCTGCTCAATAAATACTTCAAAAAAAGTAACAATTAAAATGAAATTAATGTGTTATATATTGGAATAAAAATTCTAGAAAAATAAAGTTCAGAACAGATGGACAATAGTTCACATAGAATCATGTATATTATTGATATAAATCTAATTGACTAACAAATGCGTGAATACATCGTTGTCTATTCGGATAGACAGCTGTTCTATGTATAAATCTTCATGTTTATCGAATCTATCAGTCTAAACACTCATTTATCTATTTTGACAAATATATATTGAGTAATGTAGAGAAAAAAAAAAAAGTCTTGCAATTGATTACCTGAATTTATTTGTAAAAATAAAATAATATTGAAGAAATAAAATTGATAAAGATCTTTCATCGATATGCCATTACATAAGACTAATGTTCAATTTTTTTGCTGTTGTAATTCTTATAAGAAGGAAGAAAATGAATAATGATTGAACGCATACAATACGATGCTTCTTTTGCCTTCTTGTGAACAATAATAATGATGATGATGATGAGGACGAGGAGGACACAATCTTTATTTCTTTTCCATGTTAGAAGAAAAAGAACGAAGAGAGTGTGATGATCGCCATCGTAATGAGAATGATGGAAAAGAATGAATAAGAATAAAGTAGGACGTAAATTACTATTGTATGATGGAGCCGACAATCAACTGTCTGGACAGCAGCTAAATGATCGCGTCATATACATATAAAGACTCTTTTTTTTTAATATTCATTTAGTCACGTTTGTCATTTACTTTCTTGTTTTTTTTTTTATTAAGTATGTTTAAACGTGTCTGACATCATCTTATCATGACAGAATAAATAAGAGTTCGTTCATTTGTCTAACATATACCGTCAAAATAAAATAAAATAGATTTTATAGCTTAATTTATTCATTGAAGTTTAGAATAAGGTCAAAGGACATAGGAATATTTTGATTGTCAGTAATAAGTAATGAATTCATATTATGTAACCATCTTGATTTTATCTTTTTTCATGTTTATTGAATATAAAAAAATTAAGTACTACTGATAATTATAAAATGATAAGAATTTAAAAAAATTAAAATGGATATAATACGTCTCATATCGTATTTTTCTATCCTATTTTCGTTTACCACGACCCCAAGCGCCGTTTACTATTGATTTGTTCGTGTTCTTTGGCGATGCCGCAGGTTGTTGTGGTTGATCATGTTTTTGAGAATTATTTGATTTTACTCTGGTTTCGTGATTATTATTTGTTGGTGTAAGACTGAAATTATAAAAGAATACAGCAGTTACTAAAAAGGAAATCGTATCATTATCTTAAACCTCTAATATAAGGAATGCGACAGAATGCTATGCTATTTACAATATCATATATTCTATCATATTTATTACATACTTTTTCTCTTTTGCACTTGTATCACCTTGTCTCGATGTGCTATTATTGTCTTTATTTTTCGTAGCTGTCTGATTGTGAAATTGCTTCGGTGAATAAGATGATTGTCTGTTAGGTGATTTTGCATCAGAAGTTTTATGTATTTTGTCTTTATTGTTCGGTGTTGAAGCATCAATGATTCTCCTGTCATCGGATTGCTCAGTTACTATACGTTCATCTTTTCGATTTGATTTTTGAGTTGCATCTTTTGTATTATCAATTGACTGTGTTGATGTACTTGCTGTTACTGTATCAGGATCATCCTGTGAAATGAATCCCAATTCGTCTGCTTTTTTTATCCAAGCATCATAAGTATCATCGTTTCTTAAGACAAAATAGATTCGACTCATTGAGCCAGCTTTACGATCAACTGTTGATAATGCAACGTCAGCACCTTCATCTATTGGCTACGAAATACATAATTGAATTTATTTGCTTTAAAAAGATATATACTTACATAGCCGAATATACCGCAACTAATAGCAGTATAAGCAATTGTTTCAAGATCGTATAAATTAGCTAAAGCAAGTGATGTTTTGTAGCAAGATCTCAAATCTTCTTTGCATTTTTCTGGTATAGTATCATCATAGCAAGGACCAGCTGTATTTATAATATAATGAGTAGTCTTCGACAATCCATAGCTAAGTAAAATGCGTGAATGACCAGTTGGTAAACGAACATCACGATAGATTTCTTTATGAGCTTTACATGCTTTACGAAGTTCATCTCCAGCAGCTGTGTGAATTACACCATCAACTCCACCACCACCTAACATCGGTTCATTCGCAGCTAGATAAATAAAACGAAATATTGATCATGTCTTTATAAAGAAAAAAAAACAAACCGTTAACAATAGCATCAACTTTTGTTGTTAAAATATCTCCTTGAAAAATAATTAATTCTGTACGATTTTCATTGATACGATAATGACGAGGAATACGACGTTGATTTTTATTTGTTGGCTGATATGCTGGACTCTCTCTAAATATAATCATATTTTTTTTAATAATGATTTATTTTGGTGCTTAACTGACGGATTAAGATTTGAAGTTGATGTTCTCGCAGGATCATGTTGATTATTATTTGATTCATCATCAAAACTACAAAGCAAATATAAATTTCACGAATATTTTAATATTTAACTTATCAAATCTCAATATTTTTTTATAATTTAAAAAAAACTTTTAGTCTGTGATGAAACTAATTGATAAGGTATTTTAATCCAATTCTATTGACTCTACTAGTCATTACTTATTTGTTTCGTTGTTGTGTGATGTTTGGTTTGCATTGTTTCTTGATGGCATTTCAGATACATGTGAATTACGGGTTGATCTAGATTATGAATTAAAATAAGATAATATTTGAAATACTAATCAAGAAAATAGCAAGAATCAAGACTGAAGCATTGCACGAAGAATAATATATAAAATAAATATTCATACATATCTATTAATTTGATTTTTGCGTTTTTCTGCTGGCTCAGTTCTATAAAAGTAGTAGTAAAATCGTGCCATACATCTTTATCATAAATGACTATGCGAATTTCGTTTAATTTTGTTTTATTTTTGGATTGTCCAAAGTTATCTAATGCTTGATAAACACTTCGGGCTGCTGCTATTGCTTCAAATCCAATAACACCGCAACCAATTGTTGGGAAAGCAATTGTTCTAAAATACTGCTCAGCTGCTAAATTAAGACATGAAGTATAAGTGTTTCGTAAGTATTGGTATGCCTTTGTAGGATTGCCCAGATATGGTGGCATTGCAAAGATATATCGAGGTTCAGTTTCTAAAACTACCTGAGGTTTGTCTGGTGTTAAATCCATACGTAATCGATCAATTTTTCTTCGACACTGTTCGTTTGTTCTCTCAAGTATAGCTTTAAAGATTTGAAAATTATCAGGTTTTGGTTCACTTGCATTTGGTGTTGGAATAACAATTACATCAACATTGTTTTCATCTAATAGATTTCCTTGCTTCAAAATAATATTGCACGAGTTTTGTTGAAAAAGAATTTCACCGACATCATCATTGTGTGTTGTAGCCATTTTATCTATCTAAAACAAAATTTTAATTTATTAAAATTTCACACTGAAGAAATAAATTATTATGTTCAAAAAAATTTCACATTCGGACTTATCACAACTTATAACTTTCTTACTCTGAACCATAAAAAAACTATTTTTCGATTAACGTCACAAATGTCCTATTGATAAATAGATTAATTATTCTTCATTAGAGATATACGAGTGTTAAAACTGACAAGGGAATCTAATAATGAATCAATGAACAACAGTCTATCTGAACACATCTATATCTTTTTTTCCTTTCAATCACACGTGTTTTCTAACACACTAGTTAACTGTCATTGAGAAGGAATGATCTTTTGATAGGATATCTTGTATTTTTTCAAAGCTAATGGATACTCAGAAAAGAATTTTCAAATGAATGAAAACAATTATTTAGATATTAATTGAATTTAACTCATAATCTTCGAATCAACAATCCTTGTGAGATTATTGATGCACAGTACTTAAAACAAACCTATTTAGAAGGAATAAAAATTGTTTCTATATCATATGCTTAGTTACTCATTCTATTCTATAAATACTAAAAACCAGCATCACATATACTTCCATCAATCATCCGCTTTAAATTCGGAACTCAATAAAAAAAACGCTTATAACTTGTATATAATGATGCATAGAACCAACGAAGATAATATATAGAATTTAATTCATATTTGAAATATTCTACATCAATTTAAGAAATAAATTCATTGTAAAATTTGATAATAATGATGAATAGAAAAATAAAGACAATCGTTAAATATTCTCCTTTCTAAATTTTTAAGACACAAATGACGAAAGTTTAAAAGATATCAGGTATTTGTTGACTGGGAAAAAACCGTTGTTACTATAGAATTAAAAATATAATATGGTTGTGTATAACTTGTTTCGGGGAAGCAAGAGAAGCACATGTTCTTCTGTTTTTCTTCCTAGATAAAATAAAACCTGAGCAGAAAACGACGTATGCGTCAGTAGTTGCAAAGAAGGAACGAATAAAATACTTGCTTATAAATGAAAGCAAAAGACAGAGTTTGAGAGACATCTGTTTATAATAATGAAAACTTTAAAAGGATTTTTCATTGGAAAAATTGTACACGTTTTATTTTAAATATAAGGACAAAACGAAATAAACTGTTATATAGAAAATATAATAATGTTTCAACCTACAATTGTATTATTTTCTAGTATTTGTTATACCAACTAATGTCATTGCTACATTATTATTTTGTTCTCGTCTATATAATCGTAAAATTAATTGTTTACATTCTTGACGAAATGCTTTTGAAGCTAAAAGATGAATATAAAATATTGACGATGAATTCACATAAATTAAAAAACTAAGTGCCATATAACGTAGAAATCCTTCTATAGCTGTTCGATCAGCATCTTTTACAACTGTAGATGTAAACGCAGTATACATTGAATATATTGGAAATAATATTGTTGAGAAAAAATAAATAATTACTTCACCAATTAAAATTATTATAAATTGTGCATCTCGTTTTTTTACTCGTACTCTACGTTGAACATTCATATTAGCTAGTGATGTATCTGTATGAACACGAGATCGAATGTGTTTTAAGTGATGAATAGCTAAAGATGAAAATACAACCATAACTATTAGAGGTATTGTAGTAACGACTGCTGCATAAATAGAGTATACAACTGAATAAGTACCAATGGCACCACATCGTCTTCCGGGCATTTGAATATTAACTTGAACAAGCATATGAATAGGTATAATAAACCAAAGTAAACATACTATAACTATCAATCGTATAGCTACACGATGTTGATTAAGAACACGAATATTAATATTTGGTGAACATAATACAAATCGATCGACACAAGCAAGAGCAACACTTGAACGAGATATCATTAAAAAAACATGAACTATGTATGCTTTAAACTTGCAATAGCTAATTGAATATGAAGAATAATCATAAGATGAATAAGATGCTACAACTGTAGGAATAATACCAAAACACATAACAAGAAAATTAAATATTGATGTAGTTATAAAATAAACTGAACAGGAATTCTTTCGAAGATGTTTTCGACAAAAAATAATAATATTTAATAAATTTCCAATAATACCAAATATAAAACATATTGTTAAGATGTAACGAGTTAAAATATTTTGAACAAAACTAAGATCATCAGCGAGTGCCATTAAAGATATTTTGTTGTCTCTTCCTAATAGTCAATGAAATATCAATGAGAATCAAAATAAAATGAGATTAAATTCTATCTATTAGAACTAATTTATATATGTTTTACTCTTTGACTGCTAGACTTCTTGGAGTATTACTGTTGGTGATATTTTAATTAAATCTAAAATATTGTTTTTTTTTATTACAAGACGTCATTAGAAAATCTGATTATGTGTGAAGTATAATTTTCTATTTTTATTTTATTTATATGACCTAGTCTCTTCATCATTGACATCGATTTATATATATAATATTTGACACGCAATTATGAATATAAATTATAAGGAATAAATTTCATAAAATTTACTAGTTATTTGAGTTATATTAATAGAGTGAAACCTCTCATAGTGAACACCTCTCGATGGAAAAATTCACTGTTTTATGAATGATTTCAGGTCTGACGGAGCGATTTTTGTTGGAAATGCATCTCTCCAATATGAACACTTCTTTTTTTCGGTCCCGTCTGGTATTGTCACCTCACCAATGTGAACATATATATGATGTTTTTTTTGACCTCTTTCTACTTTCTGTCATATCTTTTGATGAGCTACCTAATTCGAATTCGAATATAAATGAACATCGAACTGCACACTATTGATTCGAAAACAAATGGTGAAATTTAGGAATAGATTCAGTTTTAGTTTTACTGTAAGATGTATATGATTCATATATACGATCAATGGGTGGGTGAGAAGGATTGATCTGAAAATTATTCTAAAACTAAATCTATACCTAGAAATAGGCACTACTTTTTCTTTTTTTAATATTCGGTTATACTCGAACTCGAATTAGACAGCTACTCTTTGTTTTTATATTATAGGTTGAAAAAACGTTTTATTACAATCGTTTAATTAATAATAAATGAACAATAGAATAGATACTCGGGTGTTTGTCTACTATAAAGGCATAAGCAAATATTCTAAGATTTCTTCCATTTCAGGCTATGTTATATATTAATTCTATATTGTGAGCATCTCCGTATAATGAACACTTTTTTTCGATCCCGATGATGTTCACACTAGAAAGGTTTCAGTGCATTTCATTTTCCTCATATTCAAAATAATTGAATAAATAATATGAAAAAGTCAAACATATTATATAACTTGGCCAACGAGTAATTCAAATATATATTTCTCGGTTTTGAACTATATGTGCACTGAATATTAATAGAAATCTATCATTATTAACTTCTGCAAAGGACAGATATCATATGTATTTTTTAGACAAGTTTACTATTTCACACTACAATCAAATGCAGATATTTCGAAACTATGCTTACCGACGTAGTACTACTACGTGCGTATATTCACGACTACGCACTTGAAAATTTTGCTTATAAGTATAAACGAATGCCTTGAAATTAAATCCTTGATCATTTAATACAAATCGGACATGCATATAACTGAACAATAATAGTAACAGGCCAAAGAATAATGTAAATTCTTACTAGAACTAATATATGGGTGAAGAGCGCGCCCATTGTACCGTTGGGATAAAGAATAAAGTTAGTGATAATGGAATAGTAAGTGTTATATTTAATAGAGCGATGTTGAATTAGTATAAAAATGATATTTTCCCCATACTTTCGCGTTCTTTAGTCGAAAATTGCTGTTTTACAGCTAATTTCTATGTAATACATGCATTTTCCTTATAAACTAAATATATAGACTATTCCTATAAATAGTTTGTTCGTAAAATTATTTTCTCGAAGTGCTTCATTCGATACTTAGTAGATTAACATTGTTACCATAACATGTTGTATACAATTTTTCTAAATAGAAAAGTTTATAAAACTAAGCTCCAGTACATATCAAAATGTTTTCTCTCTTTGATACTCGATCAAATTTGTTCAAAAAATATCTCTCAAAAATAATGGTAACAATTTTAATCTCGATCTACACAGAATGAAAGAGTATCTTGGCAGGTATTGTCGACAGTTTTTAGTTTATAAAAATATTGTCAAAGCTAGAAAATAAAAAAAATAGATCTTCGTCTGGAGGATCACGTTAAAAACGGCAGATTTGATATATATTTCCACGATTTCTCGTAAATTGAACTGGCTACAAACCTCATGTTTTCAGAAGTGTATGGGGCATCTATCGATCAGTAAAATAAAAAAAATATCAAAACTGATCGAGCAGAACTCGAGTTATTACGATTTTTCTATTCAAGAACCGACGGTACCATGGGTGCGCTCTTCATTCATACCTAATGTAAAGCTTTATTATATGTAAGTTTTATTTTGAAAAGAAGGACAAAACAAATTAAACTGTTATATAGAAAATATAATAATGTTTCAATCTACGATTCTATTGTTCTCTAGCATTTGTTATGGCTGCTAATGGTATTGGTACATTATTACTTTGTTTTCGTTTATATAATTGTAAAAATAATTGTTTACATTCTCGACGAAATGCTTTTGAAGCTAAAAGATGAATATAAAATATTGACGATGAATTCACATAAATTAAAAAACTAATTGCAATATAACGCAGAAATCCTTCTATAGCCATATGATTAGCATCTTTAAAAATTTTAAATGTAAATGCAGTATACATTGAGTATATTGGAAATAATATTGTTGAGAAAAAATAAAGAATTACTACACTAATCAATATTCTTGTAAATTGTGCATCTCGTTTTCTTATTCGTAGTCTACTTTGAATATTCATAGTAGGTATTGACATGTCTGCATGAACGCGAGATCGAATATGTTTTAAATGATGAATAGTTAAAGATGAAAATACAACCATAATTATTAGAGGTATTGCAGTAACAATTGCTGCGTAAATAGCATATACAACTGAATAAGTACCGCTGGTACCACATCGTCTTCCTGGCATTTGAATATTAACATGAACAGGTATATGAATAGGTATAATAAACCAAAGCAAACATGCTATAAGTATTAATCGTATAGCTATGCGTCGTTGATTAAGAGCACGAATATGAACATATGGTGAACATAATGCAAATCGATCGATACAAGCAAGAGCAACACTTGAACGAGATATCATTAATAAAACATGCATGATATATCCTCGAAATTTACAATAGATAATCGAATGTGAAGAATAATCATAAGATGAATAGGATGTTACAACTATAGGAATAATACCCAAACAAATAACAAGCAAATTAAATATTGATGTGGTTATAAAATAAACTGAACAGGAATTCTTTCGAAGATGTTTTCGACAAAAAATAATAATATTTAATAAATTTCCAATAAGACCAAATATAAAACATATTGTTAAGATATAACGAGTTAAAATATGTTGGACAAAATCAAGTTTATCATCGAGTGTCATTAAAAATATTTTGCTGTCTCTTGTAATAGTCAATAAAATGAGATTAAACTTGTTCCATTCGAATTAATTTAAATATGTTTTACTCTTTGATTACGTGGAATTTTACTTTCGATCATCTGATACAAATCGGATATGTATATAACTGAATAATAGTAGTAACAGGTCAAAGAATAATGTAAATTCTCACTAGAACTAATATATATATACTATAAAAACGACAATTTCTGTATGAGTTTTTAAAAATAAAGTCTTTTGGTATTTAAATATGTAGTTCACAGATGGTCTATAGTCATTTTCTAATTGCACATAAGACATATGAGTAGCGCGAGAAAATTGTTATTGAGACAAAAAATCATAAACTACTTCTGCATAATTTATTTGCAGGATGAAAAAAACTATATGCACATTTGTGCATGGGAGATACACCTACATAAAAATATTTTGGTAAATTTTCACGTTCAAGCAAAGATAAAACGCTCTGATATCGAAGTGATTTCAAACTTAAAACAATGTCTATCATAATATATGAGAATAACTATAGTGTTTAGATGAACAAAACTAAATGATGATTTATGAATCGTTCAATGACGACATCTACGAATTTTTTCATTTCAAAGTTAAAAGAAAATCGATGTTGATTCTATTTAAAAATCGTAGTAGAATAACTTTTCAACTTCGTAACTACATTATTACTCAAATAAGAGCCCTTATTATTTGATTGGATAGGCATGTTAACCTAATAGCGCAATGCAATGCAATAACTTCTTACTATATCATGAATCGTTTACTACGATCTATTCATTTTTCTAGTTTTTGATCGATCAAAAATGGCAAGTAATGATAATGGAAATGATACTATGATAATATCAATTCGATTAATACGTTCATTTGAACATCGAAATATGCGTAATTTAGTATTACGTTCTATCGATTCATCTGGACAAATGACTGGTAAAGAACTCAAACAACGTATTCTAACAAGTTCGTAGTCTTACTCTGCAGGTGCTATTTTCATATTCTTTTTGTCTTTTCCATTAATTCGCTTCTCATATTGTAGTTTTTATTTAGTGTTACCAAATGAAAACTTACCACCACCATTTAAAACATTTTCCTTCGGTAAATTCCAATAAAGTTCTATAATATCCAATCATTTTTTCTATATTTAGATACATTGAAAATCGAACACTATCCACATCAGTCCAAGGTAATGAAACTTCAACACTTCTCATTTTCGATAGAATCTAAATTTCTTCTAGAGTAATGATGTTGTAATTCGTCGAGACGGTGATGATCGTTTAATAATCGAAGATGATAAACATCTATGTGATTATAATATAGTCGAAGGCACTGAAATTGCATTTTTTAAATACAGTGATTATGAAGTCTATAAAAAAAATCCTGCTATGACAATGGATTAATAACTATTGATATTCCGTCATTTTTTTTGTCACAATAAAGCTTTTTTTTTGAATAAAATCATAAAAAGATAAATTTGTTGATTATTTACAGTTAGTTGATTTTCTTGAGCAAATATTATGTTGATATTCGTTTCTCTCATCATTTCGAACACAAAATAGGTTTATCCTCACCAATGATCAGAAACATTTGTTTGTGTCAATCAATCTTAAGAAAAATTTTTTGTCGGCAACACCTTACTAAATCAACCGTATCGTTATATACAAGCACCAGCTCCCGACATATAACGTTGATAAGTTCGAAATTTTTCTTTTCCCGTAGCTAAACGTTTGTTTGATTTTTTCAAATGAGTAAGTCAACAAGATTCATAAAACTTATCTTAAACTCTGGATTTTCGTATTTATTGATTGATTATGATCACTGAGAGAATAAAATATATCGTTTACAAACTGCCAAATGTTATGTTGTTCTTTTTTTTCTTTTGATCTTTGTCAATCGACAGATGAGCTTAGGTGTATTAATTAGTCTATCTTTTTTGATGTTCTTCTCTCGATTATTATTGGACATTTAATTTTGATTAGCGAGAAGAATTAAAAGAAATATTTTTCTTTTTTTCTCTTTCCTCTTTAAAAGTATATTTTAACTTGAATTTTTATTATACATTTCATTTCATCATTCGAATATCAAACAGGCTAAGTATATTGTTTAATTCTTGAATTCATTCGTTGATTTATTTGTAGGAAATATGGAATCATATTATTCATCATCACCATATTACTATCCACCATCATGTCCACTTCATGATTCTTATTCTTCATATTCAACACCAATACATTCATCTTCATCATATTATTATCCATCTTATATTGATCAATCATCACCACAAGTTGTACCTTATAATAATAATTCAACAACAAATATTTATGTTCAACCAACATCTTCTATTCAACATATTAATACAACACCAACACTTAATAATACTTTTGAATCAAGTATGAATTTGTTAAAAAATAAATAATATAAATCTATATCTTTTTTTGTAATAGTTCCACCAGTTGGTCGTCGTCGTCGACAACGTACTATATTTTCAAAAGATCAAGTTGATATACTCGATCAAATATTTGAAAAAAATCCATATCCTGATATTCAACTTCGTGAACAACTTTCTCAACGACTTGATGTACCCGAAGCTCGTATTCAAGTATGCATTTTTCTTTACTAATTATTATTCATATTAAAAATATTATTCTATTGTTTAGGTTTGGTTTAAAAATCGTCGTAGTCGTGCTCGAACCACTACTAAATCAAAATTAATTAATTAACATTGTTTCGTTGTTTTTATTTTAGTAAATAAATTGATTATGTAAATTTATTTCTTATTTAATTATGAATAATGATCTAGAATCAGTTCTGTATGGAGGAGTAATATCATATGAAATGAAATTTCAAAGGTTAAATTAAACTAAAAGTTGTTTTAATAACGATAAACTAAATATCTATGGATTTATTTTAGTAGAAGAGCATATGATTAGTTATAAATTGTGGTAACAAAGCATCGTCCGAGATTTTGGTATTTCACAATCGAATAAAATATGAGTATTGAGGAAGAAAGTTTTGATAGAAAATATAAAGATTTAATGTATGTGCTCATTAGTGTTGCCAACTCTTCCGGATTTTTCCGGATTTTAGATGACTTTTACTGAATTCAATTTTACCTATTTGTTAATATTCAAAAAAAATTTTTACTTGACAGCGGTTCAATGACTTATACTTCTTATATATTTAGTTTATTATATTTTGAATTTTGACGTTGATTTTCTTTTGATATATAGAAACACGAGTTTTTTGAAATAGTAAGTGGTATAAATGAGAACAAGATTTGGTGAAATTTATTTTAGCTGGTAGAAGTTAACTGTTAAAAACCTTTTCGGATTTAACAAAAAAAGTTTCCGGATTTTCATATTAAAATTCCGGTTTTCTGACTATGACAGTTAGCATCACTGGTGCTTAGTGTAACAAATCTGAGCGCGCATCAGTATAGCGACAGCGAAAATGATTACTAACATGATATCCTGCTATCATTTTTTTAATTATCAGGTAAACATTGTTCTGTGGATAGAAGCATTTTGTATTAAATCGATTCTGTTATTGTCAGTACGTAGTTTATACCACAAAAATCGAGTGTACATGTGTTATTGAATTGGAATGAACAACATGAAAGATTGTAGTAAAAAATGAGAAAATTTATTGAGAAAATATAAGATTATTTTTTTCACTGGAAAAAATAGTTAATAAAAAATATATTAATGATATCGATTATCTTTTTTGTTATTTGATATGTTCTTCATTGATACAATTTGTCTTTTTTTATTTTGTTTTTCTCCATCTTGTTGTTTTTTTGCTGATTGAGAAAATCGTTGTTGTAAAAGATATTGAAGGTCACGATCTATCGCTATAAATATATTTAAAATTTAATTAAAATGAAGTAGCATAGAAATAACTTTACTATTTAATTCCGATTTAATACGATTTTCATCCATTGAACAGTATTGGCAAAGTTTACATTTATCTGGTGAACATTTGATTTGATTAACTTCAGTAATTATATGATTCATTGCAGAATCATATTCTGATTGATCTTGAATACATAAACGTCCTTTCCAAACAATACGATCTAGAGGAAACAAATGATTAATTATGCATCAATTAACATATTTATTTACTTGAAAAATCTAAAATAAAATACATAGGTACGCCATCAATTTCTAATATTTCATGTATTGGTTTATCATTATGTTTTTCTTCATCTACGAATAAAAATAAATAAATAAATGTATATGGAATATTTTCCTTCTTTACATTCAAAATCTTCTGATGAAAAATCAGTATAACATTGAATATCAGTTAAATCTTTGGTAGTTTCTTTTAAATCATCAATATCCATTTGTGTACAATTAATTGATAGATAATTATACTTTAAATAACCAATAGACAAAAAATAGAACATCTTTTTTTTAAATAAATAATTACTTGTGCACGATTATTTGATGCATAGTTAGAAAAATATTCAAGATGATTCATTGATGGTATACATTGATTAATATAAAAGAAAAGTATACTTAATCGACGTGCTCTACCTTCTGATGGTAACCGAATGATTTTATTTTCATTTATATCATAAACTTCAATATTATTCATTATTTGCGGAGATTTTAATAATCCTTGATGTATGGATTGTTTTTCACGAGGTAATGTATCCACATAAAAACAACTAAATAAGATAAAGTAGATGATAGTTTTATAGAATAGAATGACGTAAAAAATCTGAAGTGTATAATTAAGTATAAAAACTATGACATCTTAGTTTTCGAATTGTTCTTCTATTTTTAACATTAAGGTCAAAACGACAAACATCTCTGCGTATATAGAAAATGTTTTTGAAGAACTTTTTAGTTAATATTCTACTATCATACCTTTCAGCTGATTGTCGTTGATCAAAATGCATACAAAAGAATGATAATTGACCAGATGCTTCAACTACAATTTTCTTTGATTTTATTCCATCAAAATCTGGTGTTACGGAAATAGCTATTTCATAAGGTTTATCTCTTCTTGGCAACTAAATAATACAAAAAAACAAAATATTTTATTTTCAATCAATTTAAGATTTACTTCTAATGGATATTCTTTAACAGATCCAGGTATAGGTTTATTACATTCTTGATTATCAATAATTAATTGATAAGTTTTTAAAGCACTTTTATTTGAGTTTGATTCAATCATTAAATTAAGACGAATAGAATCTTTTGAAAAAAAAAGAATAGAAATATTTCGAAATTTCAAAAAACAAACCTGTTAGATGAGTTAATATAGATAAGATTTGCTGAAGTTGATTATCACATTTATCAAAGAAACGTTTTGATTTCATACTAAAAGAAAAATAAAACCTTGGTGTATATATAAAATTATTTTTCTTACTTATCTCGAATATTAATTAAATGATAAATCATATTAACTAATTGTTTTTCATTACTGGAATCAGTATAATTATATGTTAATATTGGTAATCTTGATTCTCTTCCACATTCAATTTTCATAGGTATAGAATATATAGATTTATTTGAATTAGCAAGTTTTATTTCAAGTATATAATTATAAACACCTTTTGCTACATCTTTGATCCATATTTGACGACATTCAGGAGAATATGGACCACATTTACTCAATAAATTTTCTTTAGAATCATATAAATGAAGCTATTTATCAAAGAAAAAAAATTATTATTATTATTGAATATTTCAAGTAAAACAAACCGTATACGATTCAATATTTCCATCATTAATTGAAATTGAATCTCCCCAACAAAAAATCAATTCATCACTACCATTTACAATTGCATGACATTTCGGTAGTGTTACACATGGCCAATTAATACTAACTGGAATTGAGGAATTTTTTTTTCCATCACTTCGAATCATCTTTAAATAATAATTTATTTAATGTAATAATCATCGAAAAAACAAATTTTACTTCTATTTGAAAAATATATCGTTCTCCTGATTTACCATCATTAATAACGTATCTGTTTTCTGTTGGTGGTACACATATTTGTGTTAGACCATTTATTTTTATTTTATATGTCGTAATATCAGATAATTTAACCTCATCAGGCTTTTCCCATTCAAGCCAAATAGAATCTGGCGATGATTTTCTACAAGACAAAAAAAAATCATTCAAAATAAATCAGCTATTTTAAATTTACGTCACACGTAGTCTTGGAGCTTCATTACATGCTATTGTTTGTATTTGAGCACGTTGAGTTGAGGCTAGAATTTTATTTGAATTATCAACAGCACATACATGTACTTCATATCGATGACCTGTTTCAATTTTTTTCAAATAACCATTATTTTTTTTATGTGATACACGTAGCGCATGACTCTAATTTGAAAAATAATTATTTTATTTAAAATAAAAACAAGAGATATTTTTACTCGATTATTATTTAAACTTTTGTAATGTATAACACATTGTCGAACAGTTGGATGTCGTGGTAAATCACTCCAATCAGCAAATATATGACCATTTGGTGAAAGTTTTAGGAAAATATTTGTTTGTGTGCTCGAATTTGTTGTATCAAATGATGAAGCGTCTGACTCGTGTTCTGACATGTCAATGGTTTTTTCTCAGGTATTTGATTGAAAGGTACAACAATAGTTAGTTTTTTTCTTCGTTTTTCTTTTTTTCTCTTTTTTATTGTTCTTCGTATTCTTTTGACAACGCACACATACTAAAAACAATTTTTTGTGGTCGAAAGAAAATTTGACTGTTATTTTATTCTCGTTTCTTGAAATTATAAAATAACAAAATACGTTAGCAACACAACAAAACATCAAGAAATATTAATAATAAAATTTTCACTTCTAGTTGAATACAATTTACATTTACTGATTATAATAATTCTAATATATCTTCTTATAACAACATTCAATAATATACGAAAGATAGTAAACACCAAGCATTGATTATCTATACGAAAATGAATATGATTTATTATTAATCTTTTGTATATGAAAGTTTTTATTTAAGTAAACAAAAATATTATTTTAATCGAGCAATATATATATATAATTCCAATAAAAATCTTTCATAATAAATCGGAAGAGTTTCAGTTGTATCAATATTATTTTCAAAGAAATGATAATCTTCTCCTAATGAAAGCAATACATAATAAATTTTTTAAAACTTGATTGTTACTATTGAATTCAACATACAGTTCTTGTATCGAAAAAACTAAAGATTTGTTCGTAGTATATTTACTTTGTTAGAGAAAAAAAAATCTTTGGTTCATTAAGTTTTCATTCACAGCTGTTGTCATGAAAATTAACAAATTGATCATGCTCTTATAAACTTCTATATTAAATTATTTAGACATATGTTTGTTATTTTCTAGGAATATCACGATAAAAAAATAAATATGAAAAAATTATATTTAGAAAGAAAAAAAATGATATGTAATGCCTATTTATTATGAAAAATAGCGAATGAAATGTTGATTGTAATCATATTTCATGGTTATGAGAAAAGTTCTTTTTACATAATTGATCGAATAATATTGCTGTTTAAAATTCATCAAACTAAAAATACTTATATTCATATTGAATAAATCATTGATCGAATGTTTTCTTTCTTTTTATGATCATGTCCTTTAGGTTAATTCCAGGCAAAGATCATTCATGACACAAGTAACCTTATACATTCGTTTTTAAATTATTGCGGATAGATTTCATAAATAAAAAATATATTAGTAATTTGATCAATAAAAAAAGAGAATATTTTGCTGTTTTCGATTCAATACAAAATAAAATAACAACAAATATGACAATAACCTTGAGTCTTTAACTATGTCATTTTAATGAAAAAAACATCATAAGAGAACAAAATAGATCAGTATCCTTATTTTTATTTGTCAATATAATATTGCGACGGTAAACTTTTTGTTTTTCATTACACATCTTTATTATTCTTTTCTTTTCCTTACAAAAACAATACACATACGCCTTCGCTGCTTTTTCTATTGATATTTTGGTTAAAAAATAACTAGACAAATTATTCTCCTCTAACATCATCTTTCATTTTTCTCCTTGTCACACATACTGTTGCAAGAAAAAACAGAAAAAAAAAAGAAATTCCGACGACAATAGTGTGTAGGTAACGTTCAAGTAATTACCAGTCAAATAAAAAACACTCATATGATAATGAAAGCAGGCATATATACATTATAAGATTTCAAGTGTTAGTAATACCGAAGGTAAGAAAGGATTAAACAATAATATATAAATTGTATTCAAGAAGAAATTGTTTTGTTAGCCTTGTAAAATTATGTTACTTTTGCACCATCTGTAAATTCTAATATTTTTTGAGACGTCATCTTCATAAAAAATAATTGCTCTTATTTCTCATATATATATATTCTATTGAATAGAAAACTTAAAATTCGATTTCCGATAATCAAAAGATCTTTGATATTTATAGTTAATTGTTTTTTCTTCTTCTTCTTCGTGAACAATCTCTTTTGTCGTCATAATAAATTTAAAACAAATGACGACATATATGGCGTTAAAAGCAAAAATAGAATAAAAACCTTTTATTTTTCTTTTAATTACTTTATAAAATACAGTACATTTTAACTTATGACTTATTATAGTTTTTCGTTTGAAAATTAAATTTTATACGAAAGAAAATGTTTACATCTTACTTTAATCTATATATAGTTATAGACAGTTCTTCTTGTTGTTGTTTCTAAGATATCATTTATAAACACAAAAATCATTCATACTTCTCTTCCCACATAAACACTAAACGAACAAATATAGGAGGACATCACATAGCATAGATACTATTCAAGGTTAATATGTCTGATGACACATTTCGTAGTTACACATAATTATAAAAGAGAGAAGAAAAAGAAAGAATCTTACTTGTTATTATTAACTATGTGAATAAACAAATATTTCATGGCATGATATGTGTGTTATTGATTAAAAATAGAACTAACTTGTGTAAGTATGTATATAAATGTAAAATTATGTTCTAACAGTTTAATGACAACATAATTTAGTACGAATAATATACGACCCAATATTAACAGCATGAAATAAAAATAACTATTTTATTTATGTATTTGAATAGGAAAGAAGTTTTTTTCGACAAACATCAACCATCTGGAGTAGATCCTAGTTCCGAGATGTCTGTAAATAAATTATTTTTTTCTCTATTCTAATAAAAAAAAATGTTAACCATACCTTTCATGAACACGTACTATTGACTTTGCTCTTTAGAATTATAAAATATAAAATTATATTAGATTTCTGATCCCTGATTATATTCAAAATAGTTTCTTGTCAACCATTCGAGTTACTTAGTACATATATTTTTCACTTTTTTTAAAATAAGTTTAAAATTATAATTCTTATATTTTTGTTTTCTAGGTATATATTTTGGATAATTTTATCAAAATTATCTAATGGCTGCAAGTTATTTAACTACTGATATTATTGTTATTATTGTCTTAGTTATTGTCATAGGTTTGTTTTTATTTATTTTAATGATTTCAAATATATTTTATTTTTTGTATTTTTATAAAATGTTTATTTAGTTCTAATCGGTGTATGCGCATTTTTACTTCATTATTATTGGACAAAAATAGGTGTTTCTGAAATATGGAATACAGCCAAATGGAGTTCTATGCGTCAATCAGTTTATAAAACATTAAGTCGTTTAAGTCGATCAAATAATAGTAAATATGTTGATGACGATGCTTTATCTGGTGTATCAGTTCATTCATATGATCAGGGTGATGGTGGATTGGAAAAGAAAAAATCAAGTCCTGTTATAACTTCAATTTATACACCCACAAATATTAACTCACAGAAACCGGTTTCAGTTACTTCATATGATAATTCAACACGTCAAAATAATACCCCAAGAACTGTTCGTTCAATTGATAATGTGAAAGTCCATAATAATAATAATAACAATAACAATAGACACGGTGATCTATCAAGTAAGATACAAAAACAGCGTTTCTGAATAATGTAAAATTTATTTTTTGCAATATATTGGTGATAAATTCTTTGTATTTTTATTCTATTTTTTTTCTTTCTTCTGTAAACGTGATTCGGTCTTTCGATGAATATCTTGTGTCGCTTATATATGTGTAATAATAACTCAAATAATTTATTAATAAACAGTGAATATACTTTTAAAAAATATTTATTGGATTAGAATGAATAGATAAAGATTCATTTGTAGTAGTTAGTTCTTTTTCATAACCCAAACCTTGTCTTCGTTGATGAAAATTGATTGATATTGGTGATTTTATACCATTTTGATTCAAACCAAGACCATTACCAGGTGTCCAACCAATTTTTTGTAACAACTGATGACCAACATTAGCTGAACTTATTGAAGTTTCCATGTTATCTATTATTTATATTTACAAATAGAAATATAAAATTCTCAATTGACTTACTGGATGGTAATGATTGAGAATGAATGTAAGTATTCTAAAATAATCATTTTTAGTATTGTTTCTATCATTCATACTAATAGAATTTGTTTCTGAATAATTTTCTATCTATAAATCTTCTGTAAAAACAAAGAACTAACATATTCACAATAATTATAGAACGATTCTTTTAAAGACATGTATTAACTTCTTAGTATTATTCCTATGAAATTTTCTAAGTTGAAAGTAGGATATTCTAAAGCCCTCAACATAGTTACCAGGAGCTATTTTTATACATATGTAATCACATGATGACACTGGCGAAAGTGCTAGTTGGCGAAAATCGGGAATTCCATAAAATTATCCGCCATGCTATTCATTGGATTAAATCTATATGAAACTAATTAAAATCACTCCTATCTGCTCCAAACTATTTCGGAGTTAATCAAAATTTGTAGATTACGTCTAGGCGAAACTCATTCATTCTAAGACATCCAACTTAATGTGATAACTCTTGTATTCATTTTAATGTTAATAGATGTCAATGCATAAATTTCATACTTTTGATCTCGTATGTCTTGGTTGTTTTCGTAATCTTTTTCGATCAACATATGTTTTGATTCGTTTTTGTACTTTTTTTGTTGAATCATTTGACATCAATTGAAGTGCACCATGAACAATTTTCTGTAAAGTTTCATCAGATATTGTTAATACTTGATCAGAATTGAATTCATCATCTTGTTGATTATCCTCCCACCATGGTATAATGTTATTACTTTCATATTGAGACGTTTCTAATTGTTCATCATCCGTTTCATTACTTAGAGAAGATATATTCATGTTAGTTTTATTTCGATATAAATCTTTTTTTATTTCGGATAACGATAAATCATTCGTACTACATTGAATATGTAGACAACGATTTGTCTCTTCAATAATTTTTGAAATTTCATTTTTTCTTTTTAATAATTTAGTAGATGTTAATGAAATCATTGTTAAATCAGATACAAAAAAATCTATAATAATTTTATTTTATTTTAATCTCAAATTTTATATAAAAGGAAAAATTTTATTAAGAAATTATTTCAATAGGTAAACCATTTATATCAAATCCTACAAAAATAGAATATATACGTGATTTATAGAAAAATTCATTGAATAAATACCTATTCCATGTTCATTGATTTTTTCACTTTCTTCATGAATTAAACTATATTCATTGAGTAATTCTTCATCAACGATTTGTTTATTAAAATCAATTTCTTTCTGTAATGGTTTTTCATCGGATGATAATTCATCTACAAAATATTTCAAATATAAATTTTAGGTGATCGCACAAAACGTCGCAGGCGTATAGCTCAGTGATAGGAAGCTGCGGAGTACTCCGACTCTGCTGGAGTCGGGTTTCGGGGTCAAAAAATTTGACTCTAAAAGTCGCTTTTTGTTATCAAAACTTCGGAGTTTTTCAGAGTCAAAATGTTGACTCCGTAGGTCTCCACTCAGTGAGGGTGAGGATGAACATCTGTGTGAGGATACATCGAATACCCACATCCCGCGTACATACACTGTCGAACATCAAAAATTTACTAACAATTCGTTTTGTCCATGCGACGTTCTGTCCTAGTGCCTAAATTTCAATTATCAAATTGTTTTTTGCTTACAAAAAGGTGTTATTAATTCCATTTCAACAGCTTTCACCCATGTAGTGATATCCGTCAATGTTGAATTGACATAAACATATCCCTAAATTGAATAATTCATGAAAATACGCTTTTTATTTTTATTCGTAAACTAACAGTTGAATAATTTATATAAATTATTGCTGGATAAGTTATATGACCATATTGATTTATAGTAAGAATCCATGGGGAGTTTCTAAAGAATATAATTGATTAGAAATCGTAAAACTTTAATATATATTTCTATTTACGTATCAATCCAAACTAAAGGAATTTCAACGGGTAAATTATTTGATTGTACAAGTTGTGTATGACTTGCTGCTATAAATAAAGATGATGTTGATTTGATAAAATCTATTGGATTAAATGGAATCTTAATATAGAGAAGAAAAAAATTATAAGAAAAAAATATAATTCAACAAACCAATGATATTTGAAGAGCATTGATGATTAATGTTTGAAGATGATCGAAATCTTCATTCAATGGATAAATCGTTGTTTTTGGTTCAAATGATGAATTAATATCACCATATTTTTGTTTAATAATCAAACAAGAACTAAAATTATATACACATATATGTATAAATATATATTTTCATTTGAAAATCTAATCATTGAAGAATTCCTTAACCTCCATCTACCTTTCCGTTGAATATTGAAACATAAAAAAGATATGTTCATTATTTAAAAACATATCAACTAATTTTTTATAAGTATCATATACTGGAATAAATTTTTATATATTGATATAAACTAATTATTTAGAATTCAAACAACTTACAAGATTTTTCTTCATATTGAATTCTTGCTAAAACAATCACTTGTTGTTCGATTAATAAACTTTCAGCTAATACCTTATTTGAATCATTAGTAATTTCATAGGGTTGAGAAACAGAAAATCTAAAATGTTTATTTTATTAGATACATATATACTTTTTTCGAGCATACCGAAATAAATTTAATGCCATTTCATTTTCATTTGTACTACCTTGATAGATTTTGTTTGTTGTTAAGTCAGTTAGAATTAACGTTGGCCATTGATAGATATTTTCATTATTACATATATCTGTCCAATCGAAACAATCAATATCGATCATTGGTAAATAATTATTAAGACGTGATGATAGATTATGAAATGTTTTACGAGCTAATTTTGATGTTGAATCCCATTTAACGGTAAATAGTATTGCACTTTTAGGATATTTTTCTCGATAGGCATAATAATCATTAGAAGTTTTAAGAAAATGAACGTTTGGATTAGTTTCAATTTCATTACAACAAGTTTCAGATATATATCGAACTTCATCGTCAAACATTCCATACATATCTAATTGATAGGATAAGTATATTAAATAAATAAATAAAATATGAATTACTTTTTAAATCAGTTTCTTGTTCTTCGTTAAGAAGAATATTGATTAGTTCATTTGACGGATGATCACCAAGACGTTGAAATGTATTCTATAAGGTATAAATTATTCATATGTATTAAGTTAATTGAGCAAATTTATACTTTTTTCGGTGACCAATATAGATAGAATGGATATGGACCATGTAAAAACATATGATTCGCAATATCTATTGTTTTAAAATTCAATCTAAATCAGTAAACTAAATATATCAATATTTTTCTATCATAAGAATTTCTAACTTACATATTGACAGGAATTATGATAATATTTTTATTTGTTATTAAAGTAAAAGTTGAATGATCATATATGTAAAATAATGTTGGTAAAGTTCGTTGAAATACATTTATATAAGTTAGATCAGAAAATCTTTTAATAGTAGCTGATCGTGTATTTTTCATTCCAATTTGTTGTTCCAATATTGTTTGTATATTATCTTCCATTCCACATTTAAGCAAGGTTAAATCATTACCCATCGGATGAATATCATACAAGCAAATAGTTTTTCTGTTATTTCTATTAGACAAAACGGTAATAATATTTTATTTATGATAAATTCTATTTTACATATTAGTAGAATAAATAAAAGTAAACCATTGACCATAATTTAAAATAATTCGACTAATATCAAGATGTACTAAAATATAAAAATCAATTAATTAATTGGCTGATCTGATTAGTGAGTTTTTTCTAGTCTCGACTTCGATGTAAACTGTTTTTTAGGAATTCTCAGACTTGGAACCGGTGTAGACCGTTTTTTATCAAATTTTAAAGCACAAAAACTAAATTCGTGTATTTTGCTCGTTTTTATTAATTTTCATGGCTTCAACGATCAACAAATACGAACCTAAGCGTTGTTAACTAGCAAGGTTATAGTCTTCTTTAACCTTCCAAGTGTGAGCTCTCGCTTTCTCAATGCATGTGTGAAACTGAAACGATCGAATTTTATCGTTTAGATCAAGAATTCCGACCGACCGGTCGAAAAAAATGGGCTGATTCCAGTTCTGGGAATTCTTTTAAAAGTTTAATATCATCGGAAATGATCCAGTATACTTCAAATTAATAAATTATTTTTTTCGTACCTTTAGGTGTTAATGATTGAGCATTGATAACAACAACATCTTCTTCTTTATTTGATTTTTGAATGAAATCTTCTAATTGATTTGTATCATCTATCGATTGAACTCGATAGAGAATTGCCGATCTAATGAAAGATACAAATAATTACTAAAAACAATTATTATTCATCTTACATCATATCAATTACAATAGCTATTGATTCTTCTTGTATTTGTGCTTGTTGAACATGCATACGTTGATGAATAGTTAAATTTGCATCAAATCTAAATAAATAAATTTCGAAACAATCAAAAAAAACAGGAATCGCTAACTGATAAAGTTTGAAAAGTACACCATAAATACATGCGCCAACTTCATCTATATTATCTGCCGATAGATCATTGCATAAATGCTTAAAAAATATATATTATTTTACTAGTTGATTGTATAATTCTTACGAAAACTTACATAACTAACAAAAACATGATTTAATTCAATAAAATTTTCAAATAATTCTATTTCATTCTGTGTTGCAGTTAAAAATTCCGCTATTTAAAGAAAGAATAATATATATATAGGAAGTATTTGTATTAACTTACAAACAGGAAAATAACATTGTATTAAAATACATGCTTCATTATTACACGATTTAAATTTTTCCATTGAATCATCTGTCACAACAGAATTAAATAATAAAAAAATAAAAATCCAAAACATTCGGTTTTTTTTATCTGAAAACGATATTCTAAAGTTTTTATTCGTTTTTTTAAATGAAGAAAACAAAAAAATGATTTTATTCATGTGGTGTAGTATTTAATGGTGGTGGAGATAGACGTTGTAATTGATTTTCACGATCAGTAGCAACAAATGATTCATCAAGATATCTTAGACCATTACATCGTCGTCCAGTTAATGGATCTTTAATACGACCAAGTTCATAAACAATTTCACTGATTTCATAACGTTCTAATGGATAGCGACATTCTAATGTTGATCGTTTTTTTAATAGAACAACATCACCAACTTTGGTTTGTTCACGTTTATCAAATGCTTTATAATCAATACCTAAAATACAAGACAATTTTAGAAGAAAAAAATCAACGATTAATAGCAGCTGATATTATTCTCATCATTTTTATTATAACTTACGTTGATTAAAAAACATATCGAATTTATCATCAAGTTTCATTTGTAATACTCTTACAATCGCTGTTGTTGTATTACTTTTCGTTAATACTCGACCGATAATTAAACTTGGTAAATTAGTTATTTGTGCTGCCATGATTTTTATCTTAAAAAAAACAAAAAAAACAAAAATGAAATATTTTTATGAACGAATATTTGGATCAATATTTTGTCGAATTTTTCTATTTCGATGTCTATCAGGATTATAATCTGATAGTGGATGCCATATACTCGGTTTCGATTCATCATTACTTATAGCTAATGATTTTTCATTAACTACTGTTAAACTATTTTCATCATCATCATCATCTTCATCTTCCTCATCTTTTATATTATTATACATATCAAATTCACTCATCCAATGACGTCGTTCATTTCTCTCAACTGCCATAAAAGCTTTTGACCAATTTTTTCGATTTCTTGATAATGTTAAATATTTATCAAATTCATTATCAAATGTTTCATATTTAAGTGAATCAATAAATGCTTGATAATCATCTTGTCGAAGAAGATTATTTGTTGTACGTTTTAAAAATGTTGATACACTTGTATGAAAAATATCAATTAAATTAATATTTAAATCACGTTGTATAATATATTGTTCTTCACGTCGAACACGTTTAAATAAACCTGAACGATAAACAAATAAATATCTTTGACGTATATGATCAATTGGATATGCTAATGCACCCGATTCAACAATATCACGTGTTGATGCAAATAACATTATTTTTAAATAATTTATTTTATAATCAAGATCAGACCAATTTTCACTAAAAATTTTTTTATGTGTTCGTACTAATTTATAAATTTCACGTTTAGTAAAATAACACATAAGAACATCGATACGTTCACGTAAATAATTTAAATCATATTGTATTATATTTGGATCATTTGATATTAATATTGAACGTGTTGATGTATCAAGTTTTAATTGAAGAAGATTTTCAAAACATTCTTTGAAAATATTTACACTAACAATTGTTTTATCAGCAGTTGGAAGATTAATTAATAAACGAAGAACATCAACTGGTTGTAAACCATATGAACCAAAAATAGATATTAAATCATAGAATTCTCGTGGTGACCATGTTTGAAATGTAGTTAATAAATGTTGTTGAACATTATCGGTTAGATTAGTTTTTATTGAATCTGATAAATATTTAATTAAACGTGTATTAAATGAAGTATCTGGAGTTAATGATAAATTAGATGTATCAGTTGGACAAATTTCTGATGATAGATCAAGCCAATTATGACGAAGTGCTGGTGTTGTTGAAGGAAGAATTTTCTTTTTTGATGATGAACCATAACGAACTAGATTATAGAAAATTTCGAATTAATCTAAGTTTCACAATGCAAAAGTAATTCCTTTCAGAACTTTTTTCTGTTGATCAGAGTATTCGTACCTGCTGGTAAACTTATAATAGGATAACATCGAAAACGAATAAATGACAACATATCTAAAATAAAACGTATATACATTAATATCAATTCTTGTTGTATGGAAAATATGCAGTAAATCTGGATATAGTGCTAATAATTGTAATTAAAACATATACGTTTTTGTATTCTGTAGAATATTATTTCTTAATTTAATGATATAGAAATCTTTTTGTCGAATATTCTAGAGTAAGACAATATTATACATAAAAGTTCTGTATGAGAAAAATATATGAGTTTGAAAAAAATGTTTATTCGAAAATAAGATGGTAAATTACATAAAACGATACATCTGGTACTGTTTTGTTTAAAAAAATTGCCATATATATAACCAAATGTTTCAAATAAATGTCTTTCTATACCACATCAATGCTCATTGATCAATCAATAAAACAAGAAATAGAAGGCAATAGTTCAATATGGATAGATATATATATATGTATATAAGAATAAATGTGCACATGTGTTGACAAATGACCATAAAAATCGTAAGAAATAGAAGGGAAAAATAGTTAGTTATTTCGAGAAAAAAGAAACATAAAGAATATAATATAGAACTACATTGAGCAAAGAAAAAAAAGCACTGCCGATTGAATCGAACAAGATTCGTTTTGTATACACATATGAAAAATGGACGAACAAACTCGATTGGAATAAAAAATAAAATTGAAATTGTTATTGATGTTGTTGTTGTTGTTGAACTCTTAATTGTAGTTCTAATGAAATTCTTTTATCAATTAAATCTGTTAAACGATCTTCCCAATGTTTTAATTGTGCTTTAAGTATTGAATTACGAGATTTTATTTGATTTAATGCTGTATCAAATTCTTCATTAGTACTTGATGATGTCGATATAATTGATGATAATTCTTGTAAATGATCTGGTTGTAGTAAATCATGGATTTGTCCAAGTAAAATATTTGGATCTGATTGTTGTTGTTGAATTGGTGGTGAAGTCATTGATGGACGTGCTCGATTATAAAGAAATGGTGTTGTATTTGTCGATGTATTATTATTATTGTTGTTTAAAATTCTTTGAGGTGTATCATTGACACTTGTACGTGGTGGAAGTGGTGGTGGTTTGGCTGCTTGAACAGGAGGAGGTAGTGTTGGTGGTGGTGGTGGCGGCGGTGGTGGTGGAGGTGGAGGAGAAAGACGAACAGCTACAGGTGCTACAATTCGATGATTGTCAGCAATTGGTTGTGCATATGTAAATTGTTTTGGTGAATCAGTTTTTTGTTGAAAAGTTGCCCAATTTTCCGTTGATGTTACATCCGATAGATCAATCAATGGTGTAAATGGTTGTAATTGTGATGGAAGTTCATCCGGTAAATGAAAACCATTGAGACGTAAAACAACAAGATGCATAGCTGTACAAAATTCTGCTAATGATAATGCACCATCATGATTAACATCAGATAAATTCCATATTTGTGATAATTCAGTTGTTGGTAAATTTGATCGTTCAAAAAATTCTTTTGCTATATGACCTAAATAATAAAACAAAGATTATCAATCTTTAATTTAAACAATAAAGAAATTTTTTTTTATTTACCATTAATAACTTTAGTTGTATCTGTTTGTAAATTTTGAAATTGTTTGGTATAATATTCTCGTTGAACTGTATTTATTGTCCATGGATCTTCAATAAAACCTTGTTCACTTTCATCATCATCCGATATTGACGATGATGATGATTCATTATCACTTGAACTTTGATGATGTTCATCAGTATGATTATTATTTGTTGGTTTGCTTAAATACATAATCCAATCTTTTTTTAATGCTGATGGTTGATATGTTTCATTAATTGTATCATATAAACGAGATGTATTTGAACTAACTAAACCTTTACCTTCATCATCAGATTCATTATATGATAAATGTTGAATACTATCGGATTGAGAACTAAGAATTGATATTGTATCAATATCTAAACGTGGATGAATATCACCTATTGATATTGATGGATGACGAAGACTGACGCCATTACTGGTCGTCATATTGGAGACTTTCGAATTTTCTTCGCTCACCGGTGCAAGAAGAAATATATCGAGATCTTAAATAGAAAAAAAATAATTCAAATAAATAGAGAAAAAAATCATCGATGAAATCAATTGTATTGGAATCAAAACTAATGATTCATTTTATGTCTGGTCTTGTTATTAAATGGTTAAACAGATGACAAAACATATAATGTTAATCTATATGCATTCGGAAAAAAAAGAAATTCTTTATAGATGACACTAGTTACCAATCATGAACAAGAGATGTAGGCATTCTCGTTTTTATTCCTGTGTACTGTCTACGCTGTATTTTAGAGTTTATAAAAGAGAAAATTAATTAAATGACGAGAAATTTTGAAAACGATAGTCTTTGTTTACTATATCTAAATTTTTAAGAAACAGATTGTAAGTAGAAGATTTAGTATGTATATATTTCAAATAATTTACATATTACCTATCGACGTATTAAACGACCTTCTTAATACATTGTGCTTAATGTATATATGTTTATCTTGGTATTGTTTATATTTTTATTTGTTATGCATGATAGACTTTAATATATACGGTTTTTGCCTTGATTTATAATATATGATTGCTTTAGTTCTTCTAATAATAGAATCATTCTTTGATCAAACAAAAAAAGCATATTTGTATATCTATTCCGAAAGATAACAAGAACTCTTAATAGCCTCATACAACTTTTATTACAATCAATTCACATAGTCATACTTTTCTAATCATTTACTTTATTTTAATAATACATCAGATAAAAGAAAAGCTACATATTTTAAATACAATTATTAACATTGTGTCTGAGACCAATGAGGAATTAGTGTTGTTCCAGTTAGTTTATAACAATAATTATACATTGCGGAAGCAAATTCTTGAACAAAAATACTTTTATAAACTGCAATAAATGCAAGATCTTTACATTCTAACCGATTCCAAACAGCATCCATTGGTATCTCCATTGTTCGACATTGAGCAATAGGAAATAATCCTGTATCATAACGACGAACTTGTAATCCATAACTTAAAGATCGAGATTCAAGATAACATTTTGCTAAATAAACACCATTATTACAAATACGTATTGAACCATTAATCGAAAGAACAATATCTAAACATTATTTTAACTATTTATCAAAAAAAAGGAAAAGAATTTAATATGATTACTTGAAATCAAAAGTAAAGTGATAATAAAATAGTTCGACATGTTCCTTGAAGTAAAAACTAAGTGTAATATGAAAAAAGAGAAAAGAAATATATATATATGGATGTGTATAACCTTCTACTTATCTCTAATTTAGTAAATGATGATGTTGTATAAGATGGAATCATGTTACATATTGATGACTCTATGTAATAGATAGATAGAAGAAGAAGAAAGAAGTTTTCGATCATTATTTTGATGATGTAAGAAGTAGAAGTGATAAGGTGTTATTGGTTAATGATTGAGTATAGTTGTTATAGTGTTAATGAATTAGATATACAAAACATAAGTGTGAATGATATTTAGATAAATTAATTAAATCCTCACTTTATTATTTATGTCATAGTTTTGTAAAGTGACTATTGTAGATATCTTACTATATGAAGATTATAATCAACATTATTAGAATTATTGACACGAGCAAAACAATGATGATACATTCTCAATTGCATTTATTTGTTTTTCTAATTCTATTCTCAAAAGATTCAAGTTATTCATTAGAGACATATAACAAATTTTTGAGTTTTGTATAAATTATGATAAAGTTAGAATTTTGGAAAAATAACAAATGAAACTGTTTTTGTCTAGAATAATGTTGACTGATGATAAAAGAACAAAACTAAAATATACTCAATTAGTAAGCAAATCAATAGAGAATATCAGAATAATATGATTGGTATTGATCACAGATTGAATACAAATGAAAATGACCTTAAAAATTGGCTCTAAGCGTTTGATATTACGTAGAGAATGAGTCTTTATCTATATTATATTATTGTTGTAGTTCATTTTGACAAACAATAAAAGCTACAATATACAATTGACTTGATTATTGAATATAAGATATATTTCGCTTTTGTAATACTTGAAAACCAGTTAACTCTATTACACATTCATATAACTGACAATCTATTGATAATATAGCATTACTGACTACCAATATAGTCACTCTAAATCAATCATACAGCATGAATTCTATCGTTTTCTATATGTATATCTTATATTCTCTTCAATAAACATTCTTGTACTAGGTTTCAGCGTTAAAACAATAGTCGTTGCTTCCATATTGTATTTGAAAATGAAAATTAGTTTATTTTTCCAATTATTGATATTTCAACCAATAATTAAATCGATTAATTTTCCGTCTCTCAACATGGTTATTACGATAGTGACGTACTGAAAAATAATAACTATTTCACCGTTAAAATTCTCATATTGTCAAATTTGCAATATACGTATAAGGAACAAAAAAACAAAATTATTGATAAACATTTATTTCACAATTCTAACTACCTGGATCAAGTATAGGACGTCATATTATTTTCTATATGACGTATTTTCATAAGAGAAGAAGTCTCGATATTTTTTATGGCATATTTAAATGTCAGGTATTGTCATACTTAGAGACAATAATTGGTTGTTTTTGTTAATTAAAAATCAATTTTCTTATTTTTTCTATACACATTAGCACACATATATATATAGAGAGAGATATTCTCATAATTTTGTAAATCAATCATCATTGTGTTCAAGTACAGTTGTATACCACGATATTATTACTGACATGGCTTTGTTCATAAGATCTGGTCGTATTCTTTACCAAGAACCATTTGAAGAAGTTCGAGTAACAAAATATGTTCGAAAGGTTCCAACATTTACTCATGTATTCTATGATGATCCAATTACATATATTAACGTCGATTCAACACCTCGCATAACAACTCGTACAAAAGTTGTTACCCGTCGTAAAACAATGTACAACATTTTTATGTAGAGATATCTACATTTTTTTTGTCAACTCATATAATTTGAAAAAATTAATATGAGTTGGCAAAACAATATATCTTACATAAATAAACAGACATGTATTTTTTTTTGTAAGGTGAAACTTCAATAAATTTAAACATGTAATACCAACACTTACTTATAATTGCCAAGAGATATTTTGAATATTATATGATTATAAAATATAAATGGAAAAAGACAACAGGATCCAATGATATCAAGATGGTGGCGTCTAAATATGCTTGAAATATTTAACTATACTTAGGAGGAAATTTTCCATGGCCATAATAATATAACTCGATTTGACTGTATGACAAAATATGCGTAGCTAAACAATATGAGTAATATAAAAATAAAAATAGTTTACAATAAACTAAATTATTGGATATTGTCGTAGTACAGCATATGATACACGTAATACAAAAAGAAAGATTCGTGACGGACTATATAAATAGTATACTTCGCGCTGTATTCATTTTTTATTCTCGCTCTGATATTGTCCAGAATGGTGTAAAAGCAAATATTTACAATATCTCACTTCATCATTTTGAGATAAAAATAAAAAGCACGTTTTTTTCAATGGGTACTGTTTGCTGTGGCACACAACCTTCAGAGAAATTTATTGGAACATGGACTAATAAATCGGACGAGCGTCTAATCATTTATCCAAGTGGACTTATATATTACATTAAACAGGTATACGCTATGTTCTTTGCAATGCTTGAAAGTAGATATTGATCTATAATAAATATAAGTGTATTTATTGTTGAAATATCGATCGATGGTCTGATATGAAACAGAGCGAAAAACGATTAGAGAGAAAATAGACTGTGTTTAGTTTTGTTATTTTGAACAGTATTTGACGAAAGATAAGACAAGAGTAAGTATGTCGAAACTTGATTGGTATTCAATGTACCACTGAGATGAGCTCTTGTCAATGATCTCTTTCGATCTAAATAGTTCCGAGCTCTGAGTAGTATCTTGAATATATCGATCACCAATTTCAATCAAGTACATATTAATTTCTTTGGATCAATTTAAGGTCAATTCAAGAAGATGCTCATTTTTTCAAAATGAAATAAACTACAGACATTTATATTATATAAATCGAAAGAGAGCATTTTTTTCTATTAAATATTAGTATTGATTTTTCAAAATTTATTGAAGAATAACTATTGCTTTTTAGTGGGGAACGTGTCGTACAAGATACAAAAATTGTCCTGCCCACTTTGAAGACGATAATTTTCGGTTTAGCTGTTGTTTTTGTTGCTCCCTTCATGGTACAATGAGCTATGGCGAAAATTCCATGCCAATATTGATTGTCAATGGCACAGTATTAACAAAGGAACCGACTTCAATCTATACGGAAACGCGCAATGCAATAATTAATAAATAAACACAATTGAACAAGATACTTTGATTACTCTTTTTTTATATCATTGAACATTCTGTCTTCGATATTTTGAATATATTGTCAACAAAAAGCATATTTTTGAAACCTAATTACATATTCTGAAAGCCTGTGGAATTTACTATCACCTTGTATATTTATCTATTCACGTATACCTATTTATTAAAAACTAAATTGGTAGAAATTTAGACGTGAGAATATCTTTATTGCACTCAATTTATTTTGATAACATATAAGCACAAACTAAAATATAAATATGCCAGATGATGTCAGACTCCACGGACTTTTAGAATATGTAATTAGTTTTAAAAAAATGTGTTTTTACGCTAATAATATGTACAAAGTGTCGACTACAACTATTTTTTCCAAAGAGTATATCTAGAACTCATAAATAGCTTTTTTTCGATAGGAAAATGTCCAGCAAATAAAGTACTATATGCAGTATAATGCAAAGAACATGATTTCAGCTGTCTTTCATTAAAACTACTGGTTGACTCGCCTTTAAAATTAACCACTATTAAAGCATCACATGTGAATAAGACTTGTCCTAGATAATAATCACCATGAATACCACACTCTCAACAGCATGAAATAGTATATCGGTAGTTTTAAATATTTCATCGAGGCTCAAGCAAGCCAAAGCAACAACTTTGTCTTATTTATTAATATTATAAAAAAGAAAATAGGTACTGTCTGTGAAACATCAAGAATGCGCCACCAGGGAGCCACCTAGTTCTTTCACAGTACTTTCTAAGTGTTCTGCTCCTTTCTTTGAGAAACTGCACCCACCCAAATGAAATGAAAATTTTGAATTCGTTTTTATTACATTAATAACTGCATCAATTGAAGCGTCTGTGATCAACTTATTTGAGCATAAATATATTGAATAAATATGAGTCCTGTTTGTTATTAATGCATCTGTAAGATGCTTGACGCCTACATCTGTTATACCGGCATCACCCATTGATAATTCTAATAGCATTTGATTTGAACTTGTAAATAATTCAGCTAAATAACGAGCTCCTTCATCTCCAATTGGATTCCTGCTGATGTCAAGATTCTGTAAAGTAGTATTTGTTTTTAATTCTTGAACAAGAAGCCCAATACCAATCGATGTTATTCTATTTTTACGCAAATTGAGTATAGTAAATGATTTGTCTCGTAAAGTTTGCTGAATAATGGCAGGTACGTCTCGATCACTCAGACCAGCTCCATCTAGTTTTGCATAATTGGGTGTAGCATCACGAAGTATGTTGCCACGAATCATAGCTAATTTCAATTTTGTTCTTCGATAACTTCCAATATCAGTGTTTGTTTTCTTTTCATCCTCATCTGAATCTTCTTCGATATGATTTGATGCCATCTATTAGAGAAAAAAGAAATAATCTTTAACGTAGAGAATATTTTATTCTCATCCTTTTAAAATAACACAATCTATATGAAATGACGTTTTAAGAATAATTCAAAAAAGAGACTTTCATTTCGTTAATCAAAACATCAATATTTATGTTACCAAAGACAAAAATATATTTCACTTTGCTTACTTTGCACGTCTTTGATGATGATCAAAAGAAAAAAACGTGTGTGCGTGCGAGAAGAAACTGTCTAACGATTTTGTATTTTGCAACGTGCTGCAATAATTACTTTACCTGTATAGTCGAGAAAGTAATACAAAAGAAATGAATAGGTAGAAGTTACTTTTACTTTCCTCTTGCCTCGATTACGGCGTTCGATTGTTAATCGATGTGAAGTTAGCACGAACACCAATCACATTCTCAGAATCAACATCCAATCAGACGACAAGCACAAAATACCACCAACAATCCACAGAATACCAACGCAACAGCCTTAGTTACCATGCAAATTCAAACTACATTCCATCACATCTTCCGAAGAAACCGAGCATCTTCTGCTCTATTAAACTAATTCATAAGATACAGAACTTGGTACCCTATCAAATAGCATCTTCAGTCTCTACCCACGAAACTTCCTCAGAAGAAGATTCTTTTTTCAATGATATCTTACAGTACATTATTCGTCGATCAAAACAAAAAAACATTTTCCCTATCGAAAGTATAGCCGGCTTTTTTGAACTAGTTTACTATATGCAGAATTTAATTTTCTATCGAATGACATATTCGTTCTCGCCCGGTCATATTTCCTAAGAAGAATGTTCTCTCTTCAACCATAGCTTCCAATGCATTATTGATCAATGCCAAAAAAATTCTTTTTTGCTGTTCAAAGTATGGCCGGTTTTTTTCAACTACTCTATAATATGCAGAATTTTATTCTCTATCGAATAGTATAGTCAGTTTCTCCCGGCCATATTTGTTTACAAGAAGGTTCTCTCTGCAATCATATCTTGCAATGCACTATTAACAAGTTAAAAGGAAAAGATTTTTTTCCTATTCAAAGTATGACCGGTTGTTCTAAACTAGTTCGTTAGATACAGAATTTCATTCTCTATCGAATGGTATGTTCAGTCTCTCTCGGCCGTGCTCCCTAAAGGAATAATTCTCTCTACAACTATATTACAAAAGCGTCTTTATCAAGTACTGTAGTGCGTTTAGGAAATATGTAATTGGATTACGCACAAGTTTCCTTTATTTTCTATCTCTTTCTTTGTAACTGTATCAAAAAGAATAATACAATTCTATTGAGAGGATAACGCAACTGTTCGTCACCAGTAAGTTGTATGAAGGATATGATTGAAACGTACGGTTCAATATTTTCTTTCGTGTCGTAAGACTGATATTGTGCCATAAATTTTTCTTTAGAGTATCTTTTTCTAAATTATCTTTCAATATTAAGAACGAATAAGGAAATATTTATTGTAAAAATCCAATTATTCGTAAACCTACGAATGTCAGTTTTTAATATCGAATATGTTTAGATTTCGTCTGATTAACCTGCCAGCAGATTGCTTCTTTACTAGTGTCATTTCAACAGCGTACAATATAATATAGTCTTGTAACTCGTTCAATCTCTTTCCTTTCGCTTTTATACCTGTATATAATATTCATGTTTATCGATATATTCTATTTTGTCTAATCAAAAAGACATGATAATGATTCCAAACAATATTCATTCTCTATTTATATCGTATAATGAGGTAAATATCGGTAAGTATATTCGTTGCAAAAATACTAGATTTACTTCAATGATTTTTAGAGTAACAAAATTTTCGTGCTGTTATTAAGTTTCCAAGGACAGCCATGTCCACATTTCTGTACTCTACAATGATGCTTTCGTAGTTCTGATTTTCTGATTGATTAATTGTTAGCCAATGAGAATTTTTCTCTTTTCGTGCTAGCTCGTCGTTTTCGTGCTAGATTCACATCGATGGCGTGTTAATCAAGACAATATTTAACCGATCATTAATGACTAATAAAAAACTTTTTTTAAAGAAGTTGCGGGTGATATCCACATGCCTGACGTTTTTTGATGACTCAAAAATATACAAATTCTATTCTTATTCATTGATAGACTCGTCTGAAAAACAAAATATGTTATTTCCTCTCATAGTCTCATTTTTTGATTTAACAAAACACTTTTCTAGTCATTTACTTTATTTAAATTATATACCACACAAAAGAAAAACTACATGTTTCATATACAATTATTAACATTGTGTCTGAGACCAATGAGGAATTAGTGTAGTTCCAGTTAGTTTATAACAATAATTATACATAGATGAAGCAAATTCTTGAACAAAAATACTTTTATAAACTGCAATAAATGCAAGATCTTTACATTCTAACCGATTCCAAACAGCATCCATTGGTATCTCCATTGTTCGACATTGAGCAATAGGAAATAATCCTGTATCATAACGACGAACTTGTAATCCATAACTTAAAGATCGAGATTCAAGATAACATTTTGCTAAATAAACACCATTATTACAAATACGTATTGAGCCATTAATCGAAAGAACAATATCTAAACATTATTTTAACTATTTGGCAAAAAAAGAACAGAACTTAATATAATTACTCGAAATAAAAAGTAAAGTGATAACAAAATAGTTCGGCATGTTACTTGAAGTAGAAACTAAATGTAAAATAAAAAAAGAGAAAAGAAATATATATATATGTATGGATGTGTATAACCTTCTACTTATCTTTAATTTAGTAAATGATGATGTTGTATGAGATGGAATCATGTTACATATTGATGACTCTATGTAATAGATAGATAGAAGAAGAAGAAAGAAAGAAGTTTTCGATCATTATTTTGATGATGTAAGAAGTAGAAGTGATAAGGTGTTATTGGTTAATGATTGAGTATAGTTGTTATAGTGTTAATGAATTAGATATACAAAACATAGGTGTGAATGATATATAGATAAATTAATTAAATCCCACTTTATTATTTATGTCATAGTTTTGTAAAATGGCTATTGTAGATAATTTTAATTTCTTGGTAGATATTTTGCCATACGAAAATCAGAATCAACATTATTAGTATTATTGAGAGTAACCAGCAATGATGATGGATTTATCTATCAAATTTTGAAGTAATGCATTCTTAATTGAATTTATTTTAGTTTTCTAATTCTATTCTCAAAAGATTCAAGTTATTTGTTAGAAATATTCAGCAAATTTTTGACTTTTGTATAAATGATGATATCCTATTTGATGACGATAGAATTAGAATTGTACAATAATAAGATGTGAAACTGACTTTGCCTATAGGATTTAACATATAAGTAAAGACAATGGTTACTAGCGTAACAGCTGGACGGGCAGTGTTTTGAGTACAAAAAAAAACAGACAAGTGAGCTCCAAATTTAAAAAAGTAGTTTAAAGATGATTTAATAAATCCTGAATAAATTAAGATTCTAATATAAATGTAGTTAACTGATCAATTGTAATGAGCTTGAATAATATTTATTAAGCTCATGAGGATTATGAATTATATAAGACAGAGCAGGGTGTAAGTGTCTCTTATCTTGAACCTCATTCATACGAACACCCATGCCCATATCTTCATCCACACCTACACCCTCAATAAAATCTTTTACGATGGAATTTTTGTATACCATCAAACTACTTTTGATTATCCTTTTCATACATTGATTCATCCATTCAATGAAACTATAGTGGCAGACGATGAAAAGAAAGAAAAAGAATACGCAGCTTCATTTTTCGTTTTGCATTCGTTTATTTACACACTCTCTTTCTCTTCATTCTGATAAGTGACTATACATGCAAGCACAAAAGTAGAATGGCAACAATAATAAAATTACATTGACGGTTTTTTTTCGTCATCAATATACTTTTTTTTATTTATTTCTCTTGCTCCTCATATTTTCATTTTTACAAAAGTAATTATAGATCATCAATAGATCCACTTTTCGCGGAACTATCTCAAATCAAAATTTCTTGTTAATTCATGCAGTACTTTTATTATAGCAAATTACTTGCAACCATTTAACAACAAAACTATGCGTAATGAAGAGAAGTAACATTCGCCAAATGGATTGTATTTCTTTTCCTCTTCCATTTCAATGATAAAGTGCCGCACGTACATTGACATACTGAAGTAATTACGCGCATGAAGGCGAGAGAAAGTTAAAAAAAATAACTAAAGAACGAAAATATTTTGTTGGCTTCTGATTTGTTTTTTTTGCCACGAACGTGGATAAGAAAGTTATTTGCCTTGTTCTGTCTCTTACTATTCACAACAGTATTTTAAAAAGTAACTAATTGAATTTTCTCTTGCAATCTAGACAAAAAAATACACACATTGTACAGGCTGAAGAAAAAACAGAACTAACACGCCATTGCCATTATAAATACAAGTAGTGAGTTTTGTTACCATTTACACAACAACATTTATTGGCAAGCTTATATTCAACACCAAATTATATAAAGTACGAAATGAGTGAATCAGAACCAAATGAAACAGCTTCTTCGTCATCAAACACGTTCATAAATAACAATATCACAACAGTAGCATTGTCGAATAGTATTCAACCAACGCGACTGATGGTTCAAAATTATTCACTCCTCTGGTTAGATGAGTGTATGGGAGAAGCAAACAAAGATTATCAAAATATTTTGACACAATTAAAGACCATTGCCGATAATATCGATGCTTTTAAACAACGAGATGTATGCATTGACTTTCTTACAGATGCCGAAGAAGACATCAAGTTTTTTCTCGTTGTCAAGGATATCATACCTCACGAAATAATGCCCCTCATTAATGATATTCCTCAGCTGCATGGTATTTATATATTTAATAATACTAAAGTTCTACCTGAAGAATCAATAAAAAAATGGCAAAAAATCAAGAGCATTCATACCAACATCGATGATCTATGTCAAGCATTACAATTGGGTATTAAACAATACCACCAAGACTCGATAGCTATGAGTTTTATCACGGTCACTGATATGGCTTCAACTAATAATTTAAATCAGTTAGAGCCAACTTTTATGTATACTCAGCTATTCAAGGAAATTCTTCTTGATATGCATCACAATAAACAGGCTATCAAAGACTTTATTATTTACTGCCGAGATCATGACTGCATATCGCCTATATATATTAACCGTTTTGAGAAAGAATACAATTCTCAATCCGCTATTTGGTGGTATACCTTTCCATCAAATATCTATTCTATGCTCAATGATGCTCTTCGAACATTAGAAGCCGATAAAATTATTACTATGGGGTTTTTTTTACGTCATCTGCATCAGCAAATTCAGCAATTATACAAACAACAGATTGATAGCTATGGTAAAAAAACTTTTTTGGTTTACCGAGGACAAGGTCTCAAGAAATCAGACTTTGAAAAACTTGAAAAAGCAAAAGGTGGACTTATGTCATTTAACAATTTCTTGTCCACCAGTAAAGATAAAGAAGTGTCTCTCCAATTTGCTGAATGTGCTTCGACAGCACCGGACACGGTGGGCATTCTCTTTATAATGTCCATTGATTCTTGTATTAAATCAACACCATTTGCCTGCATCAAGGAGGTTAGTGCTAATAAGGATGAAGAAGAAATTCTTTTCTCAATGCACACCGTCTTTCGAGTGGGTGCAATTAAACCAATGGAGAATAAGAATCAACTTTATGAAGTTGAATTACGATTAACGTCAGATGATGATCAACAACTACGATTAATTACTGATCGAATACGAGAAGAAGCTGGTGATGGTACTGGATGGCAGAAATTGGGTACATTATTGCTTAGAATTGGTCAACTTAATAAAGCTAAAGAACTTTATAACGTATTACTCGAACAGACATCTGATGAGAGTGAAAAATCGATTTATTATCATCAACTAGGATTAGTGCATTCAAACCAAGGTGATTATGAAAAGGCTATTTGCTATTATGAAAAAGCACTTGAAATCTTTCAGAAAACTCTTTCTTCAAATCATCCCCTGCTGGCTACTTCTTACAACAGCATAGGTACTTCGTATCATTACATGGGAAAGTACTCGCAAGCACTTTCATCTCTCGAAAAAGCACTTCAAATTCGACAAAAAACTCTTCCTTCGAATCATCCTGATTTTGCGCAGTCATACAATAACATCGGTAGTGTGTATGACAAGATGGGAGAGTACTCGAAAGCACTTTCTTTTTACGAAAAAGCGCTTGAAATTCATCAAAAAACTCTTCCTTCAAATCATCCTGATTTAGCTACTTCATACAACAACGTTGGTAGTGTGCATGCAAAGATGGGAGAGTATTCGAAAGCACTTTCATTTTACCAACAAGAGCTTCAAATTTGTCAGAAAACTCTTCCGTCAGATCATCCTCATTTAGCTATTTCATACAACAACATCGGTTTGGTGTATGACAGCATGGGAGAATACTCAAAAGCACTTTCATCTCACGAAAAAGCATTTGAAATCTATCAAAAAACTCTTCCTTCAAATCATCCTAATTTGGCTACTTCATATAACAACATCGGTAGTACGTATGACAAGATGGAAGACTATTCGAAAGCACTTTCATCTCACGAAAAAGCACTTGAGATCTATCAAAAAACTCTTCCTTCAAATCATTCTTCATTGGCTACGTCATACAACAACATTGGTAGTGCGTATAACAACATGAGAGAGTACTCGAAAGCACTTTCATATTACGAAAAAACATTTGAAATATGTCAAAAAACGCTACCTTCAAATCATCCTTTATTGGCTAGTTCATACAACAACATCGGTAGTGTGTATGACAACATGGGAGAGTACTCGAGAGCACTTCCATGTCTTGAAAAAGCGCTTGAAATCTATCAAAAAACTCTTCCTTCAAATCATCCTGATTTGGCCAGTTCATACAACAATATCGCTGGTGTATATTACAATATGAAACACTATTCGAAAGCACTTTCATTTTACGAAAAAGCACTTGAAATTCAACAAAGAACTCTGCCTTCAAATCATCCTAATTTGGCTACTTCATACAACAACATCGGTTTGGTGTATGACAACATGGGAGAATACTCGAAAGCACTTTCATTTTACGAAAATGCACTTGAAATTCAACAAAGAACTCTGCCTTCAAATCATCATAATTTGGCTACTTCATACAACAACATCGGTTTACTGTATGACAACATGGGAGAATACTCGAAAGCACTTTCTTTTTATGAAAAAGAACTTGAAATTATACATGAAACTCTTCCTTCAAATCATTCTTCGGTGGCTACTTCATACAACAACATCGGCTTGGTGTATAAAAACATGGGAGAGTATTTGAAAGCATTTTCATATTACAAAAAAGCACTTGAAATTTGTCAAAAAACTCTTCCTTCAGATCATCCTGACTTGACTACTTCGTACAACAACATCGGTAATGTGTATCATAACATGGGAAAGTACTCGAAAGCACTTTCATTTTACGAAAAAGCACTTGCAATTAAACAAAAAACTCTTCCTTCAACTCATTCTGATTTGACTCCTTCATACAACAATATTGCTGATGTATATTACAATATGGAAGACTACCCGAAAGCTCTATCATATTTTGAACGTGTTCTGGATATACTACAAAGTTCCTTACCTCCAACTGATCCTAATATAAAAATTGTGAAAGATAATATTGAAATTGTAAAAGAAGAAATTATAAAAAATAGTAGATAAATAAATAAAAGAATATCTTGTTCAATTATTGTGTACTCAAAACGTGAGTACACTTCTAGAATCGGTCAGTGTGGCCGTCCGTCCGTCCGTCCGTATGCACGATAACGTTTGAAAGAATAGACCAATTGAGCTGAAATTTTGTGCACAGAACTGTCTCATCAAGATCTCGGTTGAGTTCGAAGATGAGCAGAATTGGCCGGGCCATTACTGAGTTATTGTAAAAATACTGATATTTCCCTATGATTTCGATATACACTTTTTGCAGTACACATAACTTTCGGATGCAATCCGAAGTTTCCAGATTTATTTTTATACGAGTTTTATTTTGTGGTGTCTCACGCGCGCGTATAGAGAACAACTCTGTAATTAATAAAAAAGTAATGAACAAAGCCGACTGATAAAGTGTATAAATAACATTCTTAGACATATTTACATTTCTAATTCTTTTCGAGTGTCACCTGTAATAAGAAAGAAGAAAAAGATTATTTATTATCTCAAATAGTAGTCGTGGAATAAAACAATCTAGTAAAGAATAACTTATATGAAATTGAATGGTATTGGAATACTGTTGAACGAGACCTCGTGTGATGAAGAAAAAGTTAAAAAACTACGACATACCTATGGATATGTCAGGGGGTGGGTGTGGGTGTTGTTAAAGAAGAGACCCCCACATCTTGCCATCTGTAATGATGGAATCCTTTTCTTCTATTGTTAATGATCAAAATATCTACTTTTTAGAAAGATTACAAAACTGACCAGATCTCATTCCAAAGTGCTTTGTCACATCTCTGCAGAACAAATATTATCTTCTATTATCCGTAGACATGGAGCGTTTTTACTCTGATGAAAATAATAGAAATATTCTTTTGTCATGTTCTGCCTCAACGATAATCAGTGTTTATAACGAGAATTCAGTGCGAAATGCGCTCGCGAAAAGCGCATGATTCACGCACTTTACCATATATGGAGCGCTTTGTCATTAGAAGCACTGATGATAAGAACGAGAAAAAAGAATGAAATAAGCATTTTATTTTATCTTATGTTTTGGGATATATAGGAATAATATCTTAACTCGAAGAAAGAACATTATAAAGAAAAGGTGAGCAAAGTATTTTATAGAAAAATTGTTGGATTTCTGATATGATCTTTTATTCTTATCATTTAGTTAGTTTGAATATATGGATACTCAATTCGTTGTTCGTCGTGCTGATATTTGTGATATTGATGCATTGTCACACATCTGTAAAGTAACTATTCGAGAAGCATCTATGGAAGAGTTGTTCATTCCTTATTCTGACGAAGATCTCGATTCTTACTTCCAATCTTCGGCAAGTCCTGAAAGTTTTGCAAAGAAAATAAATGATCCACAACAAGCTGTCTGGGTAATCGAAGATAAAACAAATGGTGAACTTGTTGCTTACGCAGTTGCTGGTCCTTGTCACGTTGAAGATGTTCCTCATCCTGATGTTTGTTCAAATAAGGATGCACTACTCAATCGTTTATATGTCCGACGTGATTGGCATTCACGTGGCTTTGGTCAACAATTAATGAATGTTATTTTACCATGGTCAGAAGAACATTATCCTGCACGACCTTTATGGCTAACTGTGTGGTCTCAAAATTTCAAAGCACAAAGATTTTATACACATTATGGTTTTACTAAAGTTGGTGTTTGTGATTATTATGTCGGTGAACGGAAGGAACAGGAGTTTTTTATGAATCGTCAAACTCACAAATCATAAATTTTTCATTTCATTTGTAATCCTTTCTAACAATTATCAAACTACTCAAATAAAATCACTTTTTTAATTCACTAAATATTCTTGGTTCGTATCCTAAGTGTGTGTAACGAATGTATGTAATAGCATCACCTGCATCAACATGTGCTCATTCAAGATGCATGATCATTTATATGCTTATAGGAAAAAAATCCTGTTGATCTTCCCATTTTTCTGATTAATTGAGAAGAATTCATGAGTATTGCAATAAATTTATGTTTAATATGTAAAAAAGAATATCAGGCAGTTGTATTCTAAACAGACTTGAAATTATTCAAGAGATTCGATAGTGAACGTATCATAGAACAATTCAAATCTAAAAATAGATGATAATAAATCTACCATGATATAATTATTTCGTACTGTATCATCTCGTGTATTTTTAGTTTTAATTTAAGAATATTTTTAAGAAGCAATTAATATCTAAATCTTTATAATTGAAAAATTCATTTTCGAAAAACGACTTTTAATATTTATACCAACGATAAGTAATCCATAACTAGCAAAAGATAGACAACATTATATTGATAGCTTTTACCATTTTAATCTCAAATTCATTAAAATAATCTTCTTAAAATTATTTTTCGTAAGAAGTATTAGAATATTTGTCCAGAATTAACATAATACTGAATTCCATTTAAAAGTTATTGAGTTCACCAATAAATTTGATAGTAATTAGAATCAATCTAACAGCCCGATCCGAAAGTATATATAAATATGAGCTCAGTTTCATTTAGTTTTTATTTGTCTCTAACGAGGTAAGAATTGAATGGAATCTTTGATCATTTATGTCTACCTTTTAACTACAAGAATAATAACATAATAGTTCAATATTTGTTTTCATAAGTTTTCTCTCGTTTACATCCATAGAAACCATACATTGTCTCACTATCCTTCCAGCAGACTTAAGATACATAAATAGGGAAAATACATATTTATAATAAACTATAGTTTCAAGTCTTTATCTCATTTTTCACAATATAACTTAATATCAAGGTAATTTAATGATCTATATCAACTGTACTATGACGGTTTTTAACTGAATAGATTAATCTGATACATACTTTCGTATATAAAAAATTATTTTCTTTGTGAGGAAAATATTTCTATAATCAGAATTATTTAATGAAAATAGATTTGCTGATTTACAATACAATTCACGTATAGATTCTTCAACAGAAAAATAGAAAATACAAAGATACAGTATGTTGCTAAACCCGACTTGTCTTCTTTTACATATTTCTCTGTCGAAATGGTTGTCACTGCCAGACATATCACAGCACCTCATTATTTCCATCCTCTTTTTTTCTTTGATATTTTCTCCGGATTTTTGATAAATATAGATAGTTTACGCCATTACAGACAAGATAAATATATCCATACCCCTTTAGATATGTGGTCTGTTTTATTTTGTTAACATCAATTGTCATTTTTTTATCCATAATCAAATAGAACTAAACACATGAAAATGACTTTACTATATGAAATGGTAATTTCTGTCATATTACAAACACATGTAGAATTCGATATACTCTCTATATATTTGTGCTCATTAGACATCTTCGATCTATTGTCTCTTAAAGAATTAAAAATATCTCATGAGTCCCTGTTGAGATTTTCTGAAATTTTTTTATCAACTCTCTAATGAGTTCCTGAGATCGTTTCGTGGATCCCTGTTAGAATTCTTCTCGGATGAGTTGACCACAGATGCATATATTCACTTTTTCTGTACTAGAATGCACTATTCAAGTTCATGAAAAAGGTAAAGAGTATATCAAAGAAAATAGAAGATAATAAGATGAATGAGGACAAGTCTTGTTTTGTCACATATTATCTGTCTACATTTTCTATTCTACTATCGAATGACTTATGAAATAATTACAAATATAGCATATTGTATAATGATTGCGTTCAACTAATTACTTTTTTTTTATAGTAACACATAATATAAGCTTTGATAATTTCTATAATAGAATCGAGAAAGAAAAACAAGTCTACAAGATAGAATGTGTTTTTTTAATTATTTGAATACTTCATAGACTCTATTTTATAATGAGACATATTTTCTCATTTGAGAACGTTAGTCGTATAGATGAGACATACAGTGAAAACTTATATGAATGGAAGATGACTATAGAAAAAGATTGGAATAACGCGGTATCAGTAAAATATGGATATATTTTAAAATAAATTAAATCTCGATTTACATTAGGTAGTCTGTCATACCTCGAGAAAATCATATTCTTTTGACATATTTTCGAATGAAAAGTCTGAGAAATAATCTCCGTAAATCATCAGTCTGATATATTTAATGCTTTTCTTCGTCTTCCTTATGACATCTTTCGTTAAAAACTATTTTATTCACAATCATTTTTATGCGTAGAAAGTTTTTTTCTGACAATTGTGTCGCATATGTTAGATACGATCTGTCACACAACTGATTCATGACTATAGTGTGAAAACTTCATTTTATATTTATGTATAACATGTTAATGTCAGGTAATAACATAAAAGATTTTCATTATATTTTAGAGCGCTTCTGTGATTAAGAGACGACGCATATTACCACAATCATACAGAAAAGTTGTAATGTCGTCGTCGAATACCACCGATGCAGACGCTATTGCATCATGGAACAATGCATCGAATCTTATCAATCGTTATTTACCTATTTTTATTTATATTTTCGGCATAACTGGTAATGTTCTTAATGTCCTCATTTTGATTCAACGACCTCTTCGTCTTAGTCCATCCTCTGCTTTCTTTTCTGTTTCATCAATAGCGGGTCTTATTGCAATCATAAGTGGTCTAACCACACGTATGTTGGCTGGTTATACAGCTGATTTAACTCTTACGATCTCATGGATTTGTAAGGCTCGTAATTATGTTTTATACACTGCAAGAACAGTAGCTCTATGGTTAATTGCTTTGGCAACTATCGATCGATGGTTAGTATCAAGTGTAATTGTACATAGGAGACACATAAGTACATTGAAAAATGCTGGACGAGGTATAATTCTTATTATTATTTTTTCATGTCTAATCAATAGTCCAATAATTTACTGTTATGAAGCTGGTTTAACTGGAACTTTACGAGGATGTTACGGTTCAACATATGCTGGTCGTGTTATTACAGATGTTATTTATGCTGTTATCACGACTGTAGTACCATTATCAATGATGATTTGTTTTGGATTATTAACTATTAGAAATATACGGTATAGACCGAGTCGTATTCAAAATATAGCTATGATTACATTGACTTATGATAATAAACATAGAAGGCCGAGTGTATATCATATACAAAAAAACACAAAACTGGATAAGCATTTGCTTAAAATGCTTGCCGTGCAAGTTACTCTATTAGTACTACTGACTTGTCCACATGCGATTCAAAAGGCGTATACATCAATTTCATCGAGTTCATCATCTCAAACATTACAAGATGTTATTGCAACGTTTATCTTTAATTTAGTTACTCTATTTAACTTTACAGCTAGTGGACTACCGTTTTACATTTATACATTAGCTGGTGGCAGTATATATCGAAATGCACTTCTTCATCTTCTCAAAACAGCTGTCTTAAAGATTCTTTGTCGAAAAAGATGAATTAGATTTCTATCTAAGAATTATTCTAAATGAACAATACACTATTTTCATAGTATCGAGAGTGCGAATGTATATGACATTCACACTGACTCTCATAATAATGCTATATTTACTTGTTTAACCTTTTTCAAATTGTGTGGAGACTAGTTCAATAATTATTATTGTAAAAGTATAACCAATAAATGCGGGTATATATGTTCGAAGCTCAAAGTATCACGTCTACAGATAATAAAATGTTAGTTCACTAAAAAAATTCAATTTTGTAAACATTTAATAAAAATCCTATTATTCATATTATTTTTTACTTTTTTTCTGTAATGCCCAAACGATATTTAAACATGAGCAAAAATAAATAAATCATGTTATATTTTAGTCTGTTTCTTTCGAGAACATTATAAAAAGTTGATGCTATGTAACTGAAAAAATATCTAAATCATTTCTTTACGTTTATTCAGAAAGGCGGAAAGTATATAAAGTGGGGGTGGGTGTTGTTACTCTGCATATCTCTACCTTTTATGCGCTATGAACAAAAATCAAAAAATATCACTCTTTATAATCCATCCGTAACACGGATATCCTCAAAGACATGCATGCATTTGATTCAGTTAACCCTCGGTTACTGTTTCGAGTCATTTGTTTTATGTAATCTCTAGTCATTGGTAGATGTACAATATCCATATGAAAAATCATGCCCAGATCTAAGAGAGAAAAAATGTGGATATGGGTCTACGCGGACCCCAAAACACTAATGAAGGTTTATATATGATTTTTCGCTTTTCTATAACTACCATCTGTTGCGTATCGGTTTATTTTCAAATTAAATACGTTCTGATTCATTTGCACGTTCACCTTCCATAACAGTAACTCACATTTTCTTTGTAAATTACTAAATTTTCACTACGCTTTGATAAAAACTAGTATAAGTCAATTTTTTTTCTTCGTATCGGGCGTTCTTATATTGCCTCCATAACAAGCAATAAATAAGTCTGTAGAGAGGAGAGTATTTGGAACTTTATAATATATCAATGAATACCTTACATAAAGCAAAATCATCATTTTTGTAATTTTTACGAGATGGGTCCGCGTGGATCCCAGGACACTGTTCAAGTTATAAAATGAGGACGGTAACCGAGAGTTAAGAGACGACAAAGTAATTTAAAAAAAATGACGTTTATAAGACACACATGAAAAATATATTTCATTCAAATTCTATTTAAATATAATAATAAAAAAAAAACTTTTTTAATTATAAATCTCTTCACTCAATTTGTTCCGTTGAAAATCTCATTGTGACAGTTTTGAAATGTCCTCAAACAGGAATGAGTTTTTCTAGTTATTTCTACAAAGCATGCAGTTTATTTACAAATAATTTTCATAACACTCATTTATTATTCTTATCTTATCAATTTCGAAAAAATGAATTCAACTTTGTTAACATTTGTTTTCAATTTGACAAGAATTGATATTAAATCATGGTTTATTCCTTTTGATATTCTAATGATTTTATTTACTGTCTTAGCAGTTATATTCTCAATAATTTTTTTATTATGTATTTTAATCGATAAAAGATGCCATACAATTCCAATGATGTTGACTGCAAATACATGTTTAGCTGAACTTATAATGTCAAGTGATGCATTTTGTATAGCTATTTACACGTTACATAATGATCTTAATCAGATTAAATATGGAGATTTCTATTGTATATTTCGTGGATATTTAACTTATGTTTCATGTGCTATGCTTAATTATTCATTTCTCTTACAAGCTTTCTATCGATATGTGCTTGTTGTTCATTCAACAAGTTTATTTTTACAATCAATTCAATTTCAATTATTCTTTATTTGTATAACATGGATGATTAGTTTTGTATATCCGATTGGATTTTTATTCAATGGTAATATTATCTACAATGTTGACAATCAAATATGTCAAATTCCTTTGCAACTTTCATTTTCAATGGTTTTTCTGACACTTTGTCTTTATATGATTCCAGTGTCGTTGATAATATTTATCTATTTCAAATTAGTTCGATATGTTAAAGAAATGCGTTACCGTATAACAGTGGTTAATACTTTATCTCGTGCCCGACGACAATTAAGAATAGTTCGTCGCACAATCATACTTGTAACAATCTTAATCGCAATTTGTTTTGTTTATGCAATCTTCATATTTATATCATTTTTTACTGATCCTCCAAAATATCATTTTCGAATTGCTTATGTCATCGGTAATTTATCAACTTTACTATTAATGATTGTATTATTTCGGTTTACTAAGCCAGTTATAATATGTATTAAAGAAATAATTAATAGACGACTGACTTGTATAATATCAAATGTAACATTTAACTGATGTTGCTTTGTATTTTGTCGTTTACGATACATTGAAATAAAAGCTGTAATTAGAAATAAAAAAAATGAAATCATTTATTATAGAACTTTCAAACAGTTCGAATTGATTATGTCCGCTACTTTACAATTCATCATGTATGCTGATTATATCTTTGTCGTGTATATTTTTTATTTTAGATTTATTTTATATATATTAGTTTAAATATATGATAGATCCAATTTTTGACGATCTTTAGTTTGATTACAGATAGTACTATATTTTTAATCTTATATTTTCGAAATTAAAGGACATTTTTGCCTACGTAGAGATAAAAGAGTAATCGAGTTTGCTAAGGCCATAAATTCAGTTTTCAATGAAAAAACAACCGCTTTATAAATCTACATCTTTACGATTAGTCATCGTTTCGCCTATGTCTACTACCTTATATCCAATTCACCTACAAGCTTTGCCATCGATATATATCAATAATGTGAATCGAAGTATTTCATTTAATAAAAACAATCAAACCATCTTGAGGGTGTGAGTACTTGTTACATCTTTCATCGACACACAAACATCCTCAATGAGTGTGGGCGGTCATTTCCTCTGAACGCCATACACATACCCACACATGATTCAGACAGACTTATATAGATGGTTTTATCCCATTCGCTGCTATTATCGAATTACCAATTTATAATGCTTATCTTTTTTTCTGCATTTAGGCAAGCGTCTTCCTCTGCGTTAATTCACATTTTCATACGAAGCAGGGGTCGTCATGGGATGGGATGGGACGGACTTTTCATCCCACGGGAGAGTGCGACTCATCCCATCCCATGGGATTCACTGAAAAACAATATTCATCACATCCCATCCCACGGGATATGTCACACTGTAACAAAACTCTATTGAAAAATAAATTTAGTACTGCAATGTCATTTATTGAATCAAATAATCATTTTCCTTTATAACACACTCTTTACGATAACCTATTTTTATAAATACAAATTAAAAGTTACTTCAATACTTTTCTCTATATAATAGTACTTTCTCAAAGTAGAAAAAAAATAAGAAATATAAAACAACAATACTATTATTAACAGGCCATACGATTAGGTAGGGAAGCGGAGGAATCTCTCCCTGCTAAATTTCATATTCTATTAGTTTTCTCCCTAAAAATTTTTATGGAATGCTTTTTGGTACTATTTATAGTACCAATTTAAAGAATTTATGCAAAAGAGAAAACTTTCTTCTAAGTCTTTAAAGTGAAATATGTAGTTTCTTCAAAGAACAAAGAGAGATTTTGAAGAATTGACTAAAATTAATTGTTTTTAGTGTAGAAAACGGCTGTCACTATAGTTTGCAAGGAGAATTAGCCGTTTTTTTGCAAAAAGGAAACTTTCTATTATATGTAGACCATTTCTCTCTAAGCTTAAGATTTTCTTTCTGTTTCTGAGAGACTATCTCTCCGTTTTCTCTCTCCCTCCTCCTAATAAAACCAAATCAAAGCTCTGATTATCAACAAAAAAGATAAGTAATCATATACATAAATACAAAAATATAAATTAAAGCCCAAGACAAATGATATTGAATAAACATTATAACAAAAGACTATGAAATACTTTATAATATTAATCTGAAAACATTTAGATTGCTGTTTTATTAGTCCTTTATTTATCTGTTTGATAATGTTTGGAGTAAAAATTATTAATCGATACAGAAAAGCGATGAATATATTACATGAGTCGACCGATTGTCGAATGTGACCTCTATGCAGAATGAAATTTTTCTTAAAAAAAGTAATCATATATCCCATCTCATGATGACCCCTGAAACGAACAATACGATAGAAAAATAATAAATGATATTTCATCATTTATTTTCATAGTAAATATCACTTATACAACGTTCTTATTCGGCACATATAATTCAAATAAGCAGAAAAGAGTGGAGCAGTGAAAAGTTGTGACGATAATACTTAACATGAAAGTAGATGTTTAATATAATTATAAGATAATAAAGTTGTAAGAAAACATTGGCTACGATGTATTCAAATTCGAAATTATTAGTTCCGCTCGTCGTTAGTCATTTGACTGACAAAAATCGTTGAGAATAAATCATCTTCTTGAATATAATACCATGCATGAAAGCAAGGTATCTTTTCGAAAGAAGAAGCATAAATCTATCACGGAGTTATGAGTCAACTGATATTTACAACAGAATAACAAGTGTTACTCTTTTTGTTTCTCGTTTAATGGGCGCTTACATAGATGTACAACGCGTTAACAAAGAAGAGAAGAGCTATGATAAGATTAAAAATTCAATTCTTTTTCTCATCTTAATTGAATTTTATATTCTAATAACATTCAAAAATGATGAATATTGTTCTCGTGAGACATGATTTGAAGTAAAAATTCGCCGTGCACAACCGAACTAGTACAAAAGAATCAACAAAGACTGACATCGGATGGAATCGGCTTAAAAAGGGCATGCATATTCATTCCGTTTACCGTTTCAATTGCGTACTTTCGATGTCATTTAACGCTTTCTATTTTCATTAGTAGAGTGTGTGGCTAAAGGTTATTAAAAAAACAAACACCTACACCTTCAAGATGTGTTGTAGCTTATCTGTGCCACGTTTAAGCGAAGAATGAAAGATTTTTATTATATTACTCATTACTGTATCATGTTTCTACGAACTAATAAGATTGAAATTTCTTTCATTTTATTAGACATGCGTCATGACCTTTTTGGTTTAATGGCAAAAATGCGTACTCCCATATGTGATTGACTCACGGTAAGTTGGGGAAAAAAACTTCTCTGTATTGCGTGCTGTATTGGTAATTCACTATAAAGATGGGAAAAAAACACTTCAAAAAAAGGAAGTAAATGCAGTATATTTATATGCTACTAGAATACATTTACTCAATTATTCGTTTAGAAGAATACCAATACAACTTGAAGGTAAAATTATTATATACTGCTTTTTATTTTCCAAGAAAAATATTAAGTTTGTTTAGAATAAATACCAAAGATGGACGATGGTGAAATAGTTTTAATTAATTCAGGAAAATGTCCATTTATTTCCGGAGAAGAGTTTTCAGCTGTGGGTGATTCATTATCATCTGCAGAAAATACAGCTGAAAACAGATTGCTTTGGGGACCCGAAATCGATCAATTTCAACTAAAAAATTACCAGACAGGCGAATCAATCTCAGTAACCGGTCCACTACCGAATATTTATAAAGATTGCCGTCATCATGTCTGTACATCAACATTAATGTCACTTGCTCCACATGCAAATCAAAATAAATCAAATAGTAGCAACGTTATAGATGAATTAGAATCGCACTCAGCCGATTACATCCGAAAAGAAGCATATGATTACCTTCAAATTTTTCATAAAGACAAAAATACTTCGGAAGCAGATTATAAAAAACGATTAGAACAAGTTGAACTCGAGATTGAACATACACGTAGCTATGTACATACAACTGATGAAATCGAATATGGTTGTCAATTAGCTTGGCGTAATGCAGCACGCTGTATTAATCGGTTATTTTGGCGTGATCTCACAATTATCGATCGTCGAGATGTGAAAACCAACCGTGACATGTTTAAACAAATATGTGATCACATCCGTGTTGGATATAATAACGGTACACTACAAGCATCGGTTCTTGTATTCAGTCCTCGAGCACGAATATGGTCAACACAGTATCTACGTTATGCTTGTTATGAACAAGCAGATGGTACACTACTCGGTGATCCAGCGAATCTACATTTAACTAAAGCAGCACTGCAACTTGGGTGGAATATACCAAAAACAGAAAGAACACAGTGGGATTTACTACCCATTATCGTTCAAGTTGATCCAAATGAACCTCCAAGTTGGTATGAACTCCCGCAAGATCTACGTCTTGAAGTAGTCTTGTCACATGCTGATCCGAAATATGATGCAGCAATTAAAAAGCTAGGTCTACGATGGGTTGTTCAACCTTACGTTTGTGATCAAGCTTTTGAAATTGGTGGCATTTTTTATCGATGTGTTCCATTTAGTGGTTGGTTTATGGAAACTGAAATTGGAAGAAATCTTTGTGATATCCAACGTTACAATGTTATTCCAAAGTTAGCTGCTTTCTTGAATCTTGATGTTACTACTGCGGCCAATAGTCAGTTGAACGTCGATCGATTATATTTAGAAGTTAATGCAGCTGCTCTTTATTCATTTCAAAAAGCCAAAATAACTATTGTGGATCACCATACAGCTGCTGCTGGATTTATAAAATTTATGAAACAAGAAGCAATTCTACGAGGAAATACTCCAGCTGATTGGGTATGGCTCGTACCACCGATTAGTAGCGGTATGAGCAGTTTGTTTCATCAAGAAATGTTAAATTATGTTCTCAAACCACGATTGTTAAGTCAACGGGATCCTTGGACATACTATGTTCCGTTTCTTGAACATAAACAAAATCTGACATTATGTACAGAAAATATACGGTCTGCCTTGTCAACTACGGAGCTAAGAGTTTCTATCCATGTTCTCTATGCATCAGCTAGCGGAACAGCACAATCATATGCTGAACAAATGGTCAAACGATTAAAAATTACAGGTTACAATGCAATAATAATGGAATTAGATTCATATTCATTTGAACAAACTAACAAAAACACTCCAGCAATTATCTTCATTATAACATCAACATTTGGTAAAGGAAATGCACCAGAAGGTGGGAAAAAAGTAGAACAATGGCTGCAAAATGTGACTGATATTGGTATTAATAACAGCACCAGTAATATGAAACATATCAGTCTTCACAATAATCCTTTCCAATCAAGTGAAATAAATAAATTTCCGTTGCATTGGTGTTCTTATGCTGTCTGCGCCATTGGTTCATCAGCATATCCTTTTTTTTGTGGATTTGGAAAACTAGTTGATACTTCGTTCCAATTACTTGGTGCACATCGACTAGCTCCATTTGCTACATGTGATGCACTCAATCAACAATACAAAAGTTACAATGAATGGGAAGAAAACACTGTTATAGCCTTAAAAACAGCATATCCATATGCTTCTTCACGTGAGAAAGATATCCGACTTTCTGCACTAGATCGTCCTCCTTCTACGAGCAGACAAGGTTCCTATGTCGAGCAGCAAGTCAATCTGATTAAACCTTTTCGACCAACGCCTTCTACTTTAATATTTAATACAAACAATTCTGAAACAATTCCGTCTGAGCCAGTTGGACTTTTCACGAAAGAAAATCCATATCTCGCTACTGTCTTACAAAATATCGAACTAACTGGTTCTGACAATAGTATTAATGATTCTGGTCGACAAGATCATCGGGCATTATCATTATCAGAAAATATACAACCAAAAAAGAAAGTGACAATTCCTTCAAGTTTTACTAATGCCAGTAGCGATCAATATCGATCCGTTCGTTTAATCGTATTAGATACAACTGATTTGGATTATTATCCGGGTGATCATGTTTGTATTCTACCAGAAAATACATTATCCAATGTTAATGGTGTTATTACAGCATGTGGATGGCAACTAGGAAATAAACTTTTAATTGCTCCTTGTTCATTATCAAGTTATACCAATGGAAAGTATCAAACATTACGTCAAATCTTAACAAATTTCGTTGATTTGACTACGCCATTACGACCACATACGTTGAATATAATTGCTACATATGCTAAAAATACAAATGAACAACGACAGTTAATGGAATTAGGTAAAGGTGGACAAAGATATACTGATTGGATTGTCAATTCACCAACTGTTAAAGAAACATTAGAAATGTTTCGATCGATCCAAATACCTCTTGAAGAGCTCATTCAAGTAAGATTTCTCATCTAAATTTTTATTTTTATTAACGTATTGCTATCATTTAATTAACTACGACTCCAACTAACGTTTTCTGAATAGTTAAATCTTTCATCAAGACAGTCACAAACACTAGATAAAATCTTTTATAAACTAATGAGTTGTTATTCAACCATCCATATAATTCCCGTTCGTGCATAATCCATATACTGATTCATATTTTTCAATAATGAGAGAAGTTGAATATATGGTCTTTCTAAACATACATACCAGTACTAATATAAAAACAGAATAATAAATAGTAGATCAATAATTTTGTGTCTTTTTTATCTGTAGCTCCTGCCTCCACTTCAACCACGATATTATTCTATATCGTCGTCAAGTAATTGTTATCCAAATCAATTGCACATAACTGTCAGTGTCGTAACATACACGACATCACATGGAGTTCTTCGGAAAGGTATTTGTTCGAACTATTTGCAGCAAACACTACCGAAATTATCACCAGATGGAAAACCAATTCACTCAACATTTCCACGAAAACCAAGTCGAGTTCGATTGTTTATATCACCGAATCCTCATTTTCGCTTGCCAGGTCAAGATAGTTTGTCGATCAGTATGACTAGAGATATGCTATGTGGTGGTGATGCATTTCTTCCACTTAATAGCCCGCTTTTAATGTTTGCTGTTGGCTCTGGTATTGCACCATTTCGAGCTTTCTGGCAAGAACTAGAATTCTTAGAACAATCGCAAGGAAGTGTACAAGTTGAACGTATCTTATTTATGGGTTGTCGTTCATCAAGTGATTTTCTTTATGCTAAAGAACTTCAGTCACTTACAAGTCAACGCGGAGAAAGTAACAAACTTCTCACAGCTATTATTCCAGTATTTTCGAGAGAAAATGCTGTTGTCAAACGATATATTCAAGATGTTATGTTGGAATATGAAGATATGATTTATTCAATATTAAGTGACGACACTGCATTTGTATATATGTGTGGATCAACTCGCTCATGCCAAGGAATCGAATCAACGCTAGCATCTATTTTACAATCATGTGGCGAAGACAATTTAACATTTATTCAAGCAACTAATCTTGTCAAACAATACAAACAGTTTGGTCGAATCAAGCAAGTTATGTTCGGCTAGATCAGACTAACGATGATCGTTCTTATTGTAAAATGATTGCCTAAGACAGTTTCAACGTATCAGTTTTTTATTGTTATCATTTGTTTCTTTTTTCATTTTTTTTTAATTTATTCTTGATGAAATACTCCAGAATCTTAATGCTTAATTATCTTGTTTTAATTACTTTCATTTGTAATAGTCCGTTGAAATTAGAGTAGATGTTTTTACGGATATTTTAAGGGTGGATAGGTGTGAGTAAGAGAAGAACAAAACATCCACACTCACACTTAAGATGGTGCATGAGAAGAAATGAATAAATCTGTATAATAAATCAAAATATGCTAGATGTCTAACATAACATGTGATATGTTTTAGATCTTAGGAAAGTCAGAAAACTTTCCAATTCATAAACATTCTCTGATTTCGCTTCAATGTTCTGATCTTTTTCTGTATTTCAATATTTGATAGATCATGAAACGACGATTACTCGTTCACATAAATATGCGTGTCATTGTTCGAAGGGTGTGGGTGCGGTGGACCTGGGTGAATATGAGTCTTTTAAATCTTTATTTACACCCACACCCTCAAGATGAAAAATTATTAGAAGAGAAAATTTAAGAAAACAAAACTATTCAACCAACAGATGATTTAATAACTATTGGTATTGGAAGAAGAACCAATGGTGTTAATAAAACAATTAATAAACGTCATCGTGGTTTATGCCAATTTATAATGCGGACCATTATTATGAATTTCGTTAGAAATAGATTTTTCAAACAATTGTTTTATATGAAAGAGTAATAATGGAAGAGAAAAAAAGAATCTTATTACTGATTAAAAATATATGATTTCATTCCTAAAAGATCAAAAAATACGATATTTAACCAAATCTACTCTAATTAATTTACGTCGAATATGACCTTCAAACCATGATATAATTACAAATCTGAAAATAATTAAATGTCAAAAATAATCGTGAGATTATCACGTACATCAGATGCATGAAAAATAAATAAAAAAACTCTCTATTACATTTCTTATATGATTATATCAATGAGCAGTTCATAACATTCACAATAGTAAATAAATAAACTAGTCAATAAAGAAAATTGTTCCACTTCACCCTCTAGTCATACATATCAAGAAGAAATGAAAAGAATGGATAAAATCGATATAAACATACATACATGTACATATATATAATCTATTATATGATATTGCATATAGACTTGAATTTAGTGAGAAATGGTTCCACTAAGTGAAATAAAAAGAATTTCTATATAGACAAATACATATAATCTCTTGTTTAATATTGTACATGTACCTGAATAATCATTTCTCTCTAGATCTTATAAACTTCTACTTGTGAATGAATGGACACATAGATTACGGAATATGTATTTGATAGGGGGGACAGGGTCAAGCTGTCGAAACGTTTTATTTGTATTATTAGATCATATGTATTATTCGATGTTTTTCATTCGACTCAACCAGGAAAATCAAAGAAAATAAATCATTCTCTTTATTTTTATTATCTAAATGCAACAAGTTCTTTGGTACAAACTAAATGAATAGAATTAAATCAAGTGTCAGATAAATATGAAATCATTACTTTTGAATTCTTTCTAAGCAATAATATTTCATTCATTCATTGAAAAATATCTAATATGTTTGAGAAATTCGCTATTTTAAAGATTCATAAGTCATAATTAATCTATAATTACATTTCGTTAAAAACATGAATGATAGTATAAGTTTTAGTTTTTGTTAAATAAATATATTGATTTATAAATAATTACAATCATGTTATTAATGAATATTATATCTAGTCTTATAGAAAACATCATTAGCATTATGTTACTTTTTGCCAATAAATGATGATCTTAAAATAAAATTGCATCTCTTTAAAATATACATACATTTATTTTATTATAGAACTAAATTCATGATTTTCACTTCTCATACTTTTTTCATTTTATTTAATTTATTGTTTGTTTAATATTAAGAAAATTCTAAGTTAAAATTTTATACTTATATAAACATTGAAAATAATCGATAATTTCTTTTTTTCTTTTTTTTGTCTATAAATACTTTAGAATTAGATTTGAACGACCTTTTACATATAATATTCTTAGTTACTTTTAGTGTCTTTACCAATCATTAAATTTACTATCTCTGAGTTTTTAATGATAAAATATTACTCCTACACGCGACGGGTAAGAAAAAAATATTAATTAGATTTGCATCTATGAAAAATATCTAAAATGTTTGCCTTTTACATAGTGTTGCCCACGTTTTTTGATAATATGAGAGAAAACGTACAGGACGCAAAACCAGTGAAGCAAAGAATATTCAATGATTCTTTACACTAATACATATAGACCCATAATAAGCTTCATGCTTCACAGTAATGTATATTTGAAAAGAAAAAAAAAATATGAGCGATAAAGAGCCATTATTAAAGAAACATAACAAATTACTTAATGACAATGATGATGACATTGAAAACAAAAGGTATGATTTAAAAAAAAATATACTATTGATAAACACATAAGAACTCATCATTATTTATAGTTTTTCTGAATGGCGTCGATATTTCAATCAGCAAAAGACTGATGCTAAGAATAAAAAGTTAAATGATGAAGTCAACCAAACTACGAAAGATATTCCAGTCAGTGTTTTACAATTAGTAAGTATTATATTTAAACATAAAATATCATAGGAGAAAGTAACAAAAAATACTAAATTGAAAGCATATTATTTTTCTTTTTAATATATGTATATGAATTAATTCATTTCATTTAATGATAGTTTCGATTTGCTGATCGTATTGATATTCTTCTTTTAATTCTTGGTCTGTGTTTCATGTTGGGACATGTAGCTGGTGTTCTTGCGAATGTAATTCTTTTTGGTCGGATCACGGGATTATTTGCCACTACATCATTTGCTGTTGATTGCGATAATCAATATCAAAATTTAGAATCTACAATTATCAATAATACTATATGTCCTCTTGGTATTGATCTTAATCCATTAAATTATGATCGATTAAATAAGTAATTTACCGAAAAATATTCTTATTTTGAATTTTTTTTTGAATTTTTCATTTGTAGACTATGCCATTATGATAATAAAATTATTTCAACCACATTATCTCCACTAACACCTTTATTTCATGACAATGTTATGCATCTAGTTTATTGGTTCTTGGGTAAGTCTATTGAATAGGATGATTTTAATTTAGAAAAAAAAACAAACGATTTGTTGTTTCTCTATATCAATGTAGGTGTCGGTCTTTTTACATGTCTAAGTGCTGTTTTTGAATATTTCTGTTGGACAGTTGCTACGGAACGGCAGGCATCTCGTATGAGGGTTTTACTCTTTCGATCACTTATTCAACGTGTAAGTAAAAACATTGTTTTATACTCATCAAATACTTCATAATTCGTGATCCTAAGTCAGAATTGAATAGTATCGAATTTCTACTAGTACAGATCTGCATTGTACATATTTTTATTTCTCCAAAAACGGTTATACGTTGAAGAATAACTAAAATAAATGATTGTAAACGATTAAATTAGTTAAAATACAGTTTATTCTGTTTATTTCTCTTGCTCTGATCAAGAAACTAATTATTCTAAAAACATCGTTAGCATATCAATTAAATTATGAAAATAATCAATACAGAATATATAAGAGACGAATATGATAATATGAATGAATCTCAAAGATCATGTTGAAAGTAATTTTACCGTAGAAAAAAACAGAGAGTCTTATTATTGATGGAATTTAGAAATAGTTTAAATTAATTAAAATCAGAAAATGATGAAGTAGAATTTTTTAATATCCTCGTATACTTGTGAAATTATGATTTAAGATAAAATAATATATTATTTTTCTTTCATTCTTTAGAACATGACTTATCTAGATACAAACCAAACTACTCAATACAATACGAAGCTTTTTACGTAAGTAGAAATAATAACTATTTAACAAACAGTTATCTATCATTGATTTTCTTTGCAGTAATATTGAAAAGATCAAACACGGGATGGGTTTTGAATTCTTGGTATCAATTGCACTTATTTCAATCATGATTTTCAGTATAATCATATCTTTTATTCTCAATTGGCAATTGTCTTTAATTATGTCTTGTATGATTCCACTTATTCTTGGTAGTTCATTGATATTTGCTAAGGTAGAAATTATTATTTAATTTGCTAAATTTTTATCAATAATTACAGGTCATTACTAGAGAAACAAAAGAACAATTAAGTACATATGCAATAGCTGGACAAATCGCTCAAGAGGTATTTAGTTCATTAAGAACTGTTCTCTCATTCAATGGAAGCAAATTGCAACAAAAGCAGTAAATAATAAAACAAATATTTATAGATTATTGTATACTATTTTACTGTCATATTTATCTTTATCTAGATATGAAAAAGAATTAAAATTAAATGAATGGTATACTATTCGCAAAGATGCTGCCTTTGGTACTTTTACGGGTTGGTTGAATTTTATAAACTTCGTAGTTTATTCAATTGGTTTCACTTTTGGTTCGATTCTTATGTCTCATGGAAATCATCGTACACTGACCATTAGTGAAATTCTTGTTGTAAGTGAACTTTGACATTAATATGGAAGAAAGTAACTGAAAAACGAACTTTCGTTTAGGTTGTGAGTATGTTTGCACAAGCTTTAGGTTTCCTTACTTCAATTGGAACTTTCTTTCAATCAATTTCGGAAGCTCAAGGTGCAGCAGTATCCGTATTTCGACTTATAGAAGAGGTAAAATACAATAAATACTATAGCGACTAAATTTTGGTAATTATATTTTCTATTTCATTTTTTATGATATAGGTACATGATGAAAATATCAATGAAAAAGAAATATTGGAAGAAAACATATCTGATGAAAGATCTATTTCTAATATTAATGGTGATATTGAATTTGACAATGTTAGTTTTAGTTATCCATCAAGAGAAAATGCAACAGCTTTGAATAATCTTAAATTGATTGCTCGTGCTAATCAAACAACTGCTCTTGTAGGTTCAAGTGGTTGTGGTAAATTTTTTTTTCTAAAACAAACATAATACTTTAATATTGAAATTGATTGATAGGAAAAAGTACATGTGTATCACTTCTTCTTCGCTATTATGAACCTTCTTCAGGTAGAATTATGATTGATGGTCAATCAATTACAGATCATAAAATCAAACAATTTCGTCAGAATATTGGAGTTGTTAGTCAAGAACCTGTAGGTTTCTTTTATTTTCTTTTTTAGTCTCTATTAAATGATATCTATATTGAAATAGATTTTATTTGGACTAAGTATTTATGAAAATATTCGTTTTGGTAAAATGAATGCAACACATGCAGAGATTGAACAAGCAGCAGAACAAGCCAATGCACATAAATTCATTATGAAATTACCAAATGTTTGCTTTTTAATTATTTCTTTTTATCTCTATGTATTATTATTTATATTTATAGAAATATGAAACACTTGTTGGTGAACGTGGTATACAATTGAGTGGTGGTGAAAAACAACGTATTGCATTAGCTCGTGCACTTGTCAAACAACCCAGTATTCTTTTATTAGACGAAGCAACAAGTGCACTTGATAATGTTAGTGAAAAAATTGTTCAAGAAGCACTTGATCGAGCATGCAAAAGTAAGAATTATTTAATTATTATTGATTATATTATTATTATTATTATTATACTATAGATCGTACAACTATAGTTATTGCTCATCGTTTAACTACAATTCAGAATGCTGATTATATCTATGTATTAGATAAAGGAAGTGTGATTGAAGAAGGTACACATGAAACATTATTGGCAAAAGAAGGAGGTAAATATCAAACAATGGTCAAAATGCAACAATCTGAAAAAACGATTGGTACACAAGATGGCTTAATGAATATGGCAAAAGCAGCAGCTGAAGATGAAGAACAACTATGTATGTTACTATTCTAATATTAATAATTATTATATTTTATAAACATCATTTTGTTTTCTTATTTGGAATAGTCGAACGTGTTCGTCAATTGAGTGAGAGCGAAGCAATTGATACAAATCGGGTAAAAATAGATATCTAATAACTTTAAAAAGTCATTATTGATGTATCAATTTTTAGAGAGCTTCGATGTCAGCAAAAGGAAAATCTGTCTTTCTAAGACTCATGAAGATGAATAGTCCTGAGTGGGTATTTATCTTGATTGGTTGTTTAGCATGTTTACTTGGTGGTTTACGTGGACCAACGTTCTCGATTCTATTCGCAAAAATAATTAATGTAAGTAATTTTATTCATATGAATACTGTAAGAAAAGATAAAAGATGTCTTTTACTGCCGAATTTACCTTTTATTTAGGAATTTAATGATTGTAAATATAGTGATGTACGTCGTCGAGTGATGATTACATGCGGTTTATTTCTTCTTACTGGCGCTGTTTTTATGATTGTTAATTTTTTTCAAGTAACTATATTATTTCTAAACTATATCAATGAGTTTTTTCATGTTCGTTTACAGTTTGTGGCTTTTGGAGTAGCAGGAGCGAAATTAGTTAGTCGCATTCGTTCAAAGGCTTTCGCATGTTTTCTTCGTCAAGAAGTCGCTTATTTTGATCGACCTGAAAACAGTTCTGGTGCTATATGTACTCAACTCTCTTCTAATGCAGCTGCCATTGAAGACATGGCTGGTTCAAGATTAGGTGTTATCTGTCAAGCTTTATCCATGTGTGCTTTTGGCTCCTTACTTGGTTTTTATTACAACTGGCAATTAACAATAATCGTAGCTATTCCTTTCGTTATCATGTTAATCGTTACTGTTATTCAAATGCGGTTGGGTTCATGGTTAAAAACACAATCTGATCTCATTAGCTCTCAAGCTAGCACGGTAAAGTCATCTTGTTATCCCTAATCTTTTAATGTGTAGTAGAATTATGTTATTATATATTATTTGATGAAATGATTATTAAATATTCATTTTATGTTTTGTCTTTTTAGCTTGCTGTTGAAGTTATAACTAATATGCGTACAGTAAAACAATTATCAATGGAAAATGAAGTTTTACGACAATATTCGAATATGGTTCATCAAGTATTAGAGTTAGTCTTTTGAATATTATGCATGTATACATATTTGAAAAAGAGCTTTTTTTTACATAATAATAAAAAATCGTAAAAACTAACTGAGAAACCAATAGTTAAGTCGAAACTTGAGTGAAATTTGATGATACAGTTGTTTTGATTGTAGTAAGTTTATTTTCTTGTTATAGTAGATCTAAATTAAAATCTAAATATATATATAAAGTAATAAAAAAACTCCGGGTAGTTTGAAGAATTTTGACTTCGATCTTCAATAAATTATTTTTTGTTTAGATTGTCTTGGAAACCTGAAGCAGTGTTTGCAATAGCATTTGCATTGTTCTGGGCAATGAGTCCATTGACTTTGGGACTTTTGTATTGGCGTGCTTTGATTTCTGTTGAAAACAATGAACTAGATATGGGCGATGTTGTTATGTAACTAAAAAAATAACTTTGATAATCTTTAAATTAAGTTTGATTATTATTTTTTATTCTTATAGGGTTTCTGCTTTTGGAATGTTTGCATTGGAAGCACTAAAAATGGTTGGAATGTTGTAAGATATAGAATTTATGTTTTTTTTTATTTTTGTTTTTATTATTTTCGTTTAAGAGCAAGACGTATTGGTGCATCATTTGCTGCGGCTCATGCATTTTTTGATCTATTTGATCGAACACCGACTATTGATAATGGATCTAATAAAGGACAAGAATTAGTAAACGAAAAAAAACTATTGTCTTCCAATTGTATATTTTAATCTTGATTTGTTTAGACTAATTTTAGTGGAGAAACAGACTTTAATCAAGTTAAATTTGTTTATCCAAGTCGTCCAACAGTTCTTGTTCTTAATAAACTTCAATTATCTATTAAATCAGGTCAACGTATAGCTCTTGTTGGTATGTTCAAATAAGTTATATTTTCTAGTTTATTACTGATATAATATAATCGATTTAGGTGTATCTGGATGTGGAAAATCAACAATCGTTCAGTTATTAGAACGATTTTATGATGTTACACATGGAGAATTGGTAAGTAACTCTTTTCTATATATATAATTCAAGTACTTATATAAAAAGATATTAACATAAACTAGCTTCTTGATGGTGTTGATATTCGAAAATTAAATCTTCAATGGCTTCGTTCTCGTCTGGGTGTTGTTAGTCAAGAACCAGTTTTATTTGATTTAACAATTGCTGAAAATATATCATATGGATTAGAAAATATACCAATGGATGAGATTGTTCATGCTGCAACTAAAGCTAATATTCATGAATTTATTCAACAATTACCTCAAGTTAGATTAATATTTTGATTATTTAATAATATTATCTTATTTTGTTATAGGGTTATGAGACAAAGGTTGGAGTCAAAGGTAGTTTTTTATCAGGTGGTGAAAAACAACGTATTGCTATTGCTCGAGTTCTTATTCGTCGACCTAAAATATTATTATTAGATGAAGCTACAAGTGCCATGGATCCACACAATGAAAAGGTAAGTTTGTATTCTTTTATTAGTACAATTTAGTATTTTTAATTAAAGATAGTACAAGTAACTCTTGAACAAGCACAAACAGAAGATCCTAGTCGAACGTCAATTATTATTGCACATCGTCTTTCAACAATACAATCATGTGATTTAATATGTGTACTTGAAATGGGTCGTATAGTTGAAAGTGGTACTCACACAGAACTAGTACAAAAAGGTGGAATTTATTATAAAATGTTAAATGCTCAAAACAACGGACACTAATTGTTATTCAACTACTTCATTATTAAAAAATAAATAGTTTTACATCTATAACCATGAAAGTGTTTTTACTAATTTTCTATTTTTTATAATATGTATGAAATTAAATTTGAATTCAATTATATCTAACTTTATAGAAAATTTCAATCATCAACTTTTGTATCAACGAAGTACTTTAATAAAGTAAACAATAGAAAAGAAATTGTTAAAGCATTAAGACAATATTTTATTTCACATTATAAGTTGAGGGTCTGAGTGTGGGTGAGGATGTAGGTGGGGTAGGTGTGTGTGTAAAGATGATTAAAAGAACACACGCAAAAGCACCCACACCCTCACTGTCAAGTCGATATCAAAATTCAAACCATTTATATTCCATTGTTTGCTTATGTCTTTTATTTCTATTGATCCGACTGATTTATTCATGGTATTACCTACAATAGTTTCAATAATTCGATACTGAGAACAATAATAATAGAATATCCATACTTACATTGACATAAATATTTCAGTTGCTCCTTGCTTAATATCTGCTCTACTCTGCAAGTTCTAAATAAACAAATTTCTCCGATCATCTCATTGTATCGTATAAATATTTTGTAAAATGCAAATCTTAAGAAAAAAGCGAACTTGAATGCATTCCAGTCGATTATACAGCCCCTCAAATATCTCCGAGATGTACTTTTCTGCTGTATACAACCGAATTGCTATCTCAGTCGAATTCGGAAATTATTTATTTTTGACATTGTACCATCACCTTTCTGTCATCTATGATAAAAAATCTTATATTTCTTTTTGAACTAGAGCGTAAAAATGGTTGAGTATTTGTGGAAAGAGAATCTAAATCCGCACCATCCATTGCCTAATATTATATCATCTTCGACAAATTCAAAGCTTTCTTCTAAGTTTACATCGCGAACGTTTGAAATTTAAAATAATATGAATTGTTTGTTATTCCTGCAATTTAACAAATTAAAACCAATACAGATCAAATACACACCGAGTTTTATAACAAAAAGAGCCATCCTTTTTATACGATATTGGATGAATCATAATAATACAATACTGGCATAATTAATGCATTTGTCGTAAGAACGAAAATGCCACGATTATCTTGATGAGTCATCTTTAAAGAAAAAAGAAGGGTAGAACAAAACACGTTTCTTCTAGTTATCTAATACATTGTTTTTGATATTTCAATAGTGTCATTGTGGCGAGAATACTATTAATACATTCCATCGAAAATCTTCTGTCTGTCCAAGATTATACAAAAACGAACAGTTTTCACTGATTGTTTTGTGCTCGCTTGTCTCATATTTTTCTTTGTAATCTTCCAACGTACATACACGAGCGCATGACGCATATGAATATTGAATATTAAATAACTTGTCATGCCATTTTTCCACTGCGTCATTTTTCGCTAGCAGAACAGAAAAAGAAAAACAAGTATGTGTTCTTCCTCTTTACTACTATTCAAATCGCGATCGGCGTCATATTCTATACAGAAAAGAATATTTTTCGTAAGAAGAAGATGATACTGTCTGAATATAGTTTATTAGGAGACTGGACACATGCATTTGCAATATTGGTCATCATCACAAAGATCATCAAAACACGGTCATGTTACTCAATTTCGGGCAAGACTGCAATACTCTACAGTGTCATATTTTCATGTCGTTATGTGAATCTGTACTCTTTTTTTGACGACCACCGACCTTACTATCTCACACCGTACAATGTAACATTCAAAATCTATTTTCTATTAGCAAGCTACTTAACTGTTGATTTTATCTATGGATTATTCCGCAAGACTCACGATAAGTCGAATGATACCTATCCAATTCATTATCTTTTTATTTCTGCTACTCTTATTACTCTATGTACTTATGCATTCGATAGTCAACTGATTGGTGATCAAGATCCCTTCTGGAGATTTTCAATCGTATTAGAAATATTCGCTATTGTTCCTCAGATACGACTGACAAAGAATCAAAATACAATAGACAAGACGATAGCATATTATCTTCTGATGCTTGGATCTTATAGAGCATTCTACGTATGTCATTATCTTTTTCAATATCAAACAGAACAAGATTGGGAACCGATTACTTTCGTTAGTAGTTGCTTTCAAGCAATGATCTATTTGTATTATTTTATTAACATCTATCCACGATTGAACGCGAATCAACAATGTGAACCGATCAAAGTTACACAAGATATTTTCCTTGTTGAAGACTTCAAAACTAACTTGAGTCACAAACAGAAGCATGATATGCCATTCATTCACAATGTTGTTTAAAACATCTCACTATAGAATATATTTCTCCTTTGTATTTTGCTTTTAGAAAGAGTCAATTGATGCTATAATAAACGCGGTTTTAAAAATTTCACTATTGGCATATTATATTTTCTTGTGGGTATGAATGTGGGTATTAATGCTGTATCTGTGCACAATCATACTGACACCCACCCCCAAGATATTGACTAAGAGAACCAGTGGGACTTAGTGGGTCAAGGGAATTAAGGACTAAGGCGCTTGCAAAACGACTTCGTTGCTATATTGTGATAATCGTCAGTGTATATAAGTCGATTCGTCATAACCAGAATCAAAACAATTATTTTTATCGAGGACAAAATGATTTAGTACAAGAGAGCATGAATTTTCCTCTGTGAAGAAATTATAACGTATATGAATTCCTGAAAATTCTGATTTCCTAATAAAGTCTGGGTATTTATCAATGATGTTATTTTATTCCTTTGAATGCTATGAGTCTCCGTTGTTTCTCATAGTTTCTTTAGCCCCTCTAGTTCTCTTAGTCCTCCTAGTCCCCTCAATCTGGTATGTTTTAAAAAAAGCATGTGTATTTTATTATTCTTACTTTTTTTGTATCTGTGTCTGTTAACCCTAATGGGTGTGGGTGTAAGTGTGAGTATTAACGTTGTATCTATGCATAATCACACCCACACCCACAAGAAAAAGAAAACAAATTCAACTTATATTCACATCTTTAATAGTCTGATGAAGGTGAACATCATTTATTGAAACGTTACAAAGAAATACATATCTTAAAATTTATTACTATTAATTATCACTTAATTTAGTTTTAATCCTATTCTATTAACTCATTCTATTATTTTTATTGCATTTTATGAACATCGTATTAATAAAAAATTAAATAATATATAGCTATTGAAACATTTCGATAGTTGAGAGCTTTGTATTATGATTTCGTGTATCTTACCACTTTCTAAAGATAGCTACTCAATAAAGTAATATAACTATTAAATAATTTTAATAATTGTGTCATTGTTCGCTTATTCTAAGAGAAATTACAAATATGATTTAAAATAAAATTTCATGTCACTAGCTTTACTCTGTTTAGGGGAAGAATTCAGTTACCATCATTATCCTTCTATTTATCATCCTTATTAAACCTAGGCACTATAAAAATCATAATAATTAATCAATGAATACAAAAATTCCTTTTAAATATTAATCATCGCATCAATAAAATATAATTTTTAACAAAATAAATAGTAAGTTATTAACAATTCTAGAATTTATTAATAGTTGATAATAGACAACAAAAATTAGTCGTTTTCAAGCATATCAAATATTTCCACTACTCCTGCTTTTTGATTTGACTTTCAATGACTCCGAAACAGAGTGTAGATGTAGGTGTCAGCAATAAGTATGTCACTCATCTCTCACATCCATCCCTACCCTCAAGATATTTTTAAATTTCATTTTTTTTCTATTCATTTCCTTTGTTAAGCCCTCTAATCTCAATGATCCTATCATAGCAACTTGTATTGTTTTCGACATTCATTTTTATCTTGTTATTCTAATTTTTTATTTCTCATACTGCTACGATGCATGTTGACATTAAAAATATCGTTAATGAAATAATTCATCTAATGCATAAAACAGATTTATACATAACGATGCTCGCTCTTTTATCTTTTCACATTTTGTTCTCTTTTCTCTCTTCGACCTATTGTGATTATTACTTGTTCTTTCTTTTTCACGTAAGAAAAGTTATTCTAAGTGATGAGAGAATAATCTCCTTAAAAAAACAGTAAGCAAATATGAAATTTGATGATTTTTTAAGCACAATCAATGATTTTGGTCGATATCAAAAAGTAAGATACTTTTGCATCTGTTTAACATACATGTTACCAGCTGGTAAGTACAACAAGTAATTTCAGTCTTTGAAATAATTTCTATCTTATCAATTTAGTTATGGTTTATACCTGGTCATTTGCTGCTGCTATACCTTCATTTCGGTGTGCATTATCTGAAAACGATACTGTTTTTAATAGAAATATTTCCATACAATACGATCGAAGTCAACCTGATGAAGATTATTGTAAAGCAAATATGAAAATATCGGTAAAAGAATGTCAAAGATGTTATATAAAAACGATATCAGAAACAGGTATAGCACAACTTCAACCATGTGAAGGTTATGTTTTTGATCGAAAATATCATCAATATACTCTTGTTGAAGAAGTTCGTATCTTTAGTACAATGATATAAAAATTTTAACAGATTGTTTTTAGTGGTTAATGGTTTGTGATCGAACAATATTTCGTTCAGCAGTACAAAATCTATTTTTTGTTGGTTATATGGTTGGATCGATTTTCTTTGGGATCATGGCTGATAAGTATGTATTGAGTAGATTGAAGCGAAGAAGAAGTTATAATATTGAAAATAGACTGAGACATATCCAAGATAATACCAAACAAATAAGATTACGAAAAGTATAATTCATTTGAATATAGGCTAAAAAACTCAGGGAAATTGATTGTTGTATGACGCCGATGATGATACTGGTTAATCATGTAAATAGATAAAGACCAGAATATAGCATAAAGTGTCCGCTCGATTTGAAAGAAAAATTGTAAAAATAGTAATACAATATCATAGGATTATCGTTTCTTTTCTTCTAAAGATATGGTCGTCGTCCTATTATGAGTATTTGTATAATAATAATGGCTTGTACGGGATTTATTTGTGCTTTTTTTCCACAAAAAAATTTATTTGGATTTTGGCCAAGTTATTTAGTTTATACCATAAGTCGTTTTGTTTTGGCTTGTTCAACAAGAGGCATCGCTGTTACTGGATTTGTATTAGGTAATAATTTGAATAAAAATTTTATTATTAAGAAATAATTTTTTTACTTAGCAACTGAATTAGTTGGTCCGAAAAATAAATTTTTAACTGCAATTTGTGTTCAATATTTTTTCGCTTCTGGTCAATTATTTTTAGTTAGTTTTGCTTATTTTATTCGTGAATGGAGACGTCTAACATTTTCTTTATCATTATTTACAATACCATTTACATTATTTTATTTGTAAGTTTGAGAAATTTTTTTATATTTTTCTATATATTTGAGTATTCTTAGTGTACTACCTGAATCGGCTAGATGGATGATTAGTAAAGGACATTATAAACAAGCAGAAGAATTATTTCGAAAGATTGCAAAGACGAATAAACGAATATTTAATGAAGAAGCGTTTGAACAATTAAAAAATGAACAAGAAAAAGTAAATAATATAAACTGTCTTTATGATAACCATCTGTCTGCGATAGACTAGAACGACTAATACGCAAAAAGTCGGTGTTTTATCATTATTTCGATCGAAAATTATGTGCATTATATCTATAAATTTATTTTTTCAATGGTAAATTCTTTCGAGTATTTGTTTTTTTACACGTACCTTATTCTATTTTACTAAGGTTTGTTCAAAATTTAGTTTTCTATGGTGTTTCACAAAGTACTGGTTCTTGATCCTTATTGTAAATATTGAAATATAATATTTCATTTCGTAATATTAATATCCAATATTTAGTATCATTTGCAATCTCAGCATGTGTTGAAATAGTATCTTATATTGTATTACATTTGATACTTAATCGAATCGGACGAAAACGACCATATTTTGTTGCTGTTTTTGGTTTTGCCATAGTTGCACTATTATCAATTCCGGTACAAAATCTAATGGTGAAAAATAGTCCAAGTAAATATAATTTTATGATAGACAAAAAGATTTATCTTTTTATTCTACTGTAGGTCAAAAAGTGGTTATATTTATGATAAATGTGTTATTAAAATTTCTTGCAGCTGGTAGTTATGCTATTATTTATATATATTCCAATGAATTATTTCCAACAGGAGTAAGAAATACTGGAATGGGTATTTGTTCAATGGTTGCACGTAATAGATTTCTTTTAAAATAAAATTTTATATTCTAAAAGTTGTTCATAGGAATTGGAGCAATTGTTGGAACAACAAGCAATGATATGTTGGTATGTGTTACTACATTTAAACAATTATAGATTTATATAAGCTTTTATTAATTTAGACTCGATTATGGATTAATTTTCCGACGGTTTTATTTGGTATTTTATGCTTCATTGCAGCGTTTCTTATTTTGATGTTACCAGAAACCTTGAATAGAACATTGCCACAGACGATTGAAGATACTGAACAAATGGGTTTAAGTTGGTATGTATAGTCAATTTGTTATTGTAGTTAACTCTTCTTTTTATCATGTTTGTTTATGTTTAGTATTCGTATTCGTGGTAATCAACGAACTTCAAAACAACAAGAAGAAACTTATAAGAAAGACGATCAAGATTCAATTGAAAGTTATACATTAAGTGAACGTTTATAGGTCGTTAGTAAAGATTAAAACAACAAGAACATAAACGTTGAATTCATTACTAATATTCAACGATTGATAGTTACATAAGTTTGAAAAATAAATTATCTAATATTGAATAAAATAAACGAAGTTCATTAGATTAATTGGTCTGAGTATCTTTATCACTTAAAAGATGCATGTAGATTTGATCAAACATTGTTCAATCTTAATGAAATGAAAATTATGGTGATTTATTATTAACCTGAACTAGTTGAGGAATGGGTGTGGGTGTGTATGTCGTCTTTATTTATTATGCACCAGACACACACACCCTCAAATGTATATAAGAGTATAATTTTACTTTATTCAGAAGTTTAACTCATTCGGAATTTGAAAGATATAATATTTTTGAACATTTTTCATTGTCAGTTTATCTTCGAATAGTTGTCTCTCGTCAATTATAGTTCATTGATGCATTACAATACTTACTTTTGAGGATATGAGTGAACAAGAGACTATGGATATGGTGGGTGTGGTTAACTATACTCGTATCCTTCTACATTCGCATCCCCACTCACACTATCCATATTATTCATGTAAATAAGAAAAAATATATGCAATATTCGTTAAGACCATTACACATATATCGCATATTATTTTTTTTTTCTTCTCACAAACTACACAATACGCAGAACAATTTCACAGTCACATCATCATAAAGCAATCTAAATAATATATAAATCAAACAATTAAAGTCATTTCGATTAGTTAATTGTCTATTCGATGGTTGTAGTTTATACATTAACATAGACACATCGCTGAATAACACGACGTTTTCGATTTTTGATTCGTTTTGCTCGTCGTATTCGTTCTCGTTCCTTATGGACTGGATCTATATCGAAACAATATTTCAATATATCCATTGTTACAACAGATATAATAATAATTGTCATGGCAAGAATTGCAATATATGAAGAAGACTTTGAAATAGTTCCATAAATAATTATTTTCTTCGATTGTATTTCACAATGGCGACCAGAATAAAAGTTATCACCAAGACATTTACATGTATAATTAAGTACTGTTGGTTGGCAAACAGCATTATTCATACATGGACTACTGTCACACAAATTTACCATTGATTCACAGTTAATACCATCCCAACCGTTAGCGCATGTACATTTAAATGTGTTATTCGATGTTTCGTTGCATTGACCTACAACAAGGAATCATTTTTCATTTTTTCTAATAATAGAAAAAGGAGAAAACATATACATACCATCATATAAACAAGTATGTAATATACAAGGTCGTTGATCAAGTTCACAATAAGTACCATTGAAACCAGATGGACATAAACAAATGTAACTATCAAACGTATTATTGATACAAGTACCATTATTTTGACATGGATTAGCTATGTCACATATATTATTGGAAATATTACAATTAGAACCAATATATGTAGTATCATTACATTGTACAGCAATAAAAATCGATACTGACGGTTGAACTATAGAGTACATGAAAATATTATTAAAATAAAATGAAATTCTTTATTGTTACACATATATTACTCAGAGTATAGCTGATAATACACACTAATATCACAAACCTTTTTCGAGTGATGTTGTAAAAACGTTGATGGTTGTAACGAATGTCGATAAAGCATTAGTTGAATTTTCAACTAAAAACAGTAATTGAATATTGAAACAATCGAACAGAATGAGGGAACTCACTTGCATTCACAAGTGTGGTTATTGGTACTTGTTGCGATGTTGTAGATTGTTCTATATTTATATATATTGAATAGTTTCACTTAAATATAAGTTATTTACTGAGCAATCATCCTATTTCGCAACTTTGAACATTGCGGAATCAGTTCCATTCAATTTCCAGAACTACATACACGTTCTGAGGATTCATCGCATTCTTATTCGAAAGTATTCTTAGAATATTGTCAATCTCAAAGATTTCATATTTAGTTTTCAATATATTCGCCTAAGTAGATCTTATCACGTATAATAAATCTATATCAACTTGTCAATATTTCGTTGAACACCGGTATCTAGTAAGAGTCGTTTACTGTAGGAAGGACATCGATGAGTGTATCGAGTATAATCAATGGAGTTTAGTGCCGGTGTAAATAGAATTTCAGTAAGACTTTTAAGTAAACAGTTTATTGAAACTACACATAACTGAAACTGTACTAAGTTAAAGGTATTGTATAGATCGGAATGTAATCTATTAATTTTCTTATCAATAAACTTCAAACAAACGATGCTAGTTAATAGTTTGATCTTTGATCAATGATTAATAATCTTTTAAACAAAAACCATCAATTAGTAAAAGAGATAAAACAACGATAACTACACTGAATTCACTTCATAGAAAATGAAAAAAAACTTATGGTCATATGTTTCATTTACTCAACAATCAACATTAAATAATATTAATTGATAACGATTTGTATGTTATAAACTTATTCTATTTCGATCATTTCACAGTTACTAAATAGAAATATTTTCTTAACTGTTTTCATTTAGAATCATTGTCATATTTTAACAGTGAAACTTTACGCTGATGATCGGGAATCTTCAGATTAAGTTCATTTTTAACAGAGAAAAACTGAGAACGATTGTCATTAACAGGAATAGCAATAAAATAGTTCCGATTATAATATAAGAATATCTGTACAAGATAGGTAAACAATATAATTAACATGACAAGAAAGAAAGTATGGTACTGTAGTCGAATTCATAGAAAATTGTTCGACAACTAAATTAAATACTTTTATACGTACCACATGAATTTGTGAATAAAACAAACTTTTGAATTCGACTATTCAGAGTATCTGCGACAAACATATTTCCATAACTATCAAAACTAAGTGCAGATGGACCATTTAATTGATTAGATGCTGAACCAAATGAAGTAGAACATCCAACTAAACATCGAAAACCATTTGGTCCTTCGCCAACAATACGATTATTTAAACTATCCACAATAAAGAGATAATTATCAGCATCAAGAACCACTCCAGTTGGATTATTGAGTGTAATTGTTGCATTTAAAGATCCACTACCTGCAACAGTTATTCCATTTAATTGTCCTAATCGAAAGAGTTGAATTCGATTATTGTAAGAATCTGCCACATAAAGATCAAAATTGATATCAACATAGATTCCCCAAGGAGAATTAAGCATATTTGAGGTGGATCCAATACATCCTGTACCAGCAATAATTGTGGTTGTATTCGAATTATTATCCAATGATTTTGTAACAACTTGATGACGACTAGACATTGAACAGTAGAGAATATTATTAACATCAATAAAGAGACCATAACATGCTGCAGTAACATACATTGCAGGAATACTAATATTTGCATTTAATGTCCATTTATCAATTCGACCATTCGAAAATCCATTATCAATATAAATACCACCATCACTTGTCACGAACAGAGAAAATGGGTATATTAAATTTCCCGAAATTGTTCGTGTTGGATTAATACTATTATTAAACCATATCTGAATTCGACTATTTCGAAAATCAGCTACAAAAATTGTGTTGTTTGTATTAACATAAATGCCATACGGGGATGCACCAACTGCAGTACCATTAGCGAAAGTGCTTGCATTAGCACTCCATGAAACACATGCATTGAATTTAGGTTGATTGTATGAAACAACTAAATAAAATAAGATTTTAATAATGAAAATATTTTATTAAATAAAGTTTACCTCTATTTAAAGACGATATTGTAACATTATTTGACTGAGTAGTTAAAATTGATGATATATTCACTAAAATTTTTATTGAATTTATTAAATAAAAGATCGAATTTTGTCTTACCAGGATTTATAGTTGATGTTGAAATTTCATCTAAAAGAAATTCTTTTAATAAATCTTATTTCGATGAGAATTAATTTGAAAAAACAGAACTTGTTTTAATTTCATCAAATGAAAATCTTTTATGGTTTCGAGAGAAATTTTTATTTTATAGAAAGTTTTTTCATTTTATCACACTTACCACATGAATTTGTGAATAAAACAAACTTTTGAATTCGATTATTATAAGTATCTGTGACAAACATATTTCCATAACTGTCAAAATTAAGAGTATACGGGTAATATAATTTACTAGATGCTGAACCCGCAGAAGTAGAGCATCCAGCTAAACATCGAAAACCATTTGGTCCTTCACCAACAATACGGTGATTAAAACTATCCACAATAAAGAGATAACTATCAGCATCAAGAACCACTCCAGTTGGGCGATTCAGTGTAATTGTCGCATTTAAAGATAAGTTACCTGCAACAGTTTTTCCACTTAATTGTCCTAATCGAAAGAGTTGTATTCGGTTATTGTTATAATCTGCCACATAAAGATCAAAATTGACATCAACATAGATTCCCCAAGGAGAATTAAGCATATTCGAGGTGCTCCCAACACTACCTGTACCAGCAACAATCGATAATGCATTCGAAACGGTGTTCAAAGATTTTTTCATAATTTGATGAAGATTATACATTGAACAGTAAAGATTGTTATCAATATCCACGAAAAGATCCGCACATTTTTGACATGTGTACATTGTCGAAACACCAATTGATGAATTCAATGTCCATTTATCAACTCGACCTGTTGAATTATCACTATCGACATAAATATCATCTGTTATTGTAACAAAAAGACTCCATGGATTTGATAAATTACTCGAAATATTTTTTGTTGGTTTAATACTTCCTTCAGACCAGATGATAATATGACCATTATCTCGATTGGGTACATAGACTGTGTTGTTTGTATTAATAAAAATATCGTAAGGTTTCATACCTACTGTACTGCTATTTGCGAAAGTTGTAGCATTCAGATTCCATGACGCATTGTGACAGAATTTTGGACGATTATAAGAAAGAGCTAAATAATAAACAATCTTAAGTTTTGTCCACCGATCTAAGAATTATGCACATATTTCATAATTTTATGTACAAATTTTAGATTTAAAAAGATCTTCAATATTCCTGTTCTCAATAAAACGAAAAACAACTAAGAAAAAAAAATATATTAAATACTGATAATATTGTTGTTTTTGAAAAACAAAACTGATGGATAGAAGTTTATCAACAAAGTTCATTTGAGATTGAAATGTAAAAGAAATAAATATGTTAGATAATAGAAAATGACGTAATGCAATGGCTACATTTCATATATATTGATTTTCTCTGATCTATTAATTTTGCTTCTTTTTTTCCTAAATAAAATGATTTTACAGTGTATCTAAATGTAATTTATTCGATAGGATGTGGGTGTGGATGAGTGAAGCTCTGTTTCTTCTTTACGCTACACCCACACAAACACACTCATATAATAAATAAATTTTGAAACTATCAATAAAATATTTTATTATTTGATTGTTGTGTTACAGAGTAGAATGCCAATTCGATATTTTATTGCAAAATGTACGATTTACTTCTCATATATCTATGCGATTTCCTCAATGAATAAAGAGCTCCAATAACAATGAAGATCAATGAATTGATATTTCTTTATATGTGCAAAAGATTTACAGTTCCGATCTATTTTATACATTTATATTACATATTTCTATGATTCTCATTGTAATGTGATAGATTTAGAATTTAAAGAATCCTACTTTTCTCTTTTTTTGGAAGAAAAAATCTTCGAAAATATTTACCTGATGTTTGTTTAATAATAATAAATAATAGGCATATTTTGAAACAATGAAATAATATCATATTGAACAACATTATGGACTTGTCTTGAACATTATTCAACAATAATCATATAAAAGAAGTTAAAATGAAAAATAAAAATTGATTTTATTAATCAATTTATTTGTCTCTCTCCTTCTTCTTCTTACATTTCCGTTTATTTTCTTGTCCTTTTTGAATTATTTTCAACTGCATGACTTAAAAAATAGGTAAAGAAACTGGGAAGAAATACAAATATGTTTACTGAGAAAAAATTCTTTTTTGTGTTGTCTATCTCAATTGTAGCTTAAGAAAAACCGATCAATAATATTACAATACTTAAGATAATACATTACAACTAATCATCAAACAATGATCAATTTGACATAGATATTGATCTTTCTTATTTCCAAAGCATTCACTAATAATATGAGTTACATATCTAATCTATTATTAAGTTCAACAATAAAATAATAGTTTGATTTTATATCTTATAACAAACATTTATCAACATTTCATATTTATTTAAAGTTTTTTTTTGTTGAAAACAAAAGAAAAGTTTCATTTAACTTCAACATAAGTAGATAAACATATAATTATTTGTTGATTCAAATTTGTCCGAAAAATACGTACTTGTAACAAATACATGACATTCTATTATCAATATAATAAGAAATGAAATATATTTTAAGACAAGAATAGTTAGAAATAGAATTATTATATATTTCTTCGACTGCAAAATCATTGATGTCAGTATTAATTATATCAAACTATATGTTTGCATTCATTTTTCTTTCCCTCGATTTTCAAATAAACATTGGCGCAATTTCTTTATTTGTTTAGTCATTTCTTTCTAACTTAAATACGTGTATGTTTTGTATCATTAAAATATCATTCTTTAATGAAAAATGATTTAGCTGTGAGAGTGTGGGTGAGGGTGTGGGTGACGGTGTGGTTATTATAGTAACCTTACTCTGCTACCCGCATCCTTACTCACACCCACACCCTATTAACATTGGTGAGCTATTATGAAAATACTCGTGTCTGTATCTCTCATATATCTCTTATAGATTCATGAGGTTGCTTATGGTCGTAATCCCCCTAGATACAAACACAAATTCAATTAAAAATAACTGCTCTTATTTAGTGTTTTTTGGAGTAGATAGAATTTGTCAAGAGCTCTAAATAATGATAGGGGGTAAATATGGTGCGTTCGAGGTTTCCTCAACATTCCATTATCCGAAAACTATGAAAAACTCACATATACTGATACTGCTACTAGAACTGTTTATTGTTGACTAAGAATAAAAAAACTCAGATGAATGTCTATTTCCGCTTTTTGCAGTACACATAACTCTCGGGTAAAACCCGAGGTTACGCATTTATTTATTCGTTGATGTTGACTCATAGTAATAGAGATAAAGATCTACCACACATGTGATGATTGAAATAACGCAATATTATATTATGCTTCCTTCCTTTTCTCTTATTATTTAACTTATGTCCAAGATTTTTTCAAGTTTTGATGAATGATTCAGCATTGACATGAAATGTATTAAATGCAATGTAACATGATTTTATTGTGTATTTATAAATTACTAATTGGACATATATATACTTCATTAATACTATTATCAGGATGCGAGCCATTTATGAATGAATTCCATCAATTTTTATTATGACATTACTGAAAAATTTATTTCGTAAATTACATACAATTTAAACAACAAATTGAAGAAAAGTTTTTAAAAATCTTTTGACTTCAATAGTTACATATAGCTTTATTATATTTATAAAACTCAAAGTTCAACGATATATCTGTTATCCACACACTTGTATTTTCATTTCTCTATTACTTTTAAACTAATACCATTACCAATATCTGCTATTGCTACAGATATTTTTTCTTTAACTGATGTGACAATATTATCTATTCCATCATCATCATCATCATCACCATCAAATGAAACAATAAAATGAACATTATACGATTGTGAAGATAACTGACGTGAATTGTGATTATTTTGTTTTTCTTCTTGACTTGATAATTCTGAAGTAACATTTAATTTCGAATGATCTTGATTGAATAATCGTTCTAATTCTACCGGTGTTATATGTTTATCAGGTATGTACATTTTTCTTTTATGTACTCGTTGATATCTATTAACAAGAACTGAAACAAGCATACCCATCATGCCGGCCCCAACAAGTGCACATAAACAAGCTATAATACGGCCAGCTACTGTTATCGGATACATTTCTCCATATCTATAAATATATTATTTCGAAGAAAACAAAATAATAATATCTCACCCAACTCCTGTAATCGTTATAACACCCCAATAAACTGCTTTAGGAATTGAATCGAAAACATCACCATTACTTTGTACTTCAGCAAAATAAACTGCTGCACCAAATAAAAATGAAATTAATGTAAGAATAACAATCATAACAGCAAAATCTAATAATGATTCTTTTATTGTTGAACTTAAATTTCTTAATGTTTTTAATCTTTGAAAAATTAAATAAATTTTAAAAATTCGTAGGAAAAATAAAATTCGAAAAAAACGAAGACCAACAATAACATCTGCATTTGTAGTTATATTTTTACTGCTTAATTCAATACCAGTCAGAACAAAATAAGGTATAATTGCACATAAATCAACCCAATTAAAAAATTCCATAATAAAACTTACATATGATGGAGTACTTATAAATCTTAATAGAAATTCTACTGTAAAAAAGGCAGCACATATAGTTTGAATAATAAAAAATGGTGATGTAAAAAGTGCTGAACATGATGGAAATGAAGTTGCATTTAAAGATTTATTAAATTCTTCTTTACAAATATTATTCCAACGATTATTATAAGTTGGAAGTGTTTCAATAGTTAATGCTAAACAAAATAATACGGTGAGAATCATTGATATAATATTAATGACACGACCTAAAGTTGAATATTGAGGAAATTCTGAATAGAACCAAATATATCGACGCCATAACATTCGTGGTAGTTGAACTTGTTGAATTATTTTAATATTTTCTATTTCATGAACTTGTGCAGTTGCGTCTTCACCTAATAGAAAAAATTCTATTTCTTCAAGAAATGTATCAATTGGAACAAAATCTGGTCGACGAAGACGACCATTTGATTGATAATAATAAAGTATAGATTCAAAACAAGCACGATGACGATCAAAAAAATATTCTTGTATTTCATTATTCCAATATTGTTTTCGTTTATTTTCATTACCTAATAATGTATCAGGATATAATTCTAAAGTAGAAATATATGTTTGAAAACGACTTCCACCAACATTAATTGTTATTAGAGGTGATTGTCCATTATTATTATTAACGTGAGGTTTAACAGATTCTTCAGTTGTACGTATTTCCAAGATACTATCTCGATGTTGAAGAACTTCAGGACTAAAAATACAGTAAGAATAAATTTATGAATATTTAATAAATACCATAGAGTATCACATTGTTTTATTTCTGGATGTGTAGCAGATCGATGTGGTTTAAATGAATTAAGTCGTTTGCTAAAATTTTGAAATAAATAAAATAAATATTTTTTCTAACGTAAAACATACAATAGTTTTGGACGGTGGGATGGTGAATTCGCAGATGAACTATCTCTATCTCCGTCGCTATTCGATTTCTCAGACATGTTAGAAAAAAAATAATCTAGTATACGTAACAAAACAGAGAATCATATGAGAGAAAAAGGTATCTTTATCTATTAATTGACGTTAATCGTTATTAACATTAAGATTCATACCTTTTATATTAAAAGAAAATGATACATGGATATAATTATCGAATCAAGTATCTATTTAGAAACAATATAATTTTATTTGCTTTTCTATTCTACGATCATGCTTTTTAATTACCAATACCTGGATAAAAACAAATATATATATATACATGTCAACTGTATTGCTACGTGTACAGACATGATTCAATCACGAAGGCGAAAGAGTACATGGAGCATTTTATTGAGAAATATCATTGTACATATTTTTTTATAGGATTCAGTGGGTATATCTAATATTGATGTGTTGAAAAAAAATTGTTCGATATATGTACTTTGAATACGAATACTTTTTTACTCAATAAAATTATTTTTGTGTACAAGATTACTCAGTTTTTTTTATTTGTAAAACAACTAGCTCTATCGATTTAACAATCATAGTTGAACAAAAATATAAAAATCATCTTAGGAGAGTGTCGATGTGGATATATATGAGAGAATACAGAAAAATGTGCATAACCTCGAAATAAAATATAACAATGTACTCTGTTACGTATCGAAGTGATGTACGCTGTAAACATGTAAATATAATTCTTATATAAAATCAAGTATTACATGATACGTATACGATCAGATGTAACCCACATCCCAGCAAACATGTCATCAAAAAGCTCAAATATTTATGAGTATTGCAGACAACATTAATTCAGAATATTTATTAAATGTTTATAGAATACAAGCAGAATGTTTTGAATAGTACGAAAGCAAAGACAGTGTATTTTGATGAAATTTCTTATGCTACAGTACGAAATCGTTGAACTGTTCGATTGACAACGGTATTAAATTCTTTTTTATAAACTTTTGATGGTAATATATAGACAATGAATGTCATCATGGATGGTAAAAATGATATAAAATAAGCAATAAGAAATAACCAAGAATTATTTGGTGATTTCATACATCCACTTGTAAACGAAAGGAATAAGCGTATTAATGCTATGAATATGAATACACATGATGCAATTAGATGCGATTTTTGTTGTTTTAATTGTGATCGTAGATGATCTATGAATGGTAATCTTGTTTGTAGATTTGAACGAGAACGAGCAATTGAAATAATAATAAAGATTATACACAATAAATTGATTAAAAAAGGCATTAGAAAATGAACAAACGTAATAAATGAATTCCATGTACTAATTGAAGAAGAAGAATATTGTACTAAACACCATATACGTTTTTCATCTACATCAATATCATCGATTAATTGACGATGAATTGGATCATGAAGATGTGTTAGAATTGTAACAGTTAGAATAGCTAATATAACCCATTTCGACATTTGTTTACTCTTATTTTTGTTGAATCGAACACCTTTGCTAACATTCATAGCTCGTTCAATAGAAACACATGTATCAAGCCAATCATTAAAAGCTATAAGAACTTTAATAATCATATCTAATAATATGCAATTAACGTTGATAAATGATCGATTAGTAAGAATTACCATTTGCGATAACAATAATTGCCAAAATTTAATGATTAACATAATTATTAAACATATCGATATCCAAGATGATACTAACAGATAATAACCACAACCTACATCTCTTGTTTTCTTCATATGAAATGTTAATACCGATAAAATTCCATTAATTAATCCTAAAATAAACATAATTGTTGTTATACCTATACTAATTTTAATAATCATTGGTTGTTGAGAAAACGAAAGACTGGGTTTAATATGATAACTAAGAATGTAATCAAGTGATAAAGCAAAACCTTCTGTAGTAAACTGACATCTTAGACCATAATAGCAATCAGAACATATGCACAATGATTCAACAGGACATTTAGGATTATCTTGGAAACACTGAGCATTATTTTCACAATAGTTATGACCTTGACAATCATAAGTCAACGAATGATTAAAGATAAAACAATTTGAAAATCGATCAAAATCACATATACACATATATGTTTCATCGTAAAAACACATTAATTGTTTATATTGTCGACATAACAGTGGATAATATTTAATACGATGAAGATAAGAATAAGATTTTAAAGTAGAATTCATTAATTCATCTATTGAAACACATTGTTGATTTGATGATAATTTCATTTGAATATGATTTAATTTTTGAATAGTTTCTTGTTTAATAATTAAATAATAATCGCTTTTTAAAAGTTCAATAAAAAGAATATGAAATTGTTGTTTTACGTGAATTTGTATTGTATTTTCTCCATATTTAATCTTTTTTATTTCTGTTATATGTTGATGTTCTGAATGATCAAATGCTTTAATAAAATGAATAAATACAATTGAAACTTGTTGAATCATATCTTCATTTAATTCAATATAAATTCCATCTTCAATTTGATTTTCACATCTTTTTCCATAGAAATTTTCTTTACATAAACACGTAAAATCATTAATGTTAATACGATCATCGACTGGTATACATAATCCATTATTTTCGCATGAATTATTTAATGATTGACAAACTGAACGTGTTAAGGAACAGTTTCGACCAAATTTCTTCATTGAACATAGACAAATAGATGAAGTAAGACAAAATGAATCTGATGAACAAGAACAAGAATGTTGAATATTACAATGACGACCCGAATAACCTTGATCACATTGACAAAAATACGAAGAATTTTTATTAATATATTTCATACATCGACCATGTTTTCCACAAGATAAACTGCATGATGATTCGAATTGTTGTTGTGTATTAGTTGGAATAAATAATTGTGCAGCAATTCGATTAACAGGTAAAAACTGAAAAGGAATTGATAGATGCCAACTTGCCCAATATGTTAATGTAATTTTATTAAAAATATCAATACGTATTGAATAATTACTGGAAAGATTTTTCGGTCGATGAGGATAAAGTAAATATATATTAAATTTCTTTTGACAATCACGTTTAGGTACGTATGTAATTTGTTCATGATATGGATAAATTGTTTTTTGATCATCGATAAGCATGATTACTAATTGAAAAGAATTTATATTATCTACGATTGTACGATATATCAATTGAAGTGTTAAACTAATACGTTGATTTTGTAAATGACATCGATGACCAAAATATGATGGCGGACAAAGACATTTTTTTGTATGGCTGTTTTTGAATAGAAGAGGAATTCCTCGATTACAATACCAATCTCGTTTAACATTTTGCATCGGAGTACTTATATTCACATCGACTTGAGGTGGTTGTGGAACCGAAGAATTAATAGAAGTGGATGGAAAATAGTTCAATCGAAATGTTTGGAGAAATTGTTTTGGTTCTCTTTTAAATTCAGTTAGACCTGTGAGTTTGCATAAGCCAAAATTAACTTGTAGAGAAGTGGGAATTTTAAACGCCGGAGGTATTTTGGTTTGTATAAAGCAATTATCATCATGAACTATTGATGAGATCAATTGACGATTGATTAGGTGTTCTGAAGTAATACATTTTGTTTCGTTCCATAAAAAGCTATTTGTTGAATTAATAGATGTTGTATTAGGAAAATAGACGCGACGATGGCCAACCTTGTCAGATATGAAAATTTGATCCATTAAATGGAGATATGGCACACAGAGAATGCGAATGTTATTATATATACATAGATGTTCGTTCAGTGAACATTTTGCATTTGGACAATTTAACTCATCGATACCATTTAAACAATGCCAAGCGTTATCACATCGAAAGTATGGATTATTACATGGCCACCATTCACAATTAGTCTCGTCTGTATGATTGAGTGTATCCATTAACAATAAATCAGTTTCTCCATCACAAAATATTGCGAAAGGTACAGTATTACTTCGAATATCTCGTCGATTTGCTGGCCATTCATCATCTCCATATTCGCAATCCTTTATTCCATTTTCAATAGCAACTAGCGATAAACATTTTTCCGGATTAGAAGTACATATAAAGCGTTTCGAATCATTTAACTGACAAGCAGGAAATAATTCATCTTCTTTAAAATAACAATCATTATAACCATCAACTAATCGATGTTTTGAAATGCATTTTAATGAACGTGAACAATGAAATAAGGATGAGTGTGAACATGCTTTATCTGTACCAATTGTTAAACAACGTTGACCGAGATCCATTAAAATCTCGTCTAACTGAAACCAAACCAATAATGTTATATTTATTAGGTGATTCATTTTACAGCATGTGAGTCCGTTATGTATACCAATATCTATCGAACAATATACTAATGCAGGACAACGACTTGCGTTAAAACAGATAAAATCAGGCGTGATATTATACTTAAATACATCGACTGATCGATTTGTTAAATAAACAAATTGAAACAAGCCATATATAAGTGGAGATTTGGGTAATACAAGCCATTCCGATTGACAATGATTACCAAGAAATTCGCAAGGAATATGGCTTGTGTCTTCATATCCGAAATCAAGAATAGTATAAAAACGAAGTGAACAGTAGATTGCTTGTCTACAGGACACGTCTGAAATATGATCTAACGAAGACAAATCATTAAAAAACATATGATAATATCGATTATAAGCGCAGATTTGAGTGTTTTCTGTTGTAGACTCTGTCCAAACCGAAGCACTGGTAAAACCATAAATACGACATGGAAATAACACAATAGGACGTCGATCATTGAGCTCCTCACACTGAAATGTTGATATAAGTGTGCATAGATAGTCAGTTACGTATCTGGAGTATTTTATCGGATAGACTTCATCTGAACCATCAAGACAATCAGTACTTGCTTTTCCATCACGAAGAAATGCGGACGAAATACACTGACCACCGAAGTGACAACGAAACTCATCTTCAAAGCATTCATTTACTTCTAATGTGTCACATAATTGCTCATCTTCTCCATTGAGACAATCAAAATATCCATCACAAATTTCATGCCAATCAAGACACATCGATGATGGACCACGGTAACAGTCAGGTAAAAATGGATAACATGTATTCGAATAGACGTATATCTGAGGTATACCATTAGTACCATAATGGAATTGAAGAACTTCATTAAATGAAGGTAATATAGCAGATTCAAATCTATACTGACACGTTGAACCAAACCATGGTAAGGAACAGTTATAAAATATTTCATTCGAATTTTGACCGTTTTTTTCATATCGTTCGACAATATCAATTGGTACTGACCATGCGAGTAATTGTGTACTTGTTATACCTTGTCGATACAATTCAGTAAACGTCATATTATTTAAAATATTTTCATACGATATGGTAGCGAAATTTTCTTCCTGTTCAGTTCCATCAAGTCGTCGACAATAAGGAATCAAACTGTAATCATCAGTAGATACTAACGTTGTATCTGCTGATAGATCTCCTGAATAGGCATATAAACAATCAAATGTTGCATTAGCTTCATATCGATCATCAGAATAGTATACAAAATAATGACCATCAAGAATAATAAATGATGTAAGCAACACTAGTAATGATACAAACTCCATTCTCCGCCGAGTGAAGTAAAATACGTTTTCTTTTTAAACTTTATGTCGTATTAATCTAGAGATAAAAATATTGCTTTATCTTTTTTTTTCTGAGCATATAATGAACACGTTTCTAACATTCTAGAAGTTCTTCGAGCAACAACAGAAATAACATCAAAGAAAGTAAAGACTTAACATATGTTAAGGAATTTATTAGAATAAAGAAAAGAGATCTTCTTAGTAATTTAGAAAACAATTTCATCTATATTTTGTTTTATTTTTATTTCTGACGTAATTAATAGAATTTTATTATGTATTGTTTGTCACAAAATAATAAAGTAAAAAAGAAACGGGTATTTACTTTTCTTTTTTACTTTGTCGAAAAAAATTTGATAAAAGTAACTTCCTTGCTATTGATGAAAAGTTTCATGTTCTACGGACTTCTAATGCGTCATTAAGATCCAAAAAGAATTTAGGATGGAGTAACAATAAAAACACAAGGATCAGAGTGAGAATGTAGAGAATCAAAATAATGGTCGATAAGGGCCCACTTACAATCCTAAGCTGTGATAAGCGTCAGTCAATGCTTGATGACTGAATAAATATACTTTTTTTTAATTTCCAAAGATATTTCGAAGTAGTCTTGCGAATGTGGATGAGATTGAACGCTAAAAGAAGACGCCAACACTCTCAGTATATCGCAATGATTTTTCCTAGTCTTTATTTGATGGCTCTATATATTTTTTTCGAAGCTTTATATTTTCTTCTCATAACACAGCATATCAAACTAAAAAATGAAGTATTACGAAGAGATCCTTCTATTTGTTGCTATGCGTAAATTCTTACCTTTTCTTATAAAATTGAATAAAAACAAGTTTTTCTTTTTTATTCAATTCTTGGAATAACTTATTAAAGTAAGAGAAATACCTGACTGAAAACTAAAGATAATGAAAACAACAAGTTTTTTTTCTATTCGCCTACATAATGACGTCAAACTAAAATACTTTTCTGTTGAATTAATTGATAAATAAAAACAATAAATTTATTTCCTTTTTGTAAAAATAATCTGTGAACAAATTTATGCCAAATGTCATTTATTAACAGATATTAATATAATAAATGTTCATGATATTTCAATGTTGAAGGAAGGATGTGAAAACAAACTGGTTCAGAATAAATTTAATGTTACCCTAAATAAAAAAACAACATTGAAAATCATGACTAGAAGAAGGAAATGCAAAGTTTCCTGAAAAAGACAAAATAGAATTTATCTGTACAAAATATTTTGTATTTAATTGGAAAAGATAAAATACACCGGCATTGTCTCTTATTAGAAATATATTCTATAACTGATCGTATTCTTATTTCACGAACATGATAAAGGATGTTTTCAATATATATATATATATTTGAAGAATAACATCTCAAATATCAATTAAAAATAATTTTATTTTAATTTACATCAACAGTAAAAGAATATTAGATCAATTAAAATTTTGTCAAAGTTTCTGACATTTTTACTTGAGTTTTATGTTAAACAATATCCTGTATAGATCTCTACAAAATTCAATAAAAAGTGATTCTTCAATAGGATCGATTAGAAATCTTTTTATTCCGGAGAAGATATATAATTAGTTTTGTAAAAGAAAATTATCTGTAAGAATCGATTTTTTTTGGAGTATAATATTATTGATCAGATACAGTTTTCTAGTTATGTTTTTGGGAAGTTGTTTTACATTGAATTTTGTAAAGAATTGCATAGACTATGGTTTTTATTAAAAAAAAAGATCAAGTTAAAGTGTCAAAAGCTAAGAGAGATGTTCATAAAATACAGAGGAAATCATTCTTTATAGAAAAGAACTAACAAATGGTTTCCTTAATGTAATACTGGCGTAGATGTGGGTGTGGATAAAGCGACAACACCCACACCCCTTTTAGGCTTTTTCTAGTCTCATTAAAGTCTACCTATGCCCAAAATATCAGCGTTAATCACTACTTCACATTGAAAACACACGGAAGACTCAAGAATTATTTGTAAGAATGCTCTAAACAGAATTTAAATCAATTAATTTTTTTTATAGAAGAATCAAAAAATCTTTGTTTGTCTCAACATTATTAAATGATTATCCTTGTTTAATCCATTTTTCATTAAATCTAACATATTTAATTGTTTGTCTCTTATATGAGTATGCCAAATGAATATCATTATCATCAGTTCCACTCCAAAAACTTTGTAATACTGATGGATATGAATATTCTCCAATAGATGTACTATTATCATCGTCATGAATTTGAACATCTCTAAGGTATGGCCATGTCATTCCATTATCATAAGAAAGTGCAACTGTTAATGGTGTTCTTGGTTTGTGTAAACCATTACGATTATTGAATGCCATTATTATCGCTCCACTTTTTAATGTATGTGCTTCGATTCCAGCATTATTATTAGGTAAAGATGTTGCTTTTGGTGTTGTCCAAGTTAATCCATCATCATTACTATCAAGATAATAGATCCATTCACCGTGTTCGTCACGAAGGAATGTTCGTAATCGTGCAGAATTATTTAAACGAATGACTGTTGGTTGAATAAGATTATCAGTATCTTTCATTTCAATACGTGTCAAATTAGATGTTGATGATGATAATCGAAGGATAAATGGATAGTCAATATCCGGTGAAGAGTTATAACATGGAAAAATGAATCCTAACTTATTTAATGTAGGAATAATTCGATTACGAGCAAACGCACCTGGTACGGTATAGAAAGGTGTAGCAATTGACCATGTTACACCTAACAAACCAAAAAAAAAACAAAGATTTTTTCAGACAAATATATTCGTAGAATGATGTTTACCTCGATCTTTACTTTGTGTATGCCATATTTGTGAAGTTGCTTCACCTTTACCATTCAATTGTGATGAATGGTATAAGTGTAATATCTGCGTGTCATTATCCCAGAAAAGAACTGGATTTAGATTAGTATAATTAACACGATCAGTAATAATAACACCTGGAGTAAACTGTTGTGATCCATATTCTAAAAGTGATACTGCAATTGAGCAATTAGGTGATGCTTCACCATCAGTAAACCAGGCAATAGCTAAAGTACCACTTGGTGTTAGTTGTTCAATAGATGCTGCATGATTGAACGTCGGTGTAGGTGGAGATAGAAACGCATAAGAACTTCCATCAGTTGAACGATGAATAATTCCATCATATGGAATTACTGCAGTTAATTTAGTTAGTTGGATGGAGAATAATAGTATTGTTAAGAGCATTCCTTTTCTTTGTTTTTTAATCATACTGATTTTACCAAAAATAAATATAAAACAAAATGAGTAGCCGTATCAGAGTCTCATAAGTTTCACATAATGGGGGACATAAAAGTAAAGAAAATGTTCGACCTTCTTTGTTTTTCTCCTGATATGTCTTCACTAAAATAAGATGTGTAATCTAGGAAAGAGATATTATTCGGTTCATGGGGTTACTAGCTCTTTGAAACTTCTCTTATATATATACAATCAGTATTAGGACAATTTTTTGCATGAATAATTCGACGCAAAACAAAATATCTCTACATCATGAACGAGTTTTGTAGAAAGAAATAGTGAAAATTGAATAGAAAAAAGATTCTCATATTTAGAAAGCGCGAGGAATTAACGGGACTTATTTTTTCCAGACTAATTATTTATTGATTGGAACTTTATCTCAACATGTGTAGGAATTTTTCAATAAATCCCGAAAAAATAAGTCCTAGCAATGGCTGATTATATATTGTGATATTTTGTTCGTGTCGATTAATTGTGCGGCAAAAATTTTAACCACCGTATCTTCTTAACTATCTTCTGGATCCCTATGTTGTAATTTTATTTCGTTTCAAGCATAAGAAGAAGAGTCTTTCATTAAAAGAGTAAAACTGACTTTCATCAAACATACCTGTGAAGAATAAATTAAGAGTGAAAACAAATATGCGAGGTATCTTTAGAATATAGATAAAATTTTATCATACATTCTCAAAGGTGTAGGGATGATAGTGAGTGAAGCAACCATAATGTTAATATTTCACCTGTGCAACCAGGATTTATTAAATGGTCTTGTTTCAATTCGAAGAATCAAAACAGAGATTATATTGGAGTGTCAGATTTTCTTGAAAGTGTGAATTGAAAATAAAGATAATCACACTTACATGTGCACCCTCAAATGTAAATCCTTTGGAAAGATTGCTTATAAGAGAAGTTTTTATTTGTATATGATTCTTTTCACAGCGCAATTATTATCAACGTGCATGAATGAGTCAAAGGTATCCAAAATCATATTTCAGCAATATTATCACTGAAATATATCATGGATTTCTCAGTTGCAATTGGCACAACGTTTGTTTATTATTTAACCCTTAGAGTACCGGCCTATTTTACGCACTATATTGACAATATATATTTTCAAGAACTATTTTTTTGTATTTTCGAGTACTCCTCTGATGAAATATGATATTTTGAGGGTGTAGGTGAGGGTGGGTGGGTAGGTGCATGTATAGAGATAGTAAGACACTCACACCCACACCCATCCTTAATATATATGAAAACTTTTACGTGCTTTCCTTTCTCTTATATATTTGATGGATATTGAAAACATGGTCTCGTATCGAGGAGTTGAATTGGTATGGAATGTAAATATGTTACCATTTATATGAAACTATATAAATCTACTCTTAAATAGTACTAGTTGCTTCCAAAATATGAGAAAAAAAATATTCTCAACGTATTTTGAAAGTTTTCAGGTTTGGGGTCAAAAATGACCCCGACTGGTACTCCAAGGGTTAAATGAAATAATACACAATACAAAAGCAGACACAGAATATGCTTGTCTTTATTTGTGATTATTATGCAAAAGTCCACCGAAAACCCGATGTTTTGTTGCGTATAAGATCAGGTAGAGCATTTCGCATCGCTTGATCGAGTATTTCACTAGACCATGGTTGGACACCCTGACGTAATTGACAAAAATACTTCGTGTTGAGCATATGACCAACGAGAGGTTTTATTTCGAATCCGTGTTGTATAAGAACTGCGAGGACAGGTAACACGTAGATAGAATCTATGTGATATCCTGAAGTTTCGACTTCACAGAGTGTTACTGAATAATTCTTAATAGGAGGTAAAACATTTCCACCAACATTATTTACTGCAGCAGCGTTTCCCATAAAAAAAATTCTTGCACTGTTCTGCGTTTGAGTGATAATGAACAATGAATACTGAAGTTGATGAAGTAAAAGTATTTGCTTTCAACAAAAAAAAAGTAATACTACTATACACGTTAAAAGTCTCGTTCGACTTCTTTATCTTGGCTTTTGTTTGAAAAATATACGGTATAAAGTTGATTTTCTTTTTTTATTTGCTTTAATTTTTCACATAAAAGACACGTTTCTCATATTTTCTAGACTCTGACTATTTTCTAACAACGGAGATGTCTGTGTTGGTAATTGCCAAATAAGACATATTTAAGACAAATGAAAGCTCTTACCATCAAACTAACAAGGTTACATTTAAATAATTGAAGAGAATTTTAAACAATAATGGTTTTGATTTACTTTTTGATTGAAAACTTCTGCGAGTAAAAAGAATCAGAACTCTCCCCCATGACTAATATCAAACACTTTGACTTGCTTGATTCCGATCTAATCATTGCCTGTAATTACTTATTTACCAAAATATTCGCAGATTTTTCTTATTATTTATTTCGTATTTCGACGAGAAATACATTTCGAAATGTTTTATTTTATTAAAATACGTTTCATATTGATTGTACTGTAAAATTTCCAAGTAAAAATATTGATTGACTCATATATAACGCCATAAAAAGTAGCAGAATGTATCGTTATTGTGAAATTACATTGCAATCGAATAAAATTATATGCTTCTTTGCTTTTACATCAGAATATATATATGATTGCATCATCTTAAAAACAACTATAAGTTTCTACAGCTTATTCTTTTTTTCAAAGAGTAAAATTATTTAGAATGTCAATCGACGAGCCGATATCGTCCAATGATTTAGAAACATGTATTACAGTTCTTGGAAAATTTAACTCTCAAAAATCATATTCATTACTTGAATCAAACGAATTTAATGAACTTCGACCATTAGTTCATAGTTTATTTCATATCGAAAAACGAATAAAAAGGAAACGATTACAAGATGAACGTCTTCAATTGAAATTACAAGATCAAAAAGCAAAAAACTCATGTTTACTTCGTTCTGGTCGAGCAGAAAAACTTCAACAATTACAATTACAACATATTCTCGTACCTGATGGAACTGTACAAATTCAATCAATAACATCAACAAATATTGCTCAACGACTTCTTAAATCTTTACCATGTTATATATGTAAACTTAAATATCGTACATTACATTTTTTCTATGATCGTCTATGTCCATCCTGTGCAAAATTTAATTATGAAAAACGTATACAAACAACCGATTTATCAAATTGTGTAGCTTTAGTTACTGGTGGTCGAGTTAAAATTGGTTATCGAATTGTTCTAAAATTATTACATGCAAATTGTTTTGTTATAGCAACAAGTCGATTTCCAATGGATCTTTTAAATCGTTTGAAAAATGAACATGATTTTAACGAATGGAAAGATCGTATGCATGTTTATGCTGTTGATTTTCGTTATTCACAATTAATTGAACAATTTACACAAATGATCATTGAAAAATATGATAGATTAGATTTTTTAATTAATAATGCTTGTCAAACTATTCAACGACCAAAAGAATTTTATCAACATTTATTTAGTAACGAAAGATTAACTAATTATTCACTTCTGTCAAATGATCAACTACAAATTCTTGATGGAAATTTGCAATTCTACACACAATTAGTTCCATCTTCGAATAAACTTCTTCATCATACATCTTCCTCGACAAATGATTCAACATCTTCTTCAATTATTAGTACGATTTCGTTTGATGTTAATCATCAACCAATTGATTTTCGTTCAAACAATTCATGGATGTTACGACTTGATCAATTATCAACAATGGAAATGAATGAAGTATTTGCTATAAATACATTAGCACCATTTATTCTCAATAGTAAATTAAAAATTCTCATGACAGATAAACATCCCGATCGTGAAAGTAAAAAATTTATTATTAATGTATCAGCTATGGAAGGTTCATTTTCTCGTAAAAATAAAACTGATCGACATCCGCATACAAATGCAGCTAAAGCAGCATTAAATATGATGACACGAACATCAGCAAATGATTATCAAAAATCAAATATATATATGATTTCTGTTGATACAGGTATATCTTAATTATTTTAAAAAATTATATATTAATCTTTTTTTATTTTTATAGGTTGGATTAATGATGAAAAACCATTACATAAAGCATATGAATGTATGACTAATTATGATTTCCAAACACCACTTGATGAAGAAGATGCAGCTGCACGTGTTCTCGATCCAATTATTGATACTTATCGTCAGTTAGCTGAAGGCAAAACAAATATTAATATTCCATATGGATGTTTTCTAAAAGATTATCATCCATGTGATTGGTAATAAAATGGGTGGATGTAGGTGTCGGTATGGAAGCGAAGAAGTTGACACCCACACTCTCAATGCAATTACTTAAAATATAGATTTTTGTTGTATATTTAATGAATAAACTTTGTTAATACATGACTTGTACTAAAAAAATTGTAAGAGTGTTTTGTGTCATTTCACACCTGATGCATTTAAATAATTTGATTTTATCATTATTAAAGAAATAGAAATCCTCACTGTATATTTTGAGCAATCCATACTACTACAAAAAAAAGGAAACTCGATTATAAGCAATATAAAGTAAATGAGATCACAGTTGTTATAACTACTTTAACAATAAACATTCTCGGAAGAAAATGAAAATGGACATATAAGATAAAAATACTGTTATTATATCTGTACATAAAAAAAAAGGAAAATTTTTATTGTCCACTCCATGCCATAATCACTTTATTAAATCCAACAAATACTCCTTTATTTGGTTTACTAAATAATAATAAGAAGAATAATAATTTATTCTCATAATGAAATTTTAGTATTTACCATTGAAATATTCGTTGATCTTGAAATATTCCATCATGTTTACTTTCTATATAAAACTATTATTTTTATTATTCTAGGAAATATATATGTTTACCTTCATCATCATCTAATTCTAATCCAAGATATTGATCTTTTTTATCAGGTAATGGTCCAATATATTTAACAGTACCTTTACTTACTTTACTACCTGGTCGAGAAAATTTAATTATATCATTTACATGAATATCATTAATAGATAATGGAGCATATGGACGTCTTGGACTATATATAAAAGAAATTATTTATATTGGTTTAATTATTTATTTTACCTTATCGTTGGAATATTTCCTCGACTTTGACGGCGATCTATAGGATATAAAAAAATCAAAAAAAATCATCATTAAATAAACGTATACCATCATGTGAATTATTTGATGGTCGTCGTGAACCATGTCGAGAATCATTTGATGTTGCAGTACGATTATTCGAATATTCTGATTGAAAAACACGTGATGATGATAAAGATATTGATTTTGTATTATCTTTTGTTGGATAATGTTCATCATAATTTTTAATATCTAATAAAATATAATATTCAATAAAATTCTAATAATAGAAATATAATTCAAGCAAGAAAAAGAATGAGTGATGCAATATTTAACCAAATACGTGTAATGTTTATATACTGAAATAACAGATATCTATTTTTGATTACCAATATATGAAATTCAGATGTATTTTTTTATAGGCAATGAATTTGTTAGTTGTTTAAGCATAGAATAATAATACCTTCATTGTTGCGAATATTTTGTTCGTTCCATTCAGTCATATGTTTTGTTTTTGATGAACGAAAATTCAATGGTTGATCGAAAGATTTCGATGAAGGAATTGAATTAATATTTCGATTAATTTCTTCTTGTGCTGTTGATGAATTATATCTTGTTGTACGATGATGATTATTTCCATCGATTGTTGCTGAACGATACGTGGATGTTGTAGGTCGAGTTGTATATGGATCAGCAGCATTAACAGTTGTCAAATAATTTGTTGAATCACTTCCTTCCGATAAATACGGACTTTCATCTCGCGCAACTAGAAAAAAAACATTTATCATAGTATAAGGTCGTTATATTAAACTTCCGAAATAGTATAGCATGATTGTTTTCAAAGCCCATCGGTTAGAAAAATTCTAAATTCAATAAACTTCAGTTTACAAAAGCTGCTTTTAACTTCATTAATACAGGGTCATCGTCAAGGTAATCAGTCATTGTTACCAGTAAAAAAAGACGAGACTTTCATATTGAAATCGAAACGTTTTTATTTCGGATAGGTTCTATATACTTCATTGTTCGTAATTATATTATTTTAAAGTTCGACTTACGTTTAATATGTTTTAAATCTGAATGAGATGTTTTTAATGATGGTATTGATTGTTGTTCATGAAGAGTTGAACGCCAAATAATATTCTGTTGTTCTTGTTGTAAACGAAAATTTTCTTGAAATAATTCATTATTTCGTTCTTTAAGTACTCTAAAGAATGAAAGTAAGAAGGCTTGTTTTTATATAATAAAATAAATAACAAATTTTTTTTATTGAATATTACTTTAAATTATTTCTGAGTGAATGAAATTCTTGGTAAAATAATTCATCGTTACGTTTTTTAACCTCAGTAACCTAATGGGGGAAAAAAAATAATATGTAAATAAATTTCTGTTTGCCAAATACTTTTTTTTGTAATTCTTCATTTTCTCGTTTCATTTGTTGAAGAATTCGTTCAGTTTGATGCGCATTTTGTTTTAATTTATCATTTTCATTGACTAATATACGCATTTGTTTTTCATAAGATTCTATGAAATAAAGGAAAGTTTTTTTTGAAACCAAAGAACTAAAATACAAACTTAATTTATTTTCATATACTTCTTTTTGATGTATATGAATATCATCATTTCGATTTGAACGATTAATAATTAGATTTTGTGGTGGAATAGATAAATCATTTTTTTCACGACGATGATGTACTTCTGTTTCATTATTATTCTATGAAGAGAGAGAAGAAAAAAAAGAACTCAACAAAATCCGTTTTTTGTTGTTGTATAAGAATATGTCATACATTTGTATAACCGTTTGAATAAACAGATGGTCCTTTAGCTTTAAGTAATTTATTTTCAAGTTGTAATTCTTGAATTTCTTTATGTAAATGACCAATATCAAGTTCTTTTTCTTTCAATTCACGTTGTAATGATGTAACATCACTATCAAGTGTGAGTAACTACAAAAATGAGAATGAGAACTTTTTTTGTAAATCTTTCAAAAAATATTTTACAAGGTCATACAAGAATTTATTTCATATGAACAAAAAATCAATAGATATTTGAATGTGAAAAATTTAGGATATGATGGGTATATGAGTTAACATTATGAAGGAATACATATGCTACAAAGTTTTCTCATGTTTCTTATATGAAAAGAATAACACACAATCTCAGAATACATTTGCTTTCCATAAACTACTAACTATTATTTATCTTTGTCTTCGTCTAAACTATTTATAAAATAAATATTTATTATTTTTTTAAAGTATTTACCTCATTGTTTTTACTTTCCTCATCAGTTTTGACTGCTGTTGTTGTTGTTGTTGCTGCTGTTGTTGTTGCCGAGAATGTTGTTGCTCCTCTACTCAACGAATGAATCTGTGATTCTGAATTATCCGATAGTGAAAGATCATCATTATTTGCTGTTAATAATTTTCCATCGTATAAATTTTTTATAATTCGATCAATTTCTTTTCGTCGTTCATCATTACTTATCAACAGTGATGATGGAATAATACGAGATGATGATTTTATTTGAGAACGATCACGTTGATCATTCTTTATTGTTTTTATTGAACTATCGGTTTGTTCAAATTTCGGTTTATTAAATACTAATGGATAACTTGGATAATTTCGATTTTGCGTTATTTTTGCACTATCAATAAAAAATGAAGATGCCGCAGGATTATTTAATGTTGATGATAGTATTGGCGGTTCAATCATATCATCAATTAAATCATCACGTAATAATCGTCTATCGTGTTTATTCGACATGGAATATGATCTAGAAAAAAATAAGTATTATCAAAGAAAAAAAAAGAAAAATGCGAACTACTCGTCTGAATCAATCCATAAAAATTATTCAAACGTACAGTGTCAAAATTTTGTTTAAATTTAAGACTTTTTTTGCTACGCCTTTTCATCAATCAGAAAAGAAATGTAACTACGGGCAAAAGCTATTCAAATAATTTTGTTCGTTTCAAATCTGTGAATAGACGAACAAGTGTAAACGAAGCTTTATAGTTTGAAAGAATCCAAATGTATGTGTTTTATGTATACTATTACTAATAAATCTATAAAAGTGTTTTATCAAACAAAAAATTTCTCTAACAAGATATTGTCCCTATTGAAGAATTTCCTATTTGTACCTGAATGATTTATATAGACTTGTCAATGTTCTTATAGTAATGTATGACAGAATTTCATTGACATGAATCAGAACAAGTTGTGACACTTCTTTCCTTTTCTTTTCTTTTCTTTACAAACTTTTACCGTCAATCACATATACACCCATTTCTTATAAATTCCCTTTGGTTTCTTCGGTGACACTTGGAATAAGATAATTGTTGATAGGTAGATGACGTTAGTTATCATAATCTTTTATTGATGTAGAATACTAGTTACTATTTATAACAGCAAAAAAAAAGTCTCTTGAATATTTTCCTTTCCTTAACGGAAACGCATTAATATCCCGTCATCATCATTATTTATTTGTTTATTTTCTTGCTGAATTAATATTCATAGAAAATTTTATTTTCTTTCAAGACTTTTGTCAATTAATAAATATAATACAAAAGAAGAAGAAGAAGAAAAAAATATTTAATTATAATTCAGTTGACAGATTATTATAAAAAAAAATTTCGTAATTTATTTAAATTCATCAATAATCATAAGTTAAAATATTTATTATTAAATTATTTCTCTGTTTATAAATATAAACGCGATTGCCAGATACCATATGGCTTTTATTCTCTTTTTTGTCCGGAGTATTAAACTCTTCTTCTCGTATTTTCTCTCATTGTAAGGAAAGAAAAAAAGAACACGTGTCAGTACACTATGTGACCTCTCTACTACAATGAGTATAAATTACTAAAGTCTATCATATATAGAGATATATCGCAACAAAAACATATTTATCATTAGTAGCACATAACATACATCATACAAAATTTTGACTTTATTTGATAATATCAGAGTTTAGATTCTTATCTCATATAACTGATATGATTATTTTTTAGATTATAAATTTAATTCAAATTAGCAATGAGAACTATTATAGGATTTTTTTTTGTTTTTATAACATTCTTCATGTGTAGAATTCTACTCAAATTTGTAAAAATATTAAAATCGAGACCTCAAAAGCTTAAGATTGCTAATTGAAGTAGTTTGTTTGTTGTCTATAAATATGCTGTATCGATTAAACAAGATTATATGATGCTATATAGTCTATTTATGTTTTTGTATATAATGCAGACCAAACAAAGAAAAAATGCGTAATAAACGATAGCAACGAAAAAAAACTGAATAAAGACGACAATGACAAAAATCTATAGCCTAGACAAACTTTTTTTTTTAAAAAAAAAATTACACGAGCAAAAAGAAAAAAAAAAGATACAATGAGCTCTTTCATATATACATTATAGATAATACCGAGATAGGAAAAAAAAGAAAAAAAAAACAAGGTGACTAGACACACCGAGAGAATGTATACCAAATGATACTTATACTCTATGAAAAAAGTATAATAAAGTTTTTCATTTAACAAGTTTACATCCAAGTTGTTGTGCAGCTAAAGCAACACAAACACCATCTCGACATGATTCACATCCATGATGTTGTCCTTTAGGATTTCCAAAACGACGATAATGATTTGATTTAATTGGTGTTACTAAATCTGGATAAAATTGTTGTTGAACATTAACAAATACATTTTTAATTACACGACAAACTTCTTCGGGATACCACAATGGTGTTGATAAACTTCCACATTGATCACAATTTTGTGTAAATAATTTGAAGTAAAGTATATGAGACTTGCAATCATAAAAAAATGATATTTGACCTCGCATGGATGTCCAACAATGTGCACATGAATCACATTCAAAACGTACTTTAGCTATTTCAACATCACATAAAGCATCAGTTGATAATTTACATGAACCATCAGCTGTAATTGGTAATAATGTCCAATGATCTGATGTAAAATAACGTCCGAATGTTAATTGAAATTCAGCATGAAATACTAAACACATATCGGAACAAAATTCTTTTTTACTATCATCATTTAACGCTGATGCTAATTCATAATCATTGTCTGTTAATGTTTGAATTGGTGATGCACGTGCTGATGTTGTAGTTGTTTCAGAATAACCTGATTCATCGTCTGTTATACTTGATCGATGTTTATATGATAAATCATCTTTTAATGGTAAATCTTCAACTTGTATACCATCATCAGCTGCTATTTTCGATGCAAAATGTTCAACTGTACCATATTCAGTTGGTAATATATCAGCTTCACGAACCATTTTTGTAAAATATTAAGAATATGTTATAAGAAAATTAAATCGTACTTGTTGGCCTTTCTGTTGTATGTGTATGTGTGTGCGGCGCGTAGCTATTTCTTTCTTGTGCATTTTTTTCATTGCTTTGCATATATATATAGATCGAGCGAGCCCCTCGTTTCTTTCCTTTCCTTTCTCGACGTTTTTTTTTCTTGCCTTTCTGTTCATGACTCATGTAACATCTCGTGTCGGATTCAACGTGATCATTATTCTATCTTATTCTAGGGCCACCGAGAATAACACATCATTGTCTTTTTTTCTTTCCTTCATAAATTCTGAGAGAGAGAAAGAAAAAAATATATATAAAGCTAAAGGTCGCTGATTCGTCCGATCGGAACATGTGTATGGCTGGTTTAGCTGTCTTCTTTACTCGATAACCTCAGACACTATTTTTTTTTGTAACATTCTAGAATTCATATAGATATTTTTTTTGCGCTCACATTGTCTATACTAGTCAGTAGAAATTTGAGAGAACGTCCGATTTTCTGTTTATTGACTGTAGAATATTCGTTACGTAAGCGATAGGTAAACAGTAGAAAGAATAAGATAAGCTTTATTTTTATACGATTATTATTCACTTTCTTTCGTTCTTTTCATTTTCTATGGGCGGTATATATCATGATCATTATTTGATTATAATACTATTAACAATAACCATAGCAAAATCATCTTTCGATATAAAATATATACTATTTGTCATGTAGTTAAAAATAAACGAAAGTAAATGTATTGTATAATTGATCGTGCATAGAACGAAAGAAAAAAAGAAAGTACTCAATAATTATCGACAGACTCTGGAGATGTTATTGATATAAACCAATCATACAATAAACTCTATAGAAGTGAAAAGAACATTTGTATGAAACAAAATCAAATAGGGATTCTTCAAGGATTTCTTCGAGAAAAAAAAATAATATTTGTTGTAATTAATATAATTTTGCGTAAATCGTAGTATGAATAATCATTCAAATAAATATATGAGTAGAATCATTAAGTAGTTTTTATATTGATTGATTAATTATTTTTGATATTTACTGAAATCTACTATCAGATGACTTATCATTATTAAAATTTATTTAAACAGAATATTTATTGTATGTCTATTATGATAATTTGTTTTCAAAAAGATTATAATAGAAAAATCCCATCGGAATATCGATGAACAGAAAAAATGAAAATAATCAGTCTTCTCTTTCTTCTGGGATTGCTATGTGTATAGAAGAAAAATTCGATGATGAAATTTGAATATTAAATAAGGACTTTTTTTTTCTATTGATTAGTGATGGAAAAGTACTGAGACTACTTGATAAAAAATGCTAAATGCGTACACTAGTATATCTATATTAACTAAAACATGAATAGATATAATGAGGAGAAACGATTAATTCTTCCAGTTTACGTGTATTTTTCTTGAAATATGTTTTATCGTCATAATTTTAAATTCCAATAATTTCTATTCGTTACTCTATATTACAAAATGGCGAAAAATGAATCGGAATATCACAATAATAATTACAGTCTCTTTACTTTCTAAGAGGTATCGTATATATTCATTCAAATCAAATATATAATTTATTTCGATTAGATATAAAGTATACCTGACCTTGACTTGAGTCTCAAAAAAATACGGTTTTATATATATATTATACAAGAATATTGCTATTTCACTTAAAGGCATAATCAAAAAACAGTAGTCTGGGGCTTAGCCTGCCCCTAGCGGGACTTGATATTCCTAACCCTCGTTAGATTACCCGCCTAATTCGACTTCTCGATAGATTTTCAACATATGAATCATCAATGAAATATTTTGTATTTGTTAAATAATGCTGACTTTTCATCAATAAAAATAAACAAAAAAAAATCGAAAAAAATTTTCAATAATTTATCCTTTATAGTTTTGTAAAAATTTCTATTACTCTAATTTACACCAATCAAATTTTTTCTTACTCATCACATTATTTTTCCTAAGAAATAGATGTGTTACCATGTTACATTGCATAAATTAATTCTATTAATAGAATATATAGATATGATCAGTTAATTTCATTGGTAGAATTCAATAGTAATAACATTATTTTTTTCTTAACCATTCAATTGGAACACCAAATAATCAATAGATTCGATTTAAAAGTCTATATGATTACTATACAACATATACTAATTAGTATCGCGATGTCTATTCTAGAGAATACTGACAAAAATTTCTAAAATCGATAATTTTTTTCAGATCCATATTTACTTCTCAATTTCAAAAACAAAGGTAAATATGATGTTCGAGAATAATAATTAATTATATTAATTTATATTGAATATATATATATAAAGAAATTCATCTTTAGAAAAAATGCGAACTTTGTAAGTAGTTAAATATATATTTTTTGAAAAACTAACTATTTGTATACAAATAAAAATGAGGTTTTTTGTACTTATTTAGTTTTGTTCGTCATTATTTGCTAATACTTCTTTGTCATTGTTGTTTATCTATTGCTTGATTCCATTGCATTATTGCTAATAATTTCAATGAACAATCAACTCATATTCTAAAATTAACAAATACCAACAATTATTTATTTGATTAAAAATAACATCTTTATTTAGTATTGATTCACTACCAATGGCAGATATTAGCGAACTTTTTGCTTCAACTGTTCGAGTTTTCTCACAAGCTCTTATGATTGTAAGTTTTCGAATTCAATCTACGAAATACAAAAATTTCTTTCATTTTAGTTTGGTGGTGTTGTTCCATATATTCCTCAATATATGATAATAAATCGTTCTCAAAATGCTGAAGGTTTTTCCAATTATGTTTGTCTTACATTACTTATTGCAAATATTCTACGTATTGAATTTTGGTTTGGTAAACATTTTGAAACTCCACTACTTGTTCAATCAATAATCATGATTCTTTGTATGCTTGTTATGCTTGAACTTTGTATACGAGTTCATTCAAAAGCTATTCGTCATCATTTACCAATAAGTCAACAGAATTTATCAACTTCAAAAGAATTAACAATCGATCATAATGAAAAAAGATTTACAGATCTTGATACAGCTTATTTTTGGCGATGGACAACGTAAGTTATTGAAAAACAAATTAAAAAAAAACTAAAATTGATTTATTTAGATTTACAAGTTATATTCAATTTTTATGTTTATTTACTGTTCTATTAAGTAAACTGAGTTTTTTAAACAAGAATATATATTTTTATAAATATATTTAAGGTTCAACAACATGGTTGTTTCTTGATAAAATGGTATATATTGAAACAATTGGATTCTTAGCTGTATTTTTCGAAGCTTTATTAGGTACACCACAGTTTTTACGTAATTTTCGTTTAAAATCAACTGAAGGAATGAGTGTTAAAATGGTAAATTCATTGTGAAAACAAAGACTCACTTATATTTGATTTGCTTGTTTTTTTTCAAGGTTCTTATGTGGACATCAGGTGATATATTCAAAACTGTTTATTTTCTTCTTCGAAATGCGCCAAAACAATTTTGGCTTTGTGGATTATTACAAATTAGTATTGATATTGCAATACTTTGTCAAGTTCTTATTTATTCAGATAGATATAGATTACGTATACGTTAAATGAAAACATATTCTATTCATATTGGTGGTTTATCAGTCGTCTTATATAAATTTTCTTTTTTTTATTATATATGTGTATTTTATCGTTGGGAAAATGAAACAAACAAAGAGATTGTAGAAATAATATTGACTTTTTTTTTGCTTTGGGATTTTATTATAAATTCATATAATGAAATTAAGCAACAATTTGGTAATGGATATCAAGCGTTTTATAAAGAAGAGTTGGAAATTCTAAATATTTTCGCTGGTGTTCGAAGAATATGAGATTCTTTACGTCCTATTGATATTGGTGAGCATGAAATCTTTCTTGCTATTCTAATGATCAGTTTATAACAATTAACTAGTTTTTCTCATTAGAATTTGAACTAAAGATAATGTAGTATGAAAGTGAAGCATCTTCTAGAGTTTGCTTATTTTACAAGATAACCTTTTGAAACTAATCATTTACAAAAGAACATTTAATGGTATATATCTTTGAAGTTTATTCCTATAATTATTTTCTTTAACAATAAAATATAACTTTGGTCTTTTGTTTTGAATTTTATTTTATAATAACGAATGTTCTAACCAATAACAAATAACTTTAAAAGAAATAAAATATGCACATATTTAATATAGAAGTGTGCATAGATTTATCAATTTCTTATCTTTCTTTTTTTGTTCTTTTGTTTAACTGTAACTATAACCTTTTAAACGAAAAGTTTTGATATCATTATTGAAGATGAAGAAAACTATTATTGTTTCATCACCAGGGAAATTGATTATCGGTGGTGAACATGCCGTCGTTTATGGTCGTCGAGCTTTAGTTACAAGTATTGATCTGCGTTTATACATGCAGTTAACTGAAGAAGAAAATGAATCTAATGAACAATTAATGAATATACAATTTCATGATACAAATCAAAATTATTCAATTAATTTATTAGATTCCAATGAATCATATCCACTTGAAATTCAAGCTATATTCTTTATCTATAACCATTTTAAATCATTTTTATCAGAGAAAAAACAATTAAATATACAAGTTCATAGTAATATTCCAATTGGTGCTGGACTTGGTTCAAGTGCCGCATATAGTGTTTGTCTTGTTGGTTGTTTTTATTTACTTTGTCATAAAACATTAAATCAAGATGATATTAATCAATTAGCATATCAAGTTGAATGTCTTTTTCATGGTACACCATCTGGTATTGATAATACTATAAGTACCTATGGTCAATCACTTGTCTATAGTCGAACATTAAAAAAACATCTCAATTTTCAATTATCAAATTTAGCTATTCTTGATACAGGTATACCAAAATCAACAAAACGTATGGTTAGTTTAGTACGTACATTTATTGAAAATAATCCACATGAAGGTGAACAAATTTTAAATGATATTGAACTTTGTGTTGATAATATGATTGAACATCCTGATGAAATTAATCAACTTTTTCAACGTAATCAACAATTACTTAAATGTATAGGTGTATCAATACCAGAAATTGATAATATTATTGAAACCTTATTAAAAAAAAATATATCAACAAAAATTACTGGTGCTGGTGGTGGTGGTTGTCTTATTGCATTAACTCATTCGTTTACAAAAGAAGAAATTTTAGATTCATTAAAAGATCATTCTATTAAATCAGTACAATTTGTTCAATGTGGAGTTGAAGGTTTAAAAGAAGAACAAACATTTTTTTCATAAAAAAGTTAATGTAATACATTCACATCTTTCAGTAAAGTTTATTTTCTAAAACTTCATATACAGGAGAAAAATGACAAAAGATTATTGAAAACAACAAGTCTCAGTAGTTGTGATATGAGTAGGCATGACCCAGACCTAAGCTGTTTGCAGTGGCGGATCTAGGATTTTGGAAGGGGCGGGGGTGATTTTTTTTGAGTATGGAGGGCGATACCTGCGGAAGGGAGGGGGCGATTACATCCATCGCCCCCTCCCCCTTAAATCCGCCACTGGCTATTTGAGTTTGGGTTTGTGCTTTTTTAATCTGTAGAAGAAACTATTTTGGATACATTGATGGCAATTAAAAGAAGACCCAAACTCAAGCTCCCAAACGGTTTCAATTTGAGTTTGGATTTGCGTCATATCCAGATATGAGTAATGTGAGAATGAAAACAAGTGACATGGACCGTAACCTTTGACAGTAAATATATGACGCATATTTTCATTCTCTTCCTTTTTTAATACATATATATATTTATATGTATATATTCATTTTTTCCAACAAATATAAATTTAGTTGTCTTACATTTACGTTAAATAATGGCTTCGAAACATAGATTAGGTAATTTAATACGTATAACAAGTAATATTGAAACTTCTAAACCAGATCCATATATTTTATCTGTTGATATTGGTACATCATCAATACGTGCTTATCTATTTTCTAAAACTTTTCAAATAATATCATCAAGTCAAAAACAACAAACACTTCATTGTCCTGAGCAACATGGTTTCGAATTTGAACCTGAAGAATTTTGGCAAAAATTTCTTGCTGTTATACATGAAACAATTGAACATGCTAATCCATTAACAGTTAATGATATAACTTGTTTAGGTATATCAACATTACGGAATTCAGTTATATTATGGGATCGTAAAACAGGTGAAACATATTCAAATATTATTTTATGGAATGATTCAAGATCAAGTTCACATACAACAACAACAAATTCTTCATTAACATGGAAAACTATACGTAATGTTGCGAAATTTATACATCCAATTGTTCAAACAGCACGTTTATCAACATTATCAAATCTTGAATTTCGTACACAAATGATTGCCTTTAAATTATTATGGTTATTTGAGAAAAAACCACATTTAAAACAATATGCACGTCAAAATCGATTACTATTTGGTTGTATTGAAACATGGATTATATGGAAATTAACTGGTGGACATGAACATGTAACAGATGTATCATGCGCAAGTTCAACAGGACTTTTTGATCCATTTCAATCTCAATGGTCAACATTACTTTGTAAAAATTTAGGAATTCCAATAGGATTATTACCAACAATTAAACCAACATTTGGGCAATTTGGAGAATGTATTCCGAGCTTATTCGGTAAGATAAATGTTATACTCTAATAAACAAAAATCTATTCAAATTTTATTCATAGGTCATGCTATACCAATAACTGCTGTTATTGGTGATGTTCAAGCTAGTATGTTTGGTCAATGTGTATCACATCCAGGTGAATGTTTATTAACATTAGGTACTGGTGCATTTGTTAATATTTTAACTGGTCAAGTTAGTGCATCGACTGATGGTATATATCCACTCGTAGCACATTCTGATCTTTCGGATTCATTAAAAAATGTACATTTTCTTCATGCTTATCATAGTTGTTGTGCAAATGTTCTTAATTGGGCACGACAAGCTGGATTTTTTAATGATTTTTCTGAATTAGATCAAATAGTAACAAACGCGAAATCATCACATGTATTTTTTCTTCCAGCATTTGATGGTCATAATAATGATCCATATTGCGGATCGGGTTTTATTGGTATAAGTAGTACAACAACACGTGACGATCTACTTCGTTCAATACTTGAATCAATTGCATTTATTGTTTATGAATTATTTACATCTTTACGAGATAATTTTAGTGTATATCAACCTGATAAACAATTTAAATGTTTACGAACAGCTGGTAAAGTATCATCATGTGATTTTATTTGTCAAACTATTACAAATTTAATACAATTACCTATTGAACGTTGTTATGCATTTGATTATGCATCTGGTATTGGCGCTGGATTTTTAGCTGCTTATGGTTATGGATTAATTGATGATTATGAACATTTTCAAAACATTATAACAGTTGGAAAGGTTTTTCAACCAATTAAATCGGAAATAACAGAAGAAAATTTTAAACAATGGAAAACAATTATTCCACGATTTACTAAATGGTATAAAAAAGATGATATATAATTATGAAAAAACGTTTTTCTTCTCTCCTCTCTGAATATTTGTCATAAATATCTGTTTACTAATAATCACGTTCATTTCTTTGATCTTCAATATCACGCAAGCATGTCTAGTCAGTAGTCTTGGGCGAATGATATATCGAAGATTACAAAGATATGAACGATTACCTTAAAATTTTTATTTCTTAATCTTTGATAATTTCATATAACAAATAAAAGAGTTTTATTTGTATAAATATTCAATTTATTTTCATCTTTAGATATAATAATAATATCGCTTTGTTAGATATAGTACAATTCAGTAAGTTAAAATTCATCTGGTACAAGATTATTACCGAGTAAATCATATTCTTGACAACTAGCATGAAGATTAGATTGTTAAATTGATGCTCGAGATGGGAAACAGACATAACGGATCAACTTTATTTTACGATTTCTCAACACATAAAAACATACAAAATTTTAAACAAGCAAAGTGTTCTGGTGGCTGTGAGTGTGGGTGTGTAAATCACTCTTCTCTCATAACAGACACCCAAACCCACACCCACCCACCTACACTCTTTACAGACTCCCGGTAAAAGTAGTTAAAAAAATCAATTCCGAACGCCCCGACAAATTACCGGGTGTCCGGGACACCTAGTACGTTATGTCTTTGTCCCCTCGAGATAACTAACATATAGGTGTATAAATAAAATAACATGGCGATATAAGACCAAATATAAATAATTTAATAGAAAATACATACGAAACAAATATTTTTAGATATGATAAATACTACATATTTATCACCTGGTGTTCGACAATTATTATTAAGTGTATCATCAACATCAAATTATAAAGAAAATAATCATTTATCAATCGATGATATTCGACAATGTTTAAGTGTCGAAGGTATTTATTAAACTTATTGATAAATCGAATGTTATTTTTTTATGTAGAAATGGGTATTAATTATCAAGAATCTATTCGTCGATTAGATATGACAGTATTACCTCAAATAGAACATTTCTTCGATCAAATGACTATTGAACAATTTCGATCGCATTATGATAATGATTATTATTGTGGATGGTTGAAAAATAGCAAAGTAAAGTTTAATAAGAAAATCAATATGAAGAAAATTGATATGTTTTTTATTGATAGGATTTATTTCGAATATTTAATCTTTTAAAAAATAATGAAATTCATTTAGCTACACTTCTTTTAACTTGTCTAACTGAACGAAATCTTGGTAATGTAAGTAATAAATTTAAGTTATACCTGATCATCAATATATATATTATAATGAATTAGTTGCTCTTAATACAAATCAATACTGTACCTAATCTTCTGCGACAAATTATTGAATCATCTACTCTTTGTTCAATTCTCGGTTCAGATTTAGTAAATTATATGAAATAATTTATATTAATATTTAAATCTTATTTTGAAAATTATAGACTTTACTCTTTCAATTATTAATCGGTAGTCCAAAATCAATTAATTTACGTAATGTTTATTGGCATGGATTTATTCAATACAATGAAATTTCACCTAAGTACATTGATATTCTCTTTCTTTATTTTAAATTAAAAATAATTCATTCAACATAGATTTACTTATCTTTTATTTTATCTTATTCTACAAATTGGACCAATTGTTAATGAAAAAATCATACCTGAACGACAATTTATTTCATATGAACGTTTTAAAAATCATAATTTTCTTCCTCTAGGTAATAAAATAACTATTTAAGAAAAATAATATTAGCACTAGAGATGCGCGGGACCCAGTTTTTTCAATCCCAATCTCGATAGTTGGTCTTATAGGCGGTTCCGACGACTACCATGACGAATCCGTTAGTTCGCATCCACGCCCTAAAGTTAGATCTCAGTATGAACAATTCTTATATTAGATCTTAAAGTTCTATAAATTTAAAATATCTCTTATTTCTCTATAGATATTTGTTGTCCAAATGCAGATACAGCAATTGATATAATTAAAAAGAATTCACTTGTAGATAATGGTTATAAACCATTGCTAATATCAAGTATCAATTATTTCTATAATGAAAATGAGTAAATATATTCATTTCTTGCTTATTTTTGTATCTGTCATACTTAATTTAGATATGGTTTGAGTATGATGCTTTTATTACCTGTATTTGAACATTTGTTACGAAAATTATTTGTTAATGCTAATCATTGTCCTGAACGTTTATTAACAGCTGAGGTTTGTTTATATAAATAAAAATAATAAATAAATGATTTGAATATTTAGAGTGCAACATTATTTACGACTTTAGATGAAGTATAATTTAAATAATTAATTTGATTTTCTATAAATTAAACTCTAGATTTTGACTTGTTGTTTACCAGATGGTTCACCAAATCGTCTTTGCGAAGAACTTGGTCAGGGTTATATGGTATATAAATAAAAACCTATCAAATAAATCAATATAGTTTAAATTCTAGAGCCTATTAGGTGATTTAATCACATTTCCTGAAGGTGTTTGTCTTCGATCGAAATTAAGTCATGGTGAAATCGACTATGATTCTCTTCCACAAACAATTGCTCATGCTCAATTAAGTCTTTTACTCATATTACTCTATCGATATAATCACAATGTATATAAAAAGTAGAATTTAATCTTTTAATATAATTGAATTTGTTCTATTTAGGAATCCAATGATTATGGACAAATTCTTCTTGATTATATAAAAAATTATAAAGTTTATTATCATCCAATTGCTATTGCTAAAAATCAAGTATATAACTGTGATTTATATTCTATAATTATTTCAATTACTTTTAGATACGTGAATGTATCGAAGAATTTAAACAAATATCTGAATGTGCAACATTAATTGAAGAAGAAATTCCAACAACTACTGATTTTCCAATTAAATTAATTGATTTTTGGCGATCATTTATTCCTTCTGGTTATAAATGAATTTATACATATATTTATCATTGAAAGAATTTTTTTTTCTATTTAGATAAACTATCGTTATTTAGTAATATATCATTAGAAACAATCGATATATTAATCAATGAAGAAAATATAAATCTTATTAATCGATATTGTACTTGTAAAGTAAGAAATACAACTAAAGACTAAAAGCAAGTTCTAGTTATTTGAATATTGATGAATCGGTTTGTATTATCTGAATAGTTTCCGAGACTTAATTCTGTGTCAGAATGTGATATATACTTTATTAGACTAAATCGTGTCTCTTATCATTTAGTCAATAACAACTGGTTATAATGAACAATCATTTATAACAATAATACGTCAATTATCTACTCATATACGTCAGATATTGATTAATATTGAGACATTTATAAAAACACGTGGGCAAGCTTATCATTCGAAACAATTACGAGCAAATCAACGTAGTAATTTTGAACGTTTTATTAATATGTAAATATTTCATATGTATTCAATTGATATTATATGTAAATATCTTCTTTTCAGTTTTGATAATCTTCGTCAATTGATATTATTTATCTGTCATTTAAATTCTTGTATTCTCTTTGCATTAGATTATATTCGAAGTATTGATTTGAAATATTCTTCAGTTTTAATGAAGTAAGTAAAAAATTTACGATAAGGAAAAGAAATTATTTTTATACGTATATTATGTAGATTTTTACGAATTTGGTTAACATTCATTGAAAATACAGTTATATTATCAGGAATAACACGTAATCGATGGGATGAAATACTTACCTTATACTCAACTACCATTGATAGATCGGCAAAAATGATATTCAAACTATAATTATTCTTTTTTTAATATTTGGTTTTTATTACATGTTACTATATTTTTCTAGTTATGAATAAAACTGACGTCATATTTTAGGTACAACAATGTAGTTAAGGTCAAAAAACAAAACATATAGATACGTCACTGTTTATATAGGTACTTCTCAGGTACTGATATTGATAAATGAACTATTAGAATAATTATAATTGTTATGAGTAAATTCACAATATTGATTTTATTGATGAAAATTAGATTTTATTCCTTCACTCTGACACATCATTGACCTTTTCCATCATATAATGGTTTCATTAGAGACATTATGCATCATCAATAATGTGGTGTACAATCAGATAACTTTGCAACCAGTATGAAATTTTACAAAATCTATTTTTTATTACAATAAGTTGTTTTCTAAAAAACAAATGCACTGAAGTACTGTATCGTTTATAAGGTGACTTTTTCTCATATAAAAAATATATGATGACACTTGTTTTTACCGCGTACATTTGAGTTTATTAATGTGTGACGAAAGAATCACTAAGTCATTGGCGATATAAAATATACTCTCGCTCCGATTAACTATATTCATTCGTTGGATAACAGTGACAACAATATGTCTCAAACAAATGTTGCTTACAAATTTGATTCAGATGCAATTTCTCTTGGTGAATTACCATCAGACAAGCAACATACATTGTCACCGGGAACCTTACCAGTACGTATACGACGACTAAGTATTCACATACCACATGGCCTACATCATAATTCACATAATGTACTATCTGTAGAGATTGATAATCCATTAGAACAACAAGTATCGAATAAAGAAGAAAAACAGGAAAATCCATTTAATGATGATGATGATTCATATTATTCATTGAAAAATTTTCGTGAAAGACGTCGAGGTAAACGTGATGAAGATTCTGGTTTATCACGACGTATTAAACGATTTTATAAAGATCAAGATGAACTTATTGATGTTTATGAACAAGTACATAATCGAGGAAATGGAGATGACAGTGCCAATATCGCACATACAAGAACACAAAAGATATCGAATATTTTAACTAAAGTTTCACTCGCTGCTAATATTGTATGTTTAACTATTATTCTAATTCATTTAATTCAACAAGTATATCTATTTTTAGATTTTATTCGTTTTGAAAATTATTAGTGCAGTTATATCGCAATCACTTTCAGTTATTTCTTCTGTCATCGATTCAGGTGTGGATCTTGCAAGTTCAATTATTTTATTTTGGGCATGGTATAAGATTAAAAGACGAAATAAATATCGTTATCCTCAAGGTATTTTCTTACATAAGGCTATAGATACAGATTTCATTAAAACATTTTTTATATTTATTTTCTTAATAAATACTATTTTTTGTTTAGGTCGAACACGTCTTGAGCCTATATCAATCATAATTTTAGCAGTTATAATGTGTGCTGCATCAGTATTAGTTGCTTATGAATCGATTAATACAATTGTTGATGATGCAAACTTTTTCAAAGCGGGACCGAATACCACAAAAACATTACAAGCTATTGATATGAGTGCATTTCCTATAGCAGCTATAGTTATAACAGCTGTTGGTAAAACAATTTTATATATTCTATGTATTCGTGTTAACACACCAACAATGTCAGCATTAGCTGCAGATCATATTAATGATGTTGCATCAAATGTTGTTGCACTTGTTTGTGGTATTGTTGGTAAAGTATAAATACAAATTTCTTTAATACAATATACATGTAATATATATTTCACAGGTTCATATGCATACAAAAATAAAATAAACCAGAAAGCCATTTTTATTGATCCAATTGGAGCTATTGTTATAGCAATTTATATTATAATAACATGGATTAAACAAATGAATGGTTTGTTTCAATGGTTTTTTTTAATTTTTTTTCATTCGACTTATTTTCTTTAGATCAAACAAAACGTTTAAGTGGATATACAGCTGATCCGAAGTTTCTTTCACAACTAACAGTATAAAGATCTTTCTTTTTTTGAAATTTTGTTTTCTTATTGTTGTTGTTTTGTATTATTTCTAGTGGTTAACATATCATCATTCTCCATTAATTGAGAAAATTGATACAGTTCGTGCATTTTATTTTGGTACATCATATTTAGTTGAAGTTGATATTGTTTTGCCAGAAGATATGTTACTTAAACAAGCACATGATATTGGAGAAGGACTACAGAAGAAAATCGAAGATTTACCTGAAGTTGAACGAGTAAATAAATTTATGTTTAAATTTCCTATATAAATAATTTTATTTTTAGGCATTTGTTCATCTTGATTATGAACATTCTCATCATCCATCAGATGAACATAAAGTTGTGTAAAAATATAAAAGACTTTAAAAAGCGCTTAATAGTTCATTTTTATTTATTTACTGTGCTGTTATGTCATTTAATGTTGATGAAATAAAATTAATAATAAAACAGATTTTACATGAAAAAATGAATGTATTGACTACAGTCGAAAACTTCGTATATGATGTAAGGTAAAATGTTAGTAGAGTTGATGTTATGAAAGCAGTAGAAAGAAGATTGACTGGCGTGGTAAATAATCAACGAATATGAGATGCAACTGTTCATATCGATAAAAAGATGCAGAATAATTTTTTTTCATAGTATATAAAAAGTCAGTTTAGCGAATAGAAACGAAATAGATCAATTAATAGTAATAATAGGATTAAGAGATTGATTTGATCGATATAAAATAAATAGAACAGTATTTCACGTAGATTTTTCTTCTTTTGTGATTGAGATTTTCTAAGTATTTTGTAGAATCCGTTCTACAAGGAAGAGACATGAATATTTCAGTTAGATTTTATTTATTACATGCGATGATAAAATGAAAGAAGGAAATATAATAAACGTGCAATTGTGTATTATTCTCTTTTCACTTTTATAATGTTCGTTGAATCGTTGTTTCTTTTCTTAAATTGTTTATGATAAGGAACTTGTATAGAGTAAATAGTTTTGTTCTATATCGATGTGTGTTGATAGTCAAAAAAAAATACTGTAAATACTATTTATTTTTTGTATAATAATATTTTAATTATAAAAAGAAAACACATCCATCTATGTAATTAAAAATATCGTCATAGTTTATATTTAATCATTATGTGTTTCATAGTAACGAACCTCGATAAATAGAATACAGTTCATTTACACAAGAAACATAAATATTTGATCTTAGTAGATCTTAGCAAATTTTTTTAATATAGAAAATAATAATTTAGGAGAGCTATGTAATAATACACTATGAGATAGCCAATTATTTTATATCTTTATAATACGAAACGTTGAATAAATAAATATATAATAAATGACGAGCACAGAAAACAAAATATATGATACAATGAGTTTGACCTATTTTTTATTCATTGTTTTTAATGTATATTTTTTGTTGAAAGTTAGTACATAAATATTCTATTTGATTTGAATAAAAAAATCTTTTTCGATATTTTTTTCTTTTAAATTTATATATATGTAAACGCAAATAATTATGTTTTATTTAATTGAATATAGATAGTTACAAAAATATTTTCTAACTATCTTCTACGAGTGTTACAACAAAAAATATTTCTTTGCATTACTATTTTTTATTATTGAGAACACATCTTATATTGTTTGAAATGTATCTAATTATAGCGAATGAGCTTCGAAACTATTATCGATTATTTTTTTTACAAATCAACAAGTAATAAAAATTCTCTCTATTTAACTTTGTTATCAATCTATATGAAATACAACAACGCTCGTAACTAAGAGTAGAGTTATTCAAATTGTTTCCTATTACAGTAAAAGACGAACAATTACGATAATTGAATATGGTTATTTATAATTCATTCACACTCGATTTTATTATTATTTTTGTAACTTGCTATTAAATTTGCTCAGAATATTTAAAAGTAACGATGAAGAGAAAGTCATATTATCATCACTCTCAAAGAATAAAAAAAATACTCTATTATACTTCGGTTTCATTAATTATATATGTGTGTACTTTATTGAGCAAAAAAAAGGAAAAAGTCGTAAGCTTTTAAATGAAGCAATTTAAAGTCAATGATAAAAAAAAAGAAAAATTCGCAAGCTATTAAATGAAGAAGTTTGAAGTCAATGATAATGTCATTATCTTTAGGTGAAGATAATTGTAAATAAAGAGACTATAACTGTAAACAGGAATAGACCTATTGCAATTGATGAAGTAACACTAGCTGTTGAAGTTGATGCAGTAGTAGTAACTGTTTGTATGACGTTAATCATAGCACCCATTCCGGGATGATTATGACATCCATAATAATAAGTACCACTAGTATTAAATATAACAGAAGTTGTGTCACCTGCGTTAGTAATCGGAGTGTTGAGTTCATCACTAGTAGCGGCTCCTTTGCAGAAATTAGGTACGGCACTATTTTGACATATTGTTAACGGATGAATCGTTACAGTCGTAGCCAAATTAAATCGTAATTGATCACCAACATTTAAAGTGATATTTGGACTAAGGGTACCATTTAAAGCGAATGTTGCACTGTAACTGGATGGATTTCCCTGAGGACAAGTCGAATTCACAACACAGGAAACAAAAGTCACAGTATATATGACAAGATTTGCCGATACATTAGAAAATGCTACGACAATCAATGCAAAATATAATAACCATAATAGGTGCGCCATATGTATGAGATGGATGTGTAGTGAATACGACGTTTGAGAAAAATATTTAAAATGATGTTAACTGTGGAGCGTCAGAATATAAATACTCATGGAGAGAAAAAAAAGGTGGATAGAACAATAACCAACCATGCATATTATAGCAGTTTCTGATGTTATTTTTGTCTTGTCAGCCAGTCGTAGTTACTTGAATCGATGAAGAAAAAACAAAAAATACTTTTAATTATGAATCAACATACTTAAACTAATGAATCACATTGTATTCTCAATCTATCTAACCGATTTCTGGTTTGATCAGATCATTAAATTGAATTTAGCTGATATGAAAGAAAATATACACCCACATTTAAACTGTCAAAATCACAAAATTTTAAATATCAATGTAAAAATGATAACAATAACCTTTAATTGCTAAACAAATTGATAAAATTCTGTTGTAAAAAGGATATTTGCTTTCATCGAATTTTTTATTCAATCTCTATTGCTATTGAATTCACCTATGATAGTTCAAACGTTAACTGCTTCTTTTGACAACTTATAAGAATAAAAATATCATTTAACACTCATTAAAATTAAATAAATTTTAATATTTCCATCCGTCATATATCTTTGATAATTCTTACTCGATTTTATTAGAAATATTCGAAAAAACAAATAATTAATTTTTATCTTTAATTGTTTTTACTAAATTTTTCAACTATCAGTACGTATTATAGTTTTATATCAAGAAATACAACAGTTTAATATTATTAAAAGTGCAAAAGAAAGTAATGATTCATCAATAGTCATCAACGATTTATAATACTCCATTCGATATGTAAGCATACATACTATTCTTTCAAAGACGGCTTAGGAGAAATTCATTCCGTATAAATTAACTGATAGTGAAATCTATCATAATCAATCTCAATTGAACTTGAGCAAATGGTAAAATCAGATGTCGTCACATATAAAACGAAGTTTACATTCGAGACTCAATTTTCAACTTTTTGATTAACAGCATCTTATTACTATGCTAGTCTGCTGTAAATCTCAAGATTATTAAACTCATTTACTCTAAAGAAAAGGTTGATCATCTATTGAGATTATTCACGAATGATACTTTACGTCAACACTCTTATTTCCATCAATAATACAGTTTTATTTCAAAAACTCACTCCAAAAATATTTTCAGCACACAGGTCATTTTGTATTTCTCTTTTCGCTCGAAATGTTCATTACAGATATACGCAAAAATTGAATAAATTAATATTCAAATATTAATCGATCACACTTTGTTGAATAAAGATATCAATTATTTCAAGCCTTTTTTGATTTGAACGATCCAATGTTCGCTTAGCGAGTTAAAGATTCTAACGCTCATATATGTGACCCCATAATTGATTCAATTTTGTTTGTTGACTTGCTAGAAATTGTCCGAGGTTCAATGATTTAATGGTGGAATTATTTGTAAAAAATCGTTAATACGTGTTATCATTATTGTTGATAATGATGGTTCATGAAACTCTTTAATTAATGATGCAGATTGTCGTATTAAACTATATATATATATCTTGTTGAGAAAAGATTTGTTGACATGGGCCAATTGTATTAGAATTTAAAACTGTTTGCAAACGTGTACGCATTTATTCTGAACAATTAGCTAATTCATCAATTGGTTGAAGTATATCATTCTGTTGATTTGTTGAATTATTATTTGATGAAAAATGTGGACGTAATGATTGACGTAATGTATGAAGTTCAGTTTCAAAATGTGTTTGAACATCAAGTTGTTCTTTTTTAGTTGCTTCACGTAATTGTATAATAGGGTGGGTGTGGGTGTGTTCGCTCATACAAACCCACACCCACACCCACACCCTCAAAATGGCAGTCGGTTAAGGGATTTAGTTGAGTTTGGAATGATAATACAATAAAAAAATGAAAATCATATTTTGTTAGTTTTAACTCTAATGAGCAGAGTTGTTCTTTTTATTAGATTTTTCTTATCTAAATTTATGATTTGAACCAGTCGAGTGTTGTTATATATCAAGCTGAAAAAGGAATTGTATCTTTTATAGATAAGTTTAAATTATTTCGAACTGCGAGGATATTGATTTACTTTTGAAAAAGAAAAAAAGCCTTTTCAAAAACTCGATTGATATTTTTTATCACGGGTATATGCGAGACAATCAGCGCTTGGTTGTTTTTTCTCATAGAGAGTACAGAATTGTTTACATTAAATTATTTTATTACCCAAGGTATTAAGACTTTGTATGATCTGTTTAAGTGTAATAGATAGAGATTTTGTTTTTCTATTTCATTCACATTGAGCAGGGGTTCGATGGTGTACGTTGTTTATTCGTTTATTTTTTGTTTAATAAAGATTAAAAGATTTTAGAAACTCATGTGAATTCAATGAGAATTTTTCGTATTACTATGAATCATAAAATGATCAATTAACGCATAAATATATGAAAAAAATCGTTAGTTGTAAACAAACATATTACATATTCAAATCATAGTACTAAATTATACAAACATATGAGAATATGGGTGAGAATTGATTTAAACAAATTCAATTCAAAGTAATTCGTCATCTGATAAATTTGACAAAAATCTATATGTTCTCGTACAAAACTACGTGATATCACGTTGATCATAGAGCTGCTTTTACGCACAAAGATTTTCTCATTTAGAAAAATTTTTTCATTTTATTTTTTTTCGCGCATTCCAATCTCAACTAAATTCTTATGTCAACTGTGACATTTATTTTGTTAAACTGTTGTTTATTTCCGTCAATAGTGACACTGCTAAGGTCTTATTCCTATCGTTTTTAAACTTTTCAACATTTTTACTTTCGACTAAACTCAGACATGCCATTTTAACTGGTCAAGAATGAAAAAAAAGTTCGCGTAGGCTAGACTATTAAACTCAAATTGACCGTACCAAATCAAATTATTTTCACCATATTCTTGTTTACATATCAAGAATATAAAATATTCTATGACGATACGAATGATATGAGAAAACACAATTAATCATCTTTTTGTAAAACTGAATCATTAAAGTTTTACATAGTAGACTCAAGTAAGCATATTCGATGTATTGATTTAAAATATTCTTCAGTATTAATGAAGTAAGTACGAATTTACAATAAAAAAAAATTTTATACGTATATTATGTAGATTTTTACGAATTTGGTTAACATTTATTGAAAATACGGTTACATTATCAGGAATAACACATAATCGATGGGATGAAATACTTATGTTATATTCAACTACGATTGATAAATCGACAAAAATGATATTTAAACTATAATTATTCTTTCTTTAATATTTGGTTTTTTACATATTACTATATTTTTATAATTATGAATAAAAAAAGACGTCATAATTTAAGTGCAACCGGGTGGTTAAGGTCAAAAAATAGAACATAGATACGTCACTATTTATATAGATACTGATATTGAAAAATGAATCATTGAGATAAGTATAAGTGTCATGGGTAAATTCGCGATATTGATCATTAATAATGTGTTGTTCAATCTGATAACTTTTCAAGCAATATGAAACTATATAAAAAAATTAAAGCTTCAACGTGAATCTTTTACTTGCGTTTCGCAAGATTATTCAAAGAAGAGTAAGTAGTAATTTAAAGTCATACAAAATCTATATCTATTACAATAAGTTTTGTTGGCAAGACGAGTACATTACATTACTGTATCGTTTATACGACGACTTTTTTCCTAGTATAAAAAATATATGACTACGCTTGTTAAGAATACGTACTTTGTGTTTATTGATGTGTGACGAAAGAATGACTAAGTCATTGGCGATATAAAACATACTCTCGCTTCGATTAACTTTATTCATTCGTTGAATAACAACGACAGTATGTCTCAAGCAAATATTGCTTATAAACGTGATTCAGATGCAATTTCTCTTGGTGACTTACCGTCAGACAAGCAATATACATTATCACCAGCGGCCTTGTCAGGACGCATACGATCAATAAGTAATCAAATAGCACATGGTCTTCATCGTAGTTCACTCAATGTATTACCTGTAGAGATTGATAATAATCATCCATATGATAATTCATTCGAACAACAAGTACCGAATAATGAAGAAAAAAAAGGAACTCCATTTAATGATGATGATGATTCATATTATTCATTGAAAAATTTTCGTGAAAGACGTCGTGGTAAACGTGATGAAGATTCTGGTTTGTCACGACGCATCAAACGATTTTATAAAGATCAAGATGAACTTATTGATGTTTATGAACAAGTACATAATCGAGGAAATGGAGATGATAGTGCCAATATCGCACATACAAGAACACAAAAGATATCGAATATTTTAACTAAAGTTTCACTCGCTGCTAATATTGTATGTTTAACTATTATTCTAATTCATTTAATTCAACAAGTATATCTATTTTTAGATTTTATTCATTTTGAAAATTGCTGGTGCAGTTATATCAACATCACTTTCAGTTATTTCTTCTGTCATTGATTCAGCTGTTGATCTTGCAAGTTCAATTATTTTATTTTGGGCATGGTATAAGATTAAAAGACGAGATAAATATCGTTATCCTCAAGGTATTTTCTTACCTAAGACTATAGATACAGATTTCTTTAGAATATTTTTTATTTTTGTTTAGGTCGAACACGTCTTGAACCAATAGGAATTATAGTTTTAGCAGTTATAATGTGTGCTGCCTCAGTATTAGTTATTTATGAATCGATTAATACAATTGTTGATGATGCAAACTTTTTCAAGGCGGGACCGAATACCACAAAAACATTACAAGCTATTGATATGAGTGCATTTCCTATAGCAGCTATAGTTATAACAGCTGTGGTTAAAGGAATTTTATATATTCTATGTGTTCGTGTTAACACACCAACAATGTCAGCATTAGCTGCTGACCATATTAATGATACTGTTTCAAATATTGTTGCACTTGTTTGTGGTATTGTTGGTAAAGTATAAATACAAATTTCTTTAATACAATATACATGTAATATATATTTCACAGGTTCATATGCATACAAAAATAAAATAAACCAGAAAGCAATTTTTATTGATCCAATTGGTGCTATTTGCATATCGGTTTATATTATAATAACATGGATTAAACAAATGGGTGGTTTGTTTCAATGGTTTTGTTTTTTTCTGAATTTGATTTATTTTCTTTAGATCAAACAAAACGTTTAAGTGGACATACAGCTGATCCAAGATTTATTTCACAAATAACTGTATGAAGGCTTTTCTTCTTTAAAATCATCTTTTCTTATTGTTGTTTTATATTGTTCTAGTGGTTAACATATCATCATTCTCCATTAATTGAGAAAATTGATACAGTTCGAGCATTCTATTTTGGTACATCGTATTTAGTTGAAGTTGATATTGTTTTACCAGAAGATATGTTACTTAAACAAGCACATGATATTGGAGAAGGACTACAGAAGAAAATCGAAGATTTACCTGAAGTTGAACGAGTAAATACATTTATCTTTAGATTTCCTATATAAATAGTTTTATTTGTAGGCATTCGTTCATCTTGATTATGAATTTGATCATCATCCGGCAGATGAACATAAAGTTGTGTAAAAATATAAAAGACTTTAAAAAGCGCTTAATAGTTCATTTTTATTTATTTTGTTGTGTAGTTATGTCATTTATTGTTGATGAAATAAAATTAATAATAAAACAGATTTTACATGAGAAAATAGGTGAAAAAGTTTTTCTATATGATCATTTACATCAATGGAATATTGATATTTTAACTGAAATATTATATCAATTAAAACAAATTCAAAATAAACATACTAATAATCAACAAATGAAATATGTTGTTACGGTTTTAATAGGAGAAAAAACAAATGAAAGAAATTTTGGTTTACATACATCTCTGTCATGTCTATGGGATGGAAGAACGGATGCTTGTGTTACTGTTAAATGGGAAAATAAAAATATTTTTTCAATTATAAGTGTTTTCGGTTTGACTATTTAAAAGAAAAGCAAGTATTATACGCCAGACAAACTTAAGTTCTTAAATTATCCGCATCAATTACTTGCAACGCATGCATTTGTCTGGAGTTAGAAAGCCATGCACGATGAATACATCTTGAAGTTTAGGTAGGCGAGACTATTAAACTCAAATTGACTGTATCAAATCAAATTATTTTCACCATATTTTTGTTTACATATCAACAATACGAATGAAACGAGAAAACGTAATTTATCATCATAGTTTTGTTCTTCTCTTTGTCGTCTGAAATAATAAGAGTCAACAAACCATTTATTTTAATCTATTCAAAACGTTTGAGAAATATGATTCATTTTTTATCTTCAAAATATAAAATCTATTATTTCTCAATCAATGAGTCACTATACCATTACTTCAATATTCAATATCTGATTGACTAAAGTATATGATGGGTTATCAAGTGTGCTGATTCTTTATATATATACAATAGTGCAAATCAAGAGGTCATTTTTATGACGATATCAGTATTCATCTACTTCATTTATGATCCTGAGCATAAAATAAAAGTAACCTTGTTGAAGAATAAATACTAACTTTATTGTTTTTGACAAACTCTTTACAAAGTAATAATAAGTTTCTTTTGTTCTTTTACTTAATAGTGATAAATATTTTTAATCAATTAGAAATCTGATCTTTTTTTAATAATACAATGTGATCTTCAAAGTATCATTTACAATTAGTCAATTAATTTTATTTAAAGTTTCTTTTCATCTTATTTAAAAATGACATATTTCTCCTCATTAGTAACAATGTCTACTTCTCACATCATTTGTCTATTTGTACGTTTTTCTTCATCATCATCATCATCATAGAGACAAGTATACAAAGAATTCCTTTCTCTCGTTCTCTATACAGTAAATTAATAGGTGAAATCTTACGAGCCCTTCTCACCGACACCGCTGTTCGTCTTTCTATTATTTACAATATATTTGTCTGTTACTTCTTTCTCATTTTTTTTCTCTCTTTTACACATACACACATACATAAAATTGACTTTCGTCTTATCTTCTTCTCTTTCTCATTTTTTTTACGTTTATTATTTGTTCACTCTATTTTTGTTGTTGAAATAACAGTAGTAGTAATAGCCATTATTTCTACACAATAGATATAATCCTAAATATATGTTAGCAAAAATAAGATTAATATATTTCGTTTCGAACTTCTTAAAACATAGTAATTTATTGTGTTAAGTCTACTATTAGTTATATAATATTTACAGAGAATTGCAGACTATTGTTAAAAACTTAATTACACTCAAATAGAACTGTCAGTATAAGCATGAATGACCCTTTTATTCCATTTAAAAAAATAAAAAGGTAGGTTATAAACTTGAGCAATGCTATCGATTTAAAATAACATGTCTATACGTTCATTATTTATTCATTTCATCTAGACAAACTTTTTTTTGTTCATGATGTCAAGATGACGCGCACTTTTGAATGAATAACTAACAATTGTTCACTAGATTTTTTTCTTCTACATTCAGTATATATTTACTCTTGTCAGTTTTTTTTCTTTTTCTCAAATAGAAGATCTATATATGAAATGTTTCATATGTAAAAGAAATGAATGATAAGAATATGACCTGATAATCTTTCTTCTTTTGCTTGTAAATGGTCATATCTTTAACAAAATAAAACGAAAAAATGTTTCACATATTTTTCTCTTGGTCAAATTCATTGTCTACTTTTATTGACTTTATTCTGTTCAACATATGCTTTTCATTGTAAAATCATTTATTATGATCCTTTTCTATAACTGATAATCATTATTGATTCATGTTATATCATGTTTGTTCATGATATATATACGCCCATTATTGTTCATCAGTTTAGATCATATAACGGAACAAATACTCTTATTGGCTCTTCAACTAACTGACATCAAGCAAGAGATGTATTAAATTTCGAGAAGAGAACAGTAATGACAAAGATATCATTCGTTCGTTTTAATGAATCATATATATTCGTTAAGCATTCTTTTTTTCTTCTTCTTCTCTTAAATAGCACTACTACTGTTGACATACGTTGCATTTTTTCGTCCTCCTACTAACGTTTTTCTTTCTTTTCTCTTGTTCGTTTTAGATAAACACACATACACTCTCACATACACTTTGTGGACGACCATTATATAGGCGATATCTCTATGTGTAAAATATTTTTAAACAACATCGATTAAGCCGTGAAACAAATACATTAACATATTTAACAATGGCACCAAAACCAGTAAGTTAATCACTCAAGTTTTAACAAGTTCTTTGAATATGAGATAAATATTTGCATGTGTATATGATAAAATCATATATCGATTCATTGAAAAACATATTTCTAGGTCAATGTACGTGTGATTACGATGGATGCGGAACTTGAGTTTGCTATTCAACCGAATACCACTGGCAAACAATTATTTGATCAAGTATAAAATTTAGAAAATAAGATTTTTATTTCGATTGAATTACTTTTTTTAAGGTTGTTAAAACTATTGGTCTTCGTGAGATATGGTTTTTTGGTTTATTATATACAGATTCAAAAGATTTTCCCTGTTGGCTTAAACTTAATAAAAAAGTTCTTAGTCAAGATTTAAAAAAAAGTACCACAAAACCATTAGCATTTAAATTTCGTGCTCGATTTTTTCCCGAAGAAGTATCCGAAGAACTTATTCAAGAAATTACTCAAGTATAAAATAATTTTCTTTATGAATATAGATATATACATAATTATTTCTTTCTTAGAAACTTTTTTTTCTTCAAATTAAAGAATCAATTCTTACTGATGAAATCTATTGTCCACCTGAAACATGTGTTCTACTTGCTTCTTATGCTATGCAAGCTAAACATGGAGATTATAGTCAAGATATACATCGTCCTGGATCATTACTTCAAGAACGTCTTTTACCTAGACGTGTTATGGAACAATATCAATTATCAGCTGAAGAATGGGAAAAACGTGTTGTAACTTGGTGGAAAGAACATAATGGAATATTAAAGTAAGATATCAATGAATATAAGTCTCATATAGTAAAAGAATGAAGTACAGCTGTTGAATCTGTTGTAGTCAACTTTTTTGCTTCTTATAATTTATTAATATTAATTCTTTTAGAGAAGAAGCAATGCTTGAATATCTTAAAATTGCTCAAGATCTTGAAATGTACGGTGTAAATTATTTTGATATTCGTAATAAAAAAGGAACTGAACTTTATCTTGGTGTCGATGCACTTGGCCTTAACATTTATGATAAACAAGACAAGTAGAAAATTTTGATTTAATATAATTCAATCATATGATTTGTGTTCTCTTTTAAGATTAACACCAAAAATTGGTTTTCCATGGAGTGAAATACGAAATGTATCTTTTAGTGATAAAAAATTTGTTATCAAACCTATGGATAAAAAATCTCCAGATTTTGTTTTTTTTGCACAAAGACTTCGTATAAATCGACGAATTTTATCATTATGTATGGGTAATCATGAATTATATATGCGTCGTCGAAAAACTGATTCGATTGAAGTACAACAAATGAAAGCTCAAGCACATGAAGAAAAATTAATGCGTCTTCAAGAACGGTAATTTTCGGATAAATAAACAGGAGAAATTTATCGATGGATTTTTTTTTCATGTAGAGAACGAATTCAAGCGGAAGTTGAACGTCGTAAACTAGCCGAACAAGATCGTGAAGTTATGCAAAAACGTATGAATGATCTTGAAAGAAGTGCGGATGCTGCTAGACAAGGTTTGTTTCATATTTGACGCATTTAAGCGTCTCGTTTATTTTAGAAAAACCACCACGAATATTTGCACAAACTAGTGAGACAAATTGTAAGATAGAGCTAAAACAAAGACTATTAATTATTTTTTTGGTGCTATTAGTTTTCTTTGATTATCAAAATGAATTAGTTTAGAATTAATTTATTTAATTATATTTTTGAATATTTAGCTCTTGAAGATCAAAATCGAATGACAAAAGATTTAGAAGATAAACGTCGACAAGCTGAAGAAGCACAATTTCGTTTACAACAAGAACGAGATGATGCCGAAAGAGAACATGAAAGAATGATGGAGAGAATTAATTATGAACAAGGAGAAAAAGATAAAATTGTAGGTTGAATTTTATTTTATTTTCGATAAATTTATAAGGTTAATGAACGAGCATCTATAGTACACCCTGAGCTATATATAAAAATCGACTTGAATCTCTCAGGAGGATGTCAAGATATCATTTGTGATCCCACACTAGAGATATGCGGGATCAACCTTTTTAGGTCCCGGTAGATTTCTGTTTGGTCCCGGTTCCAGTCCCGCACATCTCCATCCCACACCCTTTTAATCTTTCGCATGAACTACCTATTGTATCAATATATTCAATTTAAATTTTTCAGTTATTATGGCGTTTAAATAATCCTGTTTGTTCTTGGGTATAAATATTTCTCTCACTATTGTCACATAGAACAAGAGCTATATATATACACACTGGATAGAATAAAAATATGCATGTACAAAAGAGAAAATTCTATCAGACACTTTATTTTGTATGCTTAAAACGAGGAGAATCGTTTACAAAAAAATATACTATTTTATAGGTTCAAGAAATTGAAAAAACTCGTATTTTAGCTGATAAAAAAGCTCAAGAAGCTCAACAAAAAGAATATGAAGCACGTCAACTTGAACAAGAATTACGAGAAGCAAATAAAAAAGTAAAATAGTTTTTTTTCAATCAAAAGAATATCATTAGAGGATATTCTTGTAGTTTTACTAACACATTATTAACCCTATATTTTATCCGTTTATTCAGAACGATGATTTTAAAATTACCTATGTTTAGGTTCACGAAGCTCAAGAAAGTAATAATAATCATTACATCGATAGTCATCCGATGGATGTTGAAGAAAGTGATGATGAAGAAAACAGTACAACAGGCCGTTTTGGACAAGGTTTTTCTCAAAATTAGATAAATGTCTTTTCTCATTGAATGATTTCGAAATTTTTCTTTTAAAAGGCGTGGAATTGAAAACAGATGAACATGCATCACGTCATGAAGAAAATCGTACAACTGCAACAACACGAGATCAAAATATGAAACAAAAACTTGAAGTAAATAATAGAAATCGTAGTTTATTTTGCTCGTTTTCTTTTTTTTATTCACTTTATTGATTTGCACATGCTCTTTGCTATTATGCTTCTTCAGGCTCTCAAAAATGAATTGGGTTCTGTTCAAGATTCACAAAAAGTTACTGATAATGATCGTTTGCATCAACAAAATGTTGCTTCCGGTCGAGACAAATACAAAACATTAAAAGCGATTCGACAGGGAAACACAAAAAAACGTATCGACGAATTTGAGTCTATGTAATCAGTCATTTCCTTTTAATGATCAAATATATAAACTGACTTTCTTTCTTTCTATCTCTTTTCTTATTGTTTGTTTATAAGCTAATGCTGCTCTGTTATTATCATTTAAAAGAAAATTTAGTTGTTTTAATTCTTCTTCTATTGAAAAAAATTGTATTGTATTTATTATACTTTCGAAGAAGAAAAAAAAACATTTAATTTTTATTTCTTAATAATCTGTACTCTTGAAAATAAAAACTCACATATATACTATAAATTTATGATTTTTTTGTCTTCTAATCACACGCTCGCTCTACGATCACAATGGGTGGTGACGAAAACTCTATATGAAAAATTATGTTTTATTAATATAGGCAGAACGAAGACATCTTGGACAACGACAACAAAAAGAAGAGACGCGTGAAGATAAAATCTATCGAGAGAATACTATTGATAAAGGTATTGATAAATATAGAACATTGAAAAAAATACGTGAAGGAACTGGTAAGAAATTTCCTATTTTTTGTTTTATTATCGAAATTGTTATTATCATCATTTTAGTTAAACGACGTATTGATGAATTTGAAGCTATGTGAATTTGATATTTTTACCGTATTTATGTAAAAAATAGTTCCATTCTTTTATTATCACTTCCTTTTTTTTGTATTGCCATTTAATCAATTTTTTTTTCGTTTTTTGCTTTGATATAAATGAGAATAATAAAATAAAATACGGGTCATATTATATATTTCGCATAATAATGATAAACCTTTTATTTTCTTAGTCTTACAAATAATCAAAAACCGATAACAATTATATTTCAATAGATCCTAGAAATGATTTCTACAATATAATTGTTGTATCTTTTTCTTTCTGGTCTATAATCGTATATTTACAGGCACAGGTACGACAAAAATGAAGAGTTACAGTTTTAATCAGTTGATGAATCAAGTACTGAATCATTATGTCCAATATCCCAATAATGTTCAACACCATGACGACGAAAATGTTCTCGAGCAAAATTTTCTGTTGGACACATTTTATATTTAATTTCACCAAATGCACGATCTTTAACGGTACCCTGCCAAAGAAGTACACATTTATTTTTTTCTTTATCTTGATCTTCACTTTCATCATCTTCCATTCGATTTTTACATGACGCATTCCATTTAATTCGATTGAGTAATAAACGACGAAATTTCTTTTGTTGTTTAGGTCCTAAAAAGTACAAATAATTAATTTCGAAAAGAGAAAAATTAAAGATAATCTTTTACCTCCTTCAACTGCGATGATATTAATATCTTTACAAACAACAACACAACCAGTCATATGTAATTGTTTGCAATTTGTTTCTATTTTAAAACGTTGAGATGGATCCTCTAAACTTCGAACACGATAAACAGCAGCATGTACACCCGTTGTTGTATCTTCTGTTGTATGTTTAATTTTCTTCTCACGACGTTGTTCAGCAGATAATTTTCTCGATGCATTTGTTTCTTCATGAGTCTTGATACGTTGTGCCATTTGATTACGAACATATTGTTCAATTTTTGTTGGATCTTGAACAGCTTCCGAACCCAAAACACGCATTAAATTCGATATTTTGACTAAAAAGTAAAAAAAAGTTCAATTGATTTATTCGTTTTTCTATATGTTAATGAGTTATCAAGGAGTGGAGAAGAAGATGTGATGGAGGGATGATTTTTTTGATAAAAATCAATGTATATATATATACTACAAATGAAGATGTTGAAAGATTCAGGACACCAAAAGAAGACAAAGGGACCAGATGACGAAATGACATGAAAATATCACATGATAATATAAGAAGATGACGTCACGAGATAAGGAAAAGAAGAAAGAAAGAAATGGAGAAGGATCACGGGAGTGACACTATAATCTAATATTACCTTTTGGTTCTGGTGCTGGGATTAAACCAAGACGAATTTTTTCTTGTGATTCTTTAAGTACTTCTGCTCGATTTTGTCGTCGTAATTTTCGTTGTTCATGTTTTGTTAAATGTATTGGTAATGAAACTGGTTTATTTGGTTCAGATGGTGGTTTCAATTGTATTGGATGTTCAATAAGTTGTGTAATACCAGTTAACATGGGTGGAATTTTAGCATCTGGAGTAATTGCTGAATAATTATTTTGTTGAAGTATTACATAATCCCACCATTCAATATCAGGTACATCAAGTTCCGAGAAAAATTTTTTTGGTTGAATTATTGTAACTTTATTTCCTACTGCCAAACCAGCTCTTTTTGAACTTTGATTAATTGATTCTTGTAATTTTTCTAATTTTGCTCTTGCTCGTTGACGATTTGCCAATTCTTCATATTTACCTTTTACATTAAATTTAAAATCTCGACGATTACGTGTAGCTGGACGAACTCTATTAAAATAAAATATCAATAAAAAAAATTTAAAACTACGATTTTTTTTTCTTACGCAAGTCGACCATCATGATATTCAGCGGAATCATCTAGACCAGGATATTCAATAGCAGCTTCTTTAGCTGGTTTAAGTTTTGGTTGTTCTTGTTTAATATCTTTTTTTTGTGCTCGAAGATTAGCTTTTAATGTTGGTGTTAAACTTGGTATTTGAAGAACTTCACCTGTAATTGTATCTATTGTACGACCTTCTCTATCAATTGTTACATTGACAGGTCGTTCTCGTGGTTCTAATGGAATTGGAAGAAGAGTTCCTAAAAAATAGAATCGAAAAAATTGATTTTTCATATAAATAAAGAATTAGGTCTTACCCATTTGTTTAGCAATTCCTGCTTTAAGTTCAGCTAAACGTTGTTGAGCTGATGTTACCGGTGCCTAAAATAATAAAATATTGAAAATGTAAATTACGAAGAAATTACATACAGTGAAATTTAGTTCTTGTTGTCGATCTTTGATATGTTTTTGAGCAGCTCTCATCATATCATGGATCTAAAAATATAGATTGAATTAAAAATTAATTTAATAATTATATACTAACCGCTGCTGCACCCATGGGTTCTTGTTTTGGTGTTAACAATTTGTTAGACATTGTATTTCAATATAGTAGCAAGGTTAGAAAAGAAGTAGAAATTACGTGCAAAGCAAATTTCTTCTCTCATATAAATAACTCAATTCTAATAACCAATCATAGAAAAACACAATGAAGTGACATCTATTGAATAATATTTTATATTATAATAGATGGTGTTATTAATCGATATTCAACATTGAAAGAATTTGATTATTAAAAAAAAAAATAACAGACACCTCATCATAACCATACATCTGTTTTTTTCTTCTTCTACAATAGTAAAGAATTGTCTGCGATCATTTTACATTTTTTGTTATATTTTAATCAAAATTAACAAAAAACAGTACTTTTAACCATGAAACGAACAAATCGTGTAGAACCATTGAATATTGATGCTAGTCAATTATCATATGCTGCAATGATAATTAGTACACAAATGGAAATTATACGACGAGTAGAAGTGATGCCAACAGTAGATAAATCTTTTAAAATAATTCGATTACATCCGAATCTTTGTCAATCACGACCAACTTCATGGTTTATTGGTTGTTTATTTCTTACTACTGGAATTCTTGCTCTTTCAATTACAATTATAGGTTTAATAATTACATTTGAAAGTTGGTATATTTATTTGTTTTATATTCAATTAAATAAGTTTATTTTATTTAGCTAGAACAAATGGTATCGAAAGTTAGTAGAGATATTATCTTTATAATTATTATTGTATAAATCTTGTTGTTAATAAGGATATGATCTGGGTGATTTACATTATGGTATAAATAATATGAATCAAGTGAATTTTTCTTCAAATACTTATCTATCAAATCTCAATAAAATATTCGTTGAAAAATATGTTTGTTAAATTATTTTACTAGTAATTTCTAATTCTTTGTCTTATATTTTAGCTATCTAATCAATTAGTGAATGAATCTGGTTTTCGTAATTTAGTCATCGATAGAGTTTTTGTACGAAATCAATTCAATACACATACATGTGAAACTATTTTTATTATTGAAAATATTCAAGTTTATTTTGATGAATGTTTTGTTTGTAAACAGGAACGTAATCTTGTTTTATATCATTCATTTTTTAATATAACTTCTTTTCAACAACCACTTCATTTAATATTGAATAATTTCAATATATTGGCACATATCTGTTCAACACCAAATTCATCTCATTCAAGTAAAAACAATACTAATTCTAAATCTATGTCAACTTATTTGGAAACAAGTACACAAATTTCTAGAACGAAATTTACTTCTACTAATACTATTCTTTCAACAAATCCATTTGAAAGAATAATTGATTCAATCTCTACGAATAATCATCCTGTTGAAACTACAGAAGAATCGTTAAGTTTTACAACCGATCATGTGCCAACAACATCTAAGCATCTTGAAACAACTACTCAGTTTTTAACTTCTCTAAAACTAACGAGTAATCGTCGATCTTCAACTACCACAAATACAAATCTTTTCCAAAAACCTCCTGCAAGTATATTTCAATTTTTACCATTCAGACCATCAACGACTAATTTTCATCGACAGAAGACTTTATTCAAACGATCCAAGTGACTATACCAGACAAATAAAAGAAAAATAACGATCATTGAACATTTTCCTGTATTAAGTTTAATTTAATTTTATTACATTGTATCTTTTCTTATAGTAGATTTTCAATCTCCAATAATTATTTCTATGTATTGTCAGTTAAGTAGTTCAAAAATGAGTACTTGTAAACAATTCATTCAGACTATGAACGAATTTTCATTTTCATGACAGAGAAATTTTGTTTAATGTCAAATGTAGGATATGTACTTCTTTGGATTTCTTTTGAGAGTGATTCCAGAATCTGACATGCTTAAATTATTCTCTTTGATAGCTTGTTCATACTTTTTTTCTTACAAATCAATATAACAAGATTTATGTATACTTTGATTATTTTGAAGATAATGTCTCAGTCTTAGAATACCTATTGACTGAAAAGAAACGTTAATTTTCAACCAGATGCTCCATTTCGGGCAGAAATAATATTGATCGTTGCTTCATCTAATGGTTTCAATTGATTATCATCTTGAACTTCCATCCATCCATAGATTCCAAAGCGATCTTCGATATAATAACGATCATTCGTGTATTTCAATCGAATTTCTCGAGCATAATTATTGTACCAATAGTCATAGTAATAGTTTTGTTCAGCGACACGAACATAATTCGGTGCGACATCAACAATGACAGCTACATGTCCAAAGGGTAACTTTGAACTCTTTTCATAGATGATGAATGATCCATTTTTTGGTTTTGTCGGAGATCCATTTGGATAAGTTTTTAATGTAAAATATTTGCCGTCGACGACTCGTTTAACATAATACAATTCATGCCACATATCGTTTGCCGACTTAACATCTGAAAATATACAACCTTTTCGAATGAAAAGCCATCGTCGAGCGTATTCAACACATTGCCATTTCACTCCCATGTAGACACCATAAAGATAGCTTTTTTGACCAGAATAGTAATCATCATTACCATTAGAATAGGCTGGTACATTGGTGGAAGCAATGCCAAGGATTGAGTTGAATGGTATATTTCGTTTCTGCACCAGCACTGTTTGTCCTAATTAACAATACAGAAAAAGTCATTTTCTATCATTCCTCTTCATCGATCGCTACGGTACGAAAAATTTGATGCTTACCTAGACTTCTAATTCGATCACATTGAGCATACTGAGAAAAATTCGTCAGATAACTAACTAAGAACCAGATGATCGTTGCAAAATGTATTCGAAACATGGCAGAGAGATGCAATGCAAATTGTAAGTATACCTGATATGATGTGGGTTTCTTTCTACGATCGATAATATATAGAAAAAATATTGTTTGCAAAGAAAAGTCATTTTACAAATAATGTATTATACAGTCGGCCTGGATGTATGTGTAAAAACTTATTGATTAAAGAACACAACATTATTCATTCTGTTTGCTTAGTTTAAATAAATACATTTCTATTCAAGGAAACCTACTAATTAAATAACACAATATTATTCATTCTGTTTGTTTGGTTTAAACAAATATATCGCTATTCAAGAAAACCTACTGGTTAATCGTTTGAGACCTGGTGAGAAGCTGGCTTCCCATTACTTGAAGAGTGTAAGTGACTACGATTGTGGATATGGGCGAATTGAATAATATCTATACTCACACCCTGTTTTTTCTATATTTATTTTGAATAATCGATGTAATATATGAAAGAAAATATCTGTCATAGACTTTATCACTAAATTGCAGTAATAATCTTGACTTAAAAGAACTCTAGATTGTACATAGATATAAATATAGAAATAGTCACATATGTAACTAACTAATATGAATATTTAACTGTAAATAGTCAAGTTCAAGTTATTAATTGTTTAATAATAACTATCAACCAAGTTCAATCCACCACACCATCGTATAATTTGTTCGACATATAACATCATTTGTAACATCCATGGTATCTCTTCATTTAATAACGATCCTCCAAATAAATCAATCCACCATCGATATATTCCCATCACTTGATGAGCTAATTCATGATTACTAACTGTTGCATAATTTGAAGCAACAACGCCATTAACAACAATTCTACCGGATGATGTTAATGGTGCATAATATCCTTCTTGTTTTGTTAATTCAATATTTATAATTTTACCAGGTACAATTTCATTATTTTCAATAAACTGAACTCGATCACCAACACGAAATTTTCCAGCAAATAATGCTTTACCTGAATCAAAATCAAAAATTAAATGATTTGGAGAAACAAATATTGTTGAAGATAAATTTGATTTGGTTGATTGTACTTGAATTGCTAAGAAACTAAAGAGACCATCTGGTTTTGCATGAATAAATGATAAAATCGGTTCATAAATATTATGTTGATTGACAAGTACTTTATCGCCGATTCGAATGTGAGATAGCGGTTTGGTGGTACCATCAGCAAGTGTGATTTCACTAGAACCGGAAAAGCAGCTTGCTTTCTTTGCTGATAATGAGCAGGAGTATTGCATGCAGACGCCTGATGTAACTGTAGTACAGTTACAACTTTGTTCATAGCCGACTATGTTTGTAGTGCCGTATTTATTAGAGTTTTTACTTCCTTCATAATCTTTGATAGAAAGTATAATGAACATGTGAAGTAATGCTAACGTCATTGGATTATTGAAATGATAAAAATAGGATATATATCTAAAATGTAATGAATCATTACAGAAATAGTATTAGTATTGTTGATTAAAAGATGGATATATATCATTCGTATTTCAAACGTAATCTGCATTGACTGTATCCGATAAATGTAGTACTTTCAAAAAAAAGCTACAAATTAATTAATATGCTTTCGAAACAGTGAACTAGAGAAAAATAGCGCATGATTCAGTTTAAGTATAAGATAAAAAAGTAATATTGTGATATTGATGGTCGAATTCCTTCTTAGTTTTAAGCCAAGTTTTATCTGAGAGATCTTATTGATTCTATACATCTACGCTAGAATAATAAAAAATACTAATAATAGCGTAATGGAAACTGACATGTTCACGCGGATATTGATTCATAAGTTTCACAGAATCACTCATAAATTTATAAGGTACCCCGAATTGTTGTGAGATTATCATGTAAAATAGTTTGCTGTATTCTATCATTTAAATTAGGAACTACAATGCACTTGCGAAGCACTGAATGAGTTACTCTGTTTTTTAAAAATAAAGTCGTGAGACTTTTTCGATACTATTAACGAACAGTATGTATGTATCGACGACATCAGAAGAAAAGTGTAATCAAACTCCGATTGACGTCAAAAACTCTGTATAACGTGATTACCTTAATGTTCTTCTATTGACTGATGAAAGAGATCTTAACGAAACGTCATATAATGTTTCTGTTTTTGTCACCTGTTGTTAAGAAATGCGAAGGAAAAATTTTATGCATACTTTATTATTCACTCATGTTAACAGTGTATATTTTGCAATATAATAATATTTCATGCATTATAATTTCGCTTTAATATAACTAATCATGTAATAAGTAGGATTATACGTTGAAGATGACAAGACGAGTATTGTTCTTCAGGAGCTTGTGTGATATATTTAAAATCTAAAATGAAAAATTCATGGCGGTTGAAATCACTTTTAAAATGTTTTAGTAATATGTGCTTTTTGAAAAGGATATTACCTTAACACCATTTTGGGCAATGTTTTTTATTTGAATGATTAAGATATAAAAAAAAGGCTTTCATAAATGAACAAAAAATGTTTATACGATTCAAGTTTAGAAATATATGCAAAAGCTAACTAATAAAATTGTCAATAATAAAAGAATACTTATAGTTTTTATGCAATTGATGATATTTCGAATTTACCATCATAAATATAATTTTTTATTATTGTTTGACCACCGCACCATTGTATCATTTGTTCGACATATAACATCATTTGTAACATCCATGGTATCTCTTCATTTAATAACGATCCTCCAAATAAATCAATCCACCATCGATATATTCCCATCACTTGATGAGCTAATTCATGATTGCTAACTGTTGCATAATTTGAAGCAACAACGCCATTAACAACAATTCTACCGGATGATGTTAATGGTGCATAATATCCTTCTTGTTTTGTTAGTTTAATATTTATAATTTTACCAGGTACAATTTCATTATTTTCAATAAATTGAACTCGATCACCAACATGAAATTTTCCAGCAAATAATGCTTTACCTAAATCAAAGTCAAAAACTAAATGATTTGGAGAAACAAATATTGTTGAAGATAAATTTGATTTGGTTGATTGTACTTGAATTGCTAAGAAACTAAAGAGACCATCTGGTTTTGCATGAATAAATGATAAAATCGGTTCATAAATATTATGTTGATTGACAAGTACTTTATCACCAATCTGAATATGAGATAGCGGTTTGGTAGTACCATCAGCAAGTGTGATTTCACTAGAACCCGAAAAGCAAGAAGGGGATCTTGTTGTTGTGGAGCATGTATATAGCATACAGACGCCTGAATTCACTGAATTGCAGGTACATGTCGAATCATAACCTGAGACGCTATTGACACTTCTGATATTTATTTTAATTAGAAGAATAATGAACATTAAATGAACAGTTGTTGAGAATTTGCTCTTCATTATGTGACTACTGATTGAAATGTATCTAGAAACTAGCTATCGTTTATTGAGTAGAAATTAAAAAATTATAGCTGTGTAATATAATATTTGACAAAACTGTAAAAAAATTTACTATTTACAAATTGCACTATACATTATGTTTTGAAATATTATACTTCGTAACGAGATTCTATTCCAGTGATACAATGCTTGATAGCTATTTCTTAATTTCTTTCCGCTTCTATGATATTAAATCGAATAATACTTTCTTCTTCCTTCGGAATTTACCTCTTTCTCTTATGTATATCATATTATATATATTATATGTGAAATTACTTCAAAATTTCCATATAATTTCTATATTTTCTTCCTACTTCCTACCCTACCTGTATGTAATATGTATTTCATATTATACATTATAAATTATAAATTTCTTTGTGATTTATGTACCTTCTTCTTATCTCCTACCCCACCCGTATATAATATGTATATTATATTATTCATCATAAATGACGAATTTCCTTGTAATTTCTATATTTTCTTCTTACGTCCTCCCTCACCTGTATGTAATATGTATATTATATTACTCATTCTAAATGAGAAATTTTATAGTAATTTAGATATTTTCGTCTTCCTTTGTACACTACGTCACTCTCTCTCTCAGATATATCTTATTACTCATTATAAATGTGAAATTTCGTTGTAATTTATTTATTTTCGTTTTACTTCCTACCCTAGAGCTATATTATATATCCATGGTATTATACGTGAGATGCTGGAAATATCTAGGAGTTTCTGAGATTTTTTGGTAAGTGGACGTACTTCTAGTATTATTTGTGGTAGTTATGGGTGATGGAGAGTTGAAATTTTTGGAATATGCTCTGAATGGAAATTAAAATATACTACTTGGTTTCTAGTAATAACTCTCCAAGAAAAAGAATATTTTCGTTCTATTTCTAGGAACCATAACTGTTAGCATTACGCTAATGCGAAAGTATTAGAATTAAGTCTTAAATAATGCAATGCTACCGCAGCGTTTTTTCGGAAGAACTGACAACTTTCAATTTCAGTGCTCTATTTATTTGTAAGTCTTCTTCTATCCTCAAAACATAGCCTTGAATGTTAATAATTCAGCAAACTTAAAAGAGAAATTGTGTTTTAGTAAACGGAACTAGTCTTACTCTCATGAGTATTACAGCTCTTAAAAAGTGACACTGATGTTTTTGATGAGTAAAAAATATAACATATGCACAACGACTCACTTGAAGTTAATTGCATACAAAAGTAAAGTAAATAAGTATTTTGTCCATTCCTTTTCTCACAATTTGACTTTCTCCAAAATGATGTGTCATGATGAGAGACAACGAATATCATCGTTATTACAAAACTTGAAGCCTTTTTTCGAATAAATGATGAGTAACAAATGTAATGACTTTGTTTTTCTTTAACTTTCTGTATATTGACGATTCTTGCGTTCTGTTCAAAAGCAAAAAAAATAAAAAAAATCACTCTCTCTTGCATTCTATCACTCTAAATCACCTGTACACATGTGTCATATTTTATAATATATTACGTTTGGATGCATATAGAACTATTGATATTCGTTTTCTGTGGTTCACCATGAAATATATGAACAAGTCTCTATTCATTTGTTCTGTTTGTCTTCACTCTAAAGAAAGTGGTATTCAGGAGGGTGCCGGTGTGGGTATTAGTTGAAACAGAAGACACTCATTATCACACCCACACCCCACCCCTCAAGTTTTTCGTCTTTCGTGGGTATAATATTCGTATTGTTAACGATCAATTAACGAGCTTATATGAGCAAAATACTTGGCGAACAGTATTAGTCTATAAATCTGAACAAGACCTACAAAGATTAAGTAATGGCGGGGAATCAGAGTTATGGTTTACAAAAGACTAAACTGAATTACATACGGTGACTATCTTGAGAGTAGCAATCAACATCAACATTCTATTTCGACGAGAAAACTAATTCGAATTTGTTAAAAGTAATCATTCATACAGATCTTATTTAGAACGTTGCAATCGCTCGATCATGTATACAACATTCTATTTTTTATTGTTTTCTTGATTTTCTCTTTAACAAAGTCATATTAGTACCAAATACATGATTGCATGTATGAGTTTGCTGATGAGTGACTAGTTCGTTAATGTTGGTATCAGTTATTTTGATGCTCTTTGTCAACTTGAAAAAGAATTTGTCAAGTAATGAAAGCATAACAAATCGACAGTGTAGAATTTATTATATCGTCAAGTTCTGAATAACATCTGGAGAGTGTGGGTGTCTATCTCTTCTTTATCTACACCCACACCCATCCTCAAGATGCTTGTGGGTGTGGGTGTAGGTGTGAGATATCTAAAGCTGCATCCACACCCTTAAAAACAATCAATCTCTGCTTAGACAGTAGGAATAGAAGTTTTTCGAAAGTTTTTTTTTAAATAAAGTAAGACAAAAAAAGTTTTATACACATTTTCTTGTATAATTTGATGAGCTCTATCGAACCATATATAAATCGTTGCGAAAACAATTGCTCATATTTTGAATTAAGCCGACCTGACATGACCTAGATAATATGAATAAGAAAAACTTTTTCTCTTGCTTAGTAATTGTCTCGACTATGAAAGTTCGATAACTTCATTTATATTCTAATTCGAATTATGCATCTACTACAACAAATCCCTTTCATAGAATTAAAAATCGAAAAAATCTTTTAGTTTTTTCTCAACTTTCACTAAACTATTCATATATCAATTTCATAGAATAAAAAACAGAAACAATCTTTTATTCTTTTAGGAACTTTTATTTCGCAGTTCATTCACGACATTCATTGAATCATAAATAGAAAAAACCTTTTTATTCTTCTTCTAACTTACACTTCACTATCCATTCATCACTTTCATTAAATCATAAACAAAAAAAAACCTTTTTATTCTTCTTCTAACTTATACTTCAACATCCATTCACTACTTTCATCTAATCATAAACAGAAGAAACCTTTTTATTCTTCTTCTAACTTATACTTCACTGTTCATTCACCATTTTCATCTAACCATAAACAGAAAAAACCTTCTACTGTTTTCCTAACTGACAGTAAAGTTGGTTTCATTTATATACGTTATAAGTTATACAATTTGATGTATTAATTACTTTTATTGGTTATTGCCGAAATGATAAGAGTCTTCTGAATCTTTTGTATTTTTCGCAGGTTCACTACGTAAGTCTCCGAGTTCTGTCGATATCTGCCGAATTACCGTCTCAGATTGCCCGTCCCGTATCTCATCAGCCCCTATTCCATGTGAAAGAAACCAGGTAATTTGATTTTAGTCAACTTCGATGGCTATAATCGTAAAACGCGTCTTTCTCGAATTGTAAGTTAGAAACTAGATATTTTCATCCTCTTTAGGACTCTTCAACTCAACAAGTGCTGAGTATGATGCTAGATCAATCCATGATATATATGCCAACCTTAAAGATGCAATATTACTTGATACTGACAAATCTAAGGGAAAAGTACACGATATACTAGATTAAAATCGATTAAAATCAGATTTTCGCCGTCTTTTTTTATACATCGGGGCCTCATTCTAGTCAATGTACTTGAGTAATATGTTTCTCTAGGACGTATGATTTCCCAGCAAATACAATAGGTAAGTTTAATTAATTTTACAAGTATTTATATTAACTAGAGTGACAGTTATTCTGATAGAGTTTAATAGATTTTCTGTACGACTCTTGTCTCATCTAATGCTGAACACAATGACAGAGTAACCGAACAATAGGAAGGAGAGAGACCATCGTTTAAGATAAAAGATAGAACGAACACGCTTTCTCAGTTTTTAAGAAAACTAAAGGGAATACTTAGCAGATACTTTTCTTTTTTTTGTTCTTTTTAATATAATTTTCATTTCTTTTCTAGAGTGAATTAATTACTTACAGTTCGAATACTTTTTCAAGATGACAAACATAAAACTGTTGATTCTGTTCACGATTATTACACAGTCTGCTTCTCAAGATATGCGATCGATGATGTTATCGAGATTCATCGATATTAAATATCAATGTAACAATCTCGGATGCTCATCTTCTATCGTTGATCCTGCTTCGAGCTTGAGAGACTGTCAATTCGCTTGCTTAGCTGATGCACAATGTCGTACAGTTACTTTTGATGAAAACAGTAATCAGTGTGAATTGTTTTCTGATATTCCAAGTCAATATGGAAATCTGCTAGCACAATCAGGTGTTATAACCATGACTGTCATAGATGACAGACAAGTAACTGATCGTAAGTAAAAATATGACATGATTTCTTTTCTACTAAAATGTCCAACTATTACAAAATATTAATTTTTTAGTTTTCTTCTTATGTTGAGAATTTGAGTACTAAATAAAACTAAGACAGATTAATAACGATCAAATTGGAGAAGAAAATCTCATCACCGGATATTCTATAGTTAAACTTTTTTTGTTTCTTATCTTTTCAATATCTAAATGTGTTTATCCTTTTTTTTTAGCTGTGACGACCACAACAACAAAATCCACGTAAGTCTTACTACCGTTCAGTTAGTCATTAAAAAACTTTAAGACTATCGATCGTGACCGAGGATGTTGGTATGTGATCGATATCACACCCATACTCACACCCTCAAGATACTAATAAGAGTGATTTATCGTATTCCATATTTTAATCCCACAGTGATGGTGCCAAGAGATTTTCTTGTTAATATTATTGTTTATTTCTATAGAACAAGCACTACAACTAGCGTAACTACCATCACCACCACATCAACTACTACCTCCACCACAAGCACTACCTCAACAACTGCATCATTAAACCCATGTAAGTAAAAATAGATTGTATCGATTATAATGAGAATCTATCGGAAATATTTTCGAATTTCTTTCTCATCTATGTAAAGATGTACGGATATTTTAAAGAACGAAGTTTACAGAGAAAATATTTATTAAAGAGAATTCTCTGTTAGCTGATTTCCATCATGTAAGAAGAGACATTTCACAATTGTTTTAAAGACTTTTCTTGAGATGTTGAGCATTGATATAGTTGAAACTCATCTCTTAACAATGATTCTGTATTTTATTTGAAAAAGAGAAATATTCTGATAAAAATTACTTGCATAGGATCTCAGTTTGAGTGTATTAAAACTGTGATCTGAGATTTTTCACGCTGGTATCTTTAGAAATGTCAATGAATACTGTATCATTAGTTTTTTATTTTTATCGTTTTCAGGTGCATCAGGGAATTTGCTTTGGAATACCACAGGAATCACTGTACTCGATTCATCACAATTAGTATCAGCCGTGGGTTTATATGTTGACTCAAACAATACTTTGTATGTTGTTGATACGAATAATCATGTTGTATGGAAATTATTGAACAATGCCGTGAATGCAACGATTGTAGCTGGACTTTACCAATCACAGGGATCTAATAGCAGTCAACTAAACTGGCCTTATGATGTTTATGCTGACAGACATGGGAATATATATGTAAGCGATTATTACAATCATCGTATACAAAAGTACAGCAACGGATCTAGAAATGGAAAAACTATTGCCGGTATAAATGGATACGGATCTTCTTTAAACCAAATGAATCGTCCTGAATTTTTTGTTTTTGATTCAACAGAGACATTCATGTATATCGTTGATCATGATAATAATCGTATTATGCGCTTTGTAACGAATTCGACTTCAGGTGTCAATGGTACGATTATAGCAGGTGGAAATGCAGCAGACAACACGAACACAACATTTAATTCGCCGCTTGGTATTCACTATTCACCCAATACAAGTAGTGATCTATTTATAACAAACAATGATGGACATTCAGTGATACGTTGGACACCAGGTGCTTCGTCGGGTGTTTTTGTGGCAGGTACGCCAGGTGTAGCAGGTTCCAGTTCATCTCTCTTATACAGTCCAGCAGGTATTAGAATTGATACGTACTTGAATATGTATGTTGTTGATAGAGGTAATAATAGAATACAAATGTTCTGTGCCAACAGTCAAATCGGGATCACTATTGCGGGTGGTTCAGGTGGCAATGGTCCAGAACAATTAAATCAACCATCTGGCATTGCATTCGATGCAAAAATGAATATGTATATTGGTGATAATAATAACGCGCGTGTTCAAAAATTTGTTAAACTCTAAATTTTCACCCTCAAACTCCATATAAACAATTTCTTCTTTCCTAATTTACAATTCGTGACAAACGTTTTCTATCTTATTTAATTTAAACTTTTTCTGAGTATCTCCGCACAATTTCCAAAACATTTATTCTTCTTCTTTGTTGTATTGTAAACACATCACTTGATGATCACTTTATTCTTTGTCTAGTTGCACTTTAATATTCAATTATCTTCTTCATTTCACAGTTTTATTTATTTATTCATTTACTTTTCTTTTTTGTTTGATCAATAAAATATAGAAAAATTTAAGTTGGGTCTTTTTCTAAACAATTCGAACTTTTCATAGAATCTTGAGGGTGTGAGTGAGAGTGTGAGTGTAAGAGAAAAGCAACATGCTCATCCACACCCCACACCCTCAAGATTCTATGCAATTCTTATTTTCTTTGTTTTTGTTATTTTTGTTCATTATATTAATTGTTATTATTAAACCATTTTTTTTCATATCTTTCTCTTTTTTATTTTTCCCTTTTATCACACAAGACATTCACGCATTGATCTTGGGCAAAGCTATCACAGGTATTCAAGCCTTTGAGCCAAAAGGAAATGGAACCCATTAAAAGAAAAAAAAACACAATAATAATGTCATTATTAGAATAAAAAATGAAAAAAAACGCTCGGAGAGAAAGAGCAGCCATCTGCCCCACCCAAATTGGGTTTTTAAATTTTAATATTCATGTTGATTTCGTAAAGGATGATGAGGAGCCACGATGACATGACCTTCTTTCCACCCTGGTCTCTGTTTTAACGTCATCAACACTTGTTTCGTTGAATAAAACGGATGAAAGGCTTGCATAAATCCATGACCCAACGTAACCGCTTCCATGCCATTGATGCAAAGCAAAACTTGAGAATCCTGCAAGACCACATTGAAAACACGATCCACGATCAAAGAGGAAGGCATCTCAGTATGATGAGCAGCCAGATCATCATTCATAGGGAATGACATATCGCAAGGTCGAACGAAAGAACCTTGCATTCGAAGAGGATGCTTGGGTGTGAGAGCCAGACGGGAAAAGGGCAATACAAGCAAATCAAAGCGTCCTTGAAATTCTACCAAGCAGAGGACGGGAGAAAAACTAACATGACCATCAGCATCAACGACTTGCAAACAATCACCAGAACGAACCTAGAGAAGAAAAAAAAGAACACAATACAATGCATTAAAGACAAACAAATAATCGCCAACCTGAGAGAGCTGTTTCTCTCTGACCATTTCATCTTGTTCTTTGCATTGTACAACACATTCCCCACTGAAGCAACCTCCAGCATTACCAGCATAATAATTATTAGCTGCAGCAGCATTGTTGTTCCTGTTATTGTTGTTGCTGTTGGCATCACCGTCAGAGTACTTTTTCAAAGGCAATCCTTTAAAAATCTCGCCACCAGACTGAACTAATTCGGAAAATAGAACACCGCCATAGACTTGAAGACCTGGATCCACTGCAAAAGAGATCGAACAAAAACAAGTAAAGAAAATGAAAATCAATGCCCCCCCCCCAAAAAAAAACAACATACTGAAATTGGTTCTCATTTGATATTCATGCGATCTCAGAATCGCTCGCAAATAGTGCGCTCCCCATCGTTTGTATCGTTCCACAGTAGAAACGGCTTTGCTGATTCTTTCTTGTAAATCGCCTTTTAACAAAGCTGTAATACGAGCATCTTTCGCTGTCGCTTCCAATCCAATGAGTTGTCCAATTAGCGTTTTCAAGATTTTAGATCCGGCTGGATCGGTAGCATCACACTTGTCGATGACTTGTTCCAACGAATGAACACTGGACATACGAGCAAAAGCCGCCAATGCATCGACAGTCACTACGAAATCAGAACCAATCAAGGATTCTTTGTGGTTGTTGTTTTCAGAGTTCCATTCCACAGTGACTTTGAGAAACGGTTGGTGATGATCGTGAACACCGACGGGAATCTTCATAGGTACAATCAGATCGCGATGACTACCAAAGTGCAGTGGTCCTAAATCATAGACCAAACCCCAAGGCACTCGCTGAAAGGAAGAATGCAATACAGGAGGAAAAGTAGCCCCATTTTGTGGTTCCAAATGCACTTTGGCATCCAATGCTAGGTTGGTACAAGCATTGGCCACAAAATTCACGAAACAAGTACCCACAATTTTGGCATCAGGAATAAACGCAAAGGTGCCTTTACCTTCTCTGGCCACATCCAATAGCATCTTGCTCTGGAGTTGATATCCGAATCCGAAAGTCGAGACACTGCAAGTGAATCCAGCATGAGCTTCAAAATAAGAGCGCAAAGCCATATTCTCTCCACTAGGAGGAGAGACCGTGGGTTGACCATCCGTGAGAATCAAAATGAAACAACGTCGTGGAGAAGCACGAGCAGTGCGAAGAGATTCAAGACCAGCTTCCAGACCCGCCCTGACACAAACAAAAACAAAAAAACAAAGACATGAATATCAATTTCACACAAACAAACAAAAAAGAATCATACCAAATATTGGTGGAGTTTTGTGGCTCCAACGCCTCCAGAGCATCAATGGCTTGCCTCTTTCCACCCTCATTCATTTCAGAAAGTGTAAAGACCGAACGCGCTTCATCATGAAAGGCTACTAAACTGAGACGATCTTGATCAGTCAATGTGTGAATGACTGCCTTGACCGAATGCTTGACAATGTCCAGTTGGTTCATACCTTCACTAATAAATTTGGAGTCATCGTTCGGATCCTGGAATTTGGCATCTTCCCCCATAGAGCCACTCACATCAATGACACAACAAATATCCACTTGTGAACGCTGAGTCATGTCCGGAATAGCAATGGAAACGGCAATGGGTATAGGGACTTGATCATTGACCCATTCGACAGCTGGAGCTATGGAGAGAGCAGGACGAGCGGAGGACGAAGATGTACCTTCAGATGCAACAGACAGGGATTGCTGTGCCAAGGACCAATTTCCATCATCCTCATCCTAAATGAATATGAAAAACAAAAAAGATGAATTGTAGTAAACAATAGAGTCACAGTGAACAATTCAAAACCCAACCACAAAAAAAATGCAAACAACCAACCTGTGCAGGCACAACCTCAGGTTGTCTTTGCTCCACTTGCGTGTCTTCTCCCGCAACTCCACTCGCGAATACTTTGACAACCGAGTTCATGTGTGCACGACAAATGGGACACGTAGCTCCACTGTTGAGCAATATATTCAAGCAGGACTCACAACCGCAGAGATGACCACATGGTAAGACCACTCCATCCGCTTCTTCGTCCATGCAAACAACACACAATGATTTAGCAACTCTGTTGTTCGAATTGGGATTGGCAGGCACTGATGAAGGATCCGGATCTTTGCGAGCCTCAACGACGATGGACTCAGACAAGATTTGCTGCAACGCGGACAACTCTTCCTGAATACTGACCGCCGAATTGAGAGCAAAGAGCTTGCCAGGGAAAACGGCCAGAATCGAAGCCAAATTCTGCTGAAAAAATTGAAGACGACCACGGATTTTATTTTCATCCAGATCAGTTTCGCGTCGAACGAGACGTGCTGCTACTTCGGCAGTCGGTGCAGGAATCAGTAGCGTGTGATAATTGAGATGACTGACTGGATCAATTCGACGATGATTGATACGATCAACGCACAGCTCTTCTTGCGCCTGCAGGAGAACGACACGATCGACTGTACGCATTTTGTTCAAGGCCTTGGCTTGATGTAGAGTGCGAGGAAAACCATCAAGAAGAATGGTAGACGAAGCCAAAGCATCGGGTTGCTGGAGACGACGGCTAACGATGTCGAGCATGATATTGTCCGGAATGAGCTGGCCTCTGTGCACGAAAGGGGAAACACTCTTGCCAAATCGACTGTTTGGGTCTTCCATTTCGTCACGAACGAAATCACCCAATGAAATATGAAGAACGTTGGGCAACTCGGAGGCAGCGGCGTGTCCCAAGGTACCTTTGCCACTGCCTGGAGGACCAATCAAAAGAACGATTTTTTGTGCTGGATTCGACATCTATCAAAAAACAAAACAAAAACTTGGGGTATACAACTCGCACCCACGCTCATAAGGGGTAGGTCAGAAGTCCTGACTCGATTTGTAAAATAAATTTTTCTTTAACAAAACACATGGTTGATCATCCATCATTGGGATCCAATTTGTATAGCTCTCTAGCAGAGGTAAAATCACTCAATTATATTTCACGATGTGAAGTCGTCATTCTCTCACGGTCTTAGCAAGTTTTTCTGGTTAAGATCGACATGTAAAATCATAATCTCGAGTTCACATTTCTTGACTATTTTTCTCGACCTTATGGAAGCTTGTGATATGAATCTAACAATGGATAGCTAACTCGTAGAGTAACGCATGCGTCAAAATGGTAGAAGCTTTCAAGGTGGCTGGGCCTACCCTAGAATCCTGTCAGATCCGATGAGATTTCTTCAGCAAGATAGCGTCTGACAATATGATATCATAAGTTAAAGACTGCTACTTATCAGATACCGATAACTAGATTACCTTACGCAATTGATATACTATCAAATGAGGTAACCTATCTCGTCCTCAATTTCTCCGTATATAATCAGATTCTGGACGATCATATATCTTCAAACCGTACACAGAGAAATATAATCGTATACGAAGAAATACAGAATAAAACCAAAGCCGTACACGAGCTTTGTTGTTAATAAACGATCATATTTCTACGCATACGATCACAGAATTATATTATCGCAATATTGTGCGATGTCAACACGCCGTATTTCTCCGATTACGACTGTATCTGATTGACATCGGTTAATATTGACAACCGTTTGATCATACTTAGAAGAAATCAGAAAAATAAGTATCCAGTCATTCATGTTATTATATAATTTTAAGCTCTCGTGATCGGAGGCAACCGTTAGAGTTAGGTGAGAATCATTAAAGCTAGCTGTTGGGCGACACCCTGAAGTTTCAGTAGGGTATACAAGCATAAAGTGTGAAAGAAAT